GGTGAATGTTCATAAACAAGTGTTAAATGGAGATCACGTGTTGAGAGGTAGAGGAAGTGAATCCCTGGATCCCGGATCTTGTCCTGTCTCTGCCCTGGTTGGAAGTATTTCCTTTTATCATTCATTCCATGTCATTGTACTGTAGTATAATTTGCACTGTACACACCAATGGTTTGTTCACATTTCCTGGAGTAAATCGCTGTAAAAAAAAAACGCCACAGTTTTGCTGTGTCATATCTGAAAACGACCTAATAGCTAGTTCATGTACATGTATGATGTGGTAAAGCAAAGAGGGGGGGGGGGGGGGGTGGTAAACTTTGCTTCACAACTCTTACATTATAACATACAAATGTGTGAGTACTGTATGTGTAGTTGTACATGAAGGACCAGTGTCCCACACAGCTTCTTCTTTTTCCCCTTTAAAAAAAATATTTCTTAAAAGTCTGCCACTGTAAACTGCTGCAATTTTGTACTCATCATGTGTGAATGAGCCTCAATGGTAGTAACAAGGAAACATGATGGATACAGCTCTAAGGTCTAGTCAGAGTAATATAAATAACATCGCTCTCATCCCACTCACTTCCTTCTGACACCTGTTTCCTTTTTCAAATGATATTGATGTTTTAAGCTGAAAGGAAATCCAACCTTGATAATGAATTGAAAGCATGAAAATCTTTAGAAACTGCAAGTGATAGTTGGAAAATGTAGTGTACACACTGTATAACAAGTCGAACTATGATTTCAAATTGGCAAATTGATGAGACTGCAATCTCATTAAAAAGTTATTCTCTATTTGTTCTGTCATTGAGAGGAATATTTCAAGTGCATGTAAAACAAGGCAACAACAGATAGCTATCAGTAATTGCCATGTATTGCACTCATATTCAATGTTTTTTTGTATACAGCGAAATCCTGTGAACGGAAATGAAAAGGATCACTGCTACATATACAGGGGGTACATGTATTGCAGGCCTGTATGTGTATCTCCTCATACAGTATGCACTGAATCTCTCTATATTCTGAATAGATGTGAGTATTGCTGCTTTTCTTGGCAAGCAATTTGTTCAACAAAATTAATAGTTACCTTTCTTTGCTAGCAACAGCAATATCTGGAGATGCAGGTAAAAAATCGAATTGTAGGAAAAGCAATGCTATGCTATCTTTTTATAATTACAGTCAGGGCTCAAATAATTTTTTTGTCCACGGGGGCTCTTCCCCCCAAAAAAGAGCCCCCGTGAGCCTTCTCAGGGGGGCTCTTTTAGTACTGACGGGGCCTCTTTTTTATACAAATATCCATTGAATTGGTACCTATGATACTCCTCAATAATGCTATTTCATCATTATCATTTTAATCAGCATTTTCCCTCTTACAAATTTACAAGCTACATAGCTGTTACTGACTTTCATTCCGTGATGACATTCTTTCGATTTCTTCCCGTTCTGCACATTATTCCTCCTCATTATTGGGAGCAACATTTACATTCTTTCTTTACTGAGACGCATAGCGGCGAGGCGATTTTGTGTGTGTGCTATCTTGGACAGGCGCGGATCCACGGGCCGATTCTACCGGCCCGCCCCCCCTCCTAGCCGCCCAAACCGGTAAAAAATAGGATAGTAACGTAAATTTTACCTTAAGAAATAAAATAAAAACGCCCCCTTACCTGCCAGTGACACAAATGCGGCATCAAAATATTTGTGCTTCATTGACCGTAATTAAATGCCTAAAACCCCTGAACCCCCCCCCACCAATTTACGCTCACTACCCTCTACCTGATCGTAAATACTTTAGCCCCCCACTTTGATAAACGTTCCGCGGGGCCTGTGTATATAATATATACGCATACAACACTGATCTTTATGATGTCTTTAACGTGAAATATCTTCTTCTCCCCTTGCAAACGAGAAAGAAAACAAAGTCATTATAAGGGATTAAGCGACAAATAATGATTGTGATTCAAATTGATGCAAGGATTGTTTTTGAATAAGCACTGCTATTCACCCGAATCTTCTTTGTAAAAACAACTTTTACAAATCTCAGCCATGCTTACTGAGTTGAGACGTTCCATTCAATGTAAAATACTCATTAAAGAATCATCATCATCAATAGTGATCTGTCAGTTCATGACAGGTTCAGTTGCCCATTAAAAATTCCATATCAAGTGTCTCTCCAAGAGAGACACTTCAAGAATACACTTCTCCTAATCTGACCTAATCTATCAGTATTAGTATGAGCCAATATAAAGTTATTATTCTTTATTCAGTTCAGTATAATGCTTTTCCTCAAAAATAGTTTCGCTATTTTTGTTAGGGTTGAGACGCTAAGAAATGTTTTCAAATGTATATTACACAAACCCTGAACCATTGCAAAATGATGGTGGTTCTCTCTCTCTCTATCTCTCTTTATTTCAATCATGCATTATCAACTACATATAAAGCAGCAACCAAAAACTTAGGGTTATCTGAGATAGGTGAAAGTAAGAGTTTAAAAGAAAGTCATGCTAAAACGGCGCTTCACCTCCCCTCCTTAACAAAATGAAATAAATTAGTGGTCCTCCTCTCCAGCATCCCCCTCCCCCGCTTTAATATTTACCGGCCGACTAAGACGGCGCAAAAATGTTCCCCAAAAACTGGACCCCCAAAAAACAAATATATGTGCATTTATCCAGCCCCCCGCCCCCTCCGCTCATTCGCCGATTCGCCGCTAAATATTTTCTCAAGATTTGGCCCCCCCCCCTCCTCTTGCCGCCGGCCTGATCCGCCCCTGATTTTGGACCCCCGTAAGTGATGTTTTCCTGGCATCTACTTACATGCGAAGCATCGTCCACGACCTTTTTTTTGTTGCTATTTTGAACCCCCGTATTGTTTTCCTGGCATCTACTAACATCTTACTGTGTGGGTCGATCTGGACACATTTATGGCGTTTTTCTATGTTTTTCTATCCCCCCCCCCCCCCCCCCCGTAGATCTGCCCAGGTTACCATATCATTCCACGACATCTTGGTCTTTTAAGGCATTGGCAGTCACAAGTCATGTGACGTCCTTGCAGTCCACGTTCTCATCGTGCAAATCTAAAAGTCCCTAATATTGATTTACTGGTCGAGGTTCATTATTTGCTGGTCATTTTGAAATCACCAGATTTCAGCGGGTTTACGCTTTCACAACGAAAAACTTCCCCATCACCATGTTTCTGCCCTTGCTCCAGCAGACATGGCGCGGCAGCGTGCACACGTACCGTTACTAACGGCGCAGTAGGCCTATAACCACTGTTGACGGCGGCACTGCACTGCGAGCTGAATCGCTAATAATAATAAGGCCTACTCATAGAACGAGAAATCTTGGCTTAAGGTTTGTAAATTGAAACTCAATATTGTGTTAAAGTTATAACAGAAAAGATAATCTTTATTTTATAATTCCACGGGGGCGATTATATAGCTCACGGGGGCGAATCGCCCACCGCCCCCGTGTATTTTGAGTGCTGATTACAGCCTACTTTCATGTATACTGTGTGTGTGTGTGTGTGCATTAACTACATTGTACCTGTACTTTTTTCTTTAAAGAAGAATTACTTGTTTGTTTGTTTGTTTTTTTCTTTTTCTAAGTACCTTATCTTTCTACCAATTACGCGTAAGGAATTATTTTGAGTCATATTCAAACTCTCAAATAATACCCCCATGCAGACAAAAGTTAGAGAAGTAAGTCACTATAATCTCAATTCAGATCTTTTGTGTATTTTGTGGGGGCAATACAAAAGCATTACCAGGGCAATGGGAGTCCATGCATGGCATTAGCAGCAAGAAGATGAATAATAAGGTTCTATACATTGTGAGCTAGCTGCTTGTATAGTAATTTCAGAATACATAGACAAAGACATTTCATAAAGAATTTGGGCAAATTGCCACAAAATTAGTTGGGTCAACAAACTTTGTAGCACTAACTAGAAAGTTTCCAAATTATGGAGGAAGTTATAACTTTGAGGCTTTCCTGTCATCCACATGGCAATATGGTTACTATCAGATAGCTGACACTTCTAAGAGAATAATCCTGGCATCCATGTTCATGTATGCAATATATTGTAGGTCATTGATTAAGACTTCAAGCACAAGTCAAGAGCTTATTTCCATGTTATTAATGAAAGTGGAGGTAGAAATTGTCAAAGTGGCAGGCAACCTTCATTTTTGAAAGTGAAAATGAGGAAGTGTTTTTTTCTACAACGCCAGTCATACTGTTACGTGCTTTTTGAAAAATTCCCACAAAATCTGAAATGAAAAGTTGCTATAGACTGTAGACTGCAGTTCTTTGAAGGTTAGATTACTGGGTAATGCAATCAATCAATGTAGCACTGTAAGTATTAAATTCTGTTAGATTAATGTGATGACATTATCAATAGACCATTTGTTACTAGGTAAGACAAACATTACGGATTGTCCTACCTCACGACATGTGATATATATATATGCAATCCGCATTCTGACTATTGAAATACAAATATATATGTAACGGGTGAATGAAATAATTTGTAACGGGGCACTTAAAGATTTGTGCATTAAATTAAATTACATTAAGAAAATGGTCTAGTACACACATGTACAGTTGATCATAGCATGGTACACTGTACATGCAATTATTTTTATATCACTTTTTCAGGAACTAGACTAGAGTGGTTGAGGTCATACAAAGTTGGGAAAATCTTTAGGGCAGGCTGTTATAAAAGAAGACAAGAAATTGTAATTAATTCATAGACCAAACTAAATTTGGCATTGTTCTTTTGAAATTACATTCTCATAATGAGGATATTCTTTGAAAATTGAACCAAAAGTGTTCTTTTGTATTGAATGTTACACTTGCATATATATATTTCCTCCCCTCCCTCTCCCTCTCTCTCTTCCTCTCCCTCTCCCTTCCCTCTCTCTATTTTTCTTCATTTATCTCTTTTTCTCTCACTTCTTTGTTTCACTCGTATTATGATTCTTCCTTGCTTTCTACCTATTTGACTATTTATAGGAAGATGAAGGACTAACTACAGATGAACCCGGGCAGCCACCTCAGGGACTAGAAGTCTTCCAACAACTCTTCTCCCAAAAGGTAATTTTGTTATTACAATTAATAATATCATCACCTTTGTCATTGTAATCTTCATCACCATCATCACATCATGATCACCACATCTTCATCGCCATCACATCATCATCATATCTTTATCATCATCATTATTGTAATCATCACCATAAATCATCATCTTCTGATCACCATCATCACTATCATAATTGTAATCCTCACCATCACCACAACCATCATCATCATTATCAATATCATTATCGTTCTGAACATCATACTCATTAGGACCTTCTCATTGCCATCATAAGTAAACAAACCAAAAGCTTGGCATGGTTGTTTAAGTATCTTGGTTTTGATATTATTCACTGCACTGCAATCTGCAGGTACATGTATGTAGTGAGCTATTCCTCTCTCTAAAACATTTGTGACATTTGTGCATGGATTGTAATCATTGTATTCATGTAGACTAACCCCTACTATCCCACTCTGAGGGTTCTACATATTCTGAATTCTATCCTTGATACACTACCTTGTCACTGAGAGAATAGAAGGGGGGGGGGGGGCTCCCTTATTCTGGGAGGTACGTGAAGGCTTAATCCTCCTCAAAGTATATTGGTTCCGTATATAACATGAATTTGTTGAAGTTGTTGAAGTTTTAAAGTTATAATGTTATATGATCAGTGAGATAGAAGATGTATTGAATAATCTCTACATGATCTTTTCGTCTCTACAGCTCCTGCCGATAGATTCCAGCACAGGTTGGCAGCTTATAGGTGTCCATCATGAGCTCAGATCTTGGGAGAAGAAGGTGGAGCTTGCAGGGAGCCTCTACAGTCTCCATGGATCTAGTGCTGTTGTATCATCTAATGCAAAGGTAACTACATGGTGGGGTATTATTTTGTTCTCACCTCATCATTGCAACAATGAATAAAAAAAGAATATGTGCTCTCAACATAATAGCAAGCTAAAATGATTTGGGTCTCCGTTAAATTGGCAAATTATTATTTAGGATTCATATTTTTCTTTTTGGTTCAGTATGCATACTTGCACTTACAATCAGAATTGTGTGATTATAGCTTTTTGGTCGGATTTAACTAAATGTTAAGGAAATTTCTTAAAGTTTTGCTACATGCATTTCATGATTCACACATATTTTAATCATCCATTAGAGTCTCATTACTCCAATGTATATTTACATGGTTTATGATTGATCACGTTGGAGCTTTTGCAAGTAATCCCATGAGAGATTAGCTTCTGTACCCTGAATAGGTCTTTTATAATCCAATACTGGATTAATTCCCGTACACTTTACAGGTGTTTTATTACATGTACTATGTAGATTACAAAGTAAGAAGTGAATTGATTTGAAACACATTCTATGAAGAAGAACATAAAATGTAAGGTCATGGTTCATATAGTACATTTTGTGTACCACTTGTAGCTTATCAAGTGCTTCGTACACTGGCAATATCTCTTTTCATTTTGTCTAGATATGAAACTGTAGAAGTGCAATTTATATCTGTGAAACATTTAAAATGAATATTTAAGTTAAAATTCATATGACAACAAATAGCAGTTCTCACGTTGTTCTAGTGTAATGTATTGTTAGATGTCAGAGAGCCCTTCATCAGCAAAGCAACAACAAAAGAGAGAGAGAAACAGAGATAGAGACAGAGGGAAAAAGATTTAAACCACACACACTCCAACATGAAAGCACATGTCACTTGCACAGAAAAAACACTATCATTTCATTGATGATAATTATGACTATTAAAAATAGGCCATTTTGGTAATGCAATCAAATTTATTGCACAAATCTTTTTTCAGTGCCTCATTACATTTTATTTCATTCACTTGTTACAAATAAACATGTTTTGTTAGTCAGAATGCAAATTGCATAAATTAATCGTTGCTAGGTAGGACAAACATTAAGAATTGTCCTACTTAACAAAATGTAATGTAAGCAATTTGCATTCTGACTATTAAAATACAATCAACAACGATTCGTATAATTTTGATTACATTACAAAAATGGATTATTGCTGCGAGTGTGATTGTGGTTGACTCATCATTATTAATCTTGACCTCTCCTGTACTTAGAGAGCCTCTGTGAGTGTTTATGATTCACCCTTTTTGAAAGGGAGGGAAAAGATCCATACTCATATGTTTGCATGAATACAGATAGAGAGAAATTTATGCAATTTGATTATAACCATTGGGTTTGAGATGTTTTTCACTGTGCGGCTAGTTCATGTTACCTTCTGCAAACAGTACATCAACTATTGATAAAGGAAAATTGTATAGGATTAATCTGATTTAAAAGTGACAAATAATAAATATCTTTTGATTTATTTTAAATTTTCTTACATTTCTTAACATTATGATAGCATTTAGAAGAATTTTTGTTGTTGTAAATTGTTACCCATGAACTTGCTTCTGAAATTCTTTCCCTGGAAAATATACACCAGTAGATTTGCTCATTTGAATCTCTCTGACGATTGAAAATCAATATTTGTGGTTCAGTCATGTAAAACTTTCACATGTGGTAGGATACCCGCCCTTGGCGTGGGGTGCCCTGGTTTTTGCATCACTGGACAATGACTTGGTTACTGGAATGAAACAAATACATGTACACATGTAGGCGTTTGGTGTCTAATATTTGTTTGCATAATGTCATAGCTACAAAAATAAAGTATTTTTAAAGAAAGATAAAAAACGAATTGAATAAATTCTCTTTCTGTTTGATTTTTACTCATGTATTAGAGGAAAAAAATGAAGTAAAGTTTCTTCATTGTATTATTGCCTCCTTTAAAAGTTTAATCACTGGATAGACTGGTAGAACTTGCATCATACACAAGTATACATCTATTTAATAAATAATTGAAAGATACAGTTCTTAGTATCGGGTTGCTATTTTTGGTTGGCATTAATATATCTTTGAAAATTAATGGAAAGTCTTAAAGTCTGTATGAGAATTGTAATTGATAGAATCCTGCACATTACATATAACTATGTGAGATATAATTGTGATGTGACCCAGTTTGCTGAAGGTAATAATTCTGTAACATAATTTTAATATTTCACCGACTACAAGGGCACTCACTACCCATGAAGCCACATTGTCCTAAATTGTTAAAGCCTAAATTACACAGAACAATAGTATTGTTCATGCCTGCTACAAAGAATAGATTTGTTTGAATTACATTCTCATGAGTCAAAGACATATATATATTTGATTATGGTTACCGGAAAATATGGAAATGTTGCCATGACTGTTTCTACCCAAATGTTTTTGCCATCTCTCTCACTTTGTTTAACAAGGTACAAGTTTATTTCTATTCAGTCCCCTTTCTCTCAAACTGTTGCTTTGCCCTACCCTGGAGATGACATTGTTTAATCAAGTCTTTATTCCTGAAAAGATCTTGTTCAAATAACATACAGGATGGAAGTATTTGTACTTGGAATGTAGTTTACATATAATACTTAATTGTAATATTTGTGTAAGCAGTGATTACCCTGTCTTGAAAGAAAATCTAGTGGAATACAATATCACATCAAATAGTTATGTATGAATGACTATCAGTTATAGAGATATTTATTATACAAGGTTTTATCAAACATTTTTAAGTTAAAGTGATGGTGGTTGAATTGCGCATTAATACATAAAGCCCATCAAAATATATTGGAACATTTCAAGCAAATAATCACTAAGCATGCCAACTGAGAACTTATACGCTATATTTTTCTTCCTTTATTACATAATTTGGCCAAAGCACACTTGCAAATGAATAGAGACAAAATTATAATAGTAATATTAATAATAGCTTCATGTAAATTCATATAGTGGACTTGTTTGTTTCCACCCCAGGGGATGCTCAAGGGGCGGCTGCAAATACAAAAAAAATTCAAATTATAAAGACAATTTACGTATGCTGCTTTGTTACATTGTGGCTTGTTTCTGCAATAATAAAAGCCCAACATCTCTAAGAGTATTGAATCCTGTACATGTATGTTTAAGGTTGAGTGCCCAATCTTCTGGAAACAGAATGTGTAATTGCTGTTTGACATATCACCGTAGCTACAGATTCTGTTAGAAGGATTGCTCTTGAGACATGTACGAGAAGAACTTAAGCTTGACTGGAAAGGATGAATTACATACTCTTCAATGCCAAACAATATACATGTACATGTACCCTGGGATCTTTTTTATTTTTTTTTTTAATCTGAAAAACCAGAATTATTTTCCAGGTTCTGGTAAAAAATATATTTTGAATAAGAGTGAAGCAAGAGGATTGACCTAGGTATAATGAAGGACAAAAATGTTAATGTAATGATAATTATACATGACATGTACATGTAGAAATAATTGACACTATTTGTGACATAACCATAAGTAACATAATAACATGCTAAAAGTGAATAGAAAATTATGAGATAGCTTCATTGGAATACCTATCAGCGCCTATGATTTTGAGAGTGGTCGAGTTGTATTTATTTTGTTTGGGGGAAACACACATTACTTTAGAAACATATTGAGTGGATCAAAATTATTCTTGTTGAAATGCACGTTACGATATTTTAAACATCACTTTGATCATCGTATTGTCCCATCCGATATTGTCTTCAAAGTAAAGAACGAATAATTATAATGCTCACAAGAAGACTAATGGAATTATAATTTGTCATTCTACACCTGGCTGGAAAAGCATTAAGGGATAAATATTTATAGCATTGATCATTTTTCTTGTCGAAATGCACGTTCAGTATTATAAACATCACTTAAATCATCATAATTATTGTCCCCACCGAAATTGTCTTCAAAGTAAAGAAGCAAATAATTATATTGCTCACAAGGTGACTAATGGAATTAAAATTTGTCATTCTACACCTGGCCGAAAGTGTCGAATTTTAAGACATTTAGATGGAGAGCCATGGACCCTGCAAATTCGGATATCACTATAAATGGGGCCATGAGCACTATCATCATTATCATTATCATTATCATCATCATCATCATCATCATCATCATCATCATCATCATCATCATCATCATCATCATAATCATCATCATCAATATTGTTACCATTATTAATCATTGTTTCTGTTGTTGTCATCATTCTTGAATATTCCTCTGCTAGGGTATCTTGGAGACACTGAAAGACATCACCAAGACCCAGGAATGGGACCATGAAGTAACAGAATGCAACTACATCACCTTCCCTACCACCACCGATGCCTCAGACCATCCCCTGATGGTAGATGTAGTCAATTTGATTCTAGCTGCTAAACAGAAAACACTCCCACAAGATTTCCTGGACAGGCTTGTTGCTTTTCTTGCCATGCCCTACACCATGCTGTCCAATGGATCTGGGTATATCACTACCAGGAATGACCCCAAACCAGCTGTAGTTGCTAGGTAGGTATGCCTGGCTATTTATAGTGTTGGGGTTTGATCTCTTCTGCTCTTGAGAGCTGGAAAATAACTTTTTATAGGTATTGTTATGTGAGATATCTAAATTGTCCAGAGATTTCACAGCAAATTTTGCCATTAAGAAATCCTATGTGAGTGAATTATTTTGTACAAACTTGTGTATGTAAACCATTTTTTATGCCATGTATAATGGATTGAAAATTATGTGTATGATTCTGAAACATGCAGGATAATGCACTTCCATTAAACATTCAATGTGACCTTCCTGGTTATCCTAGCCTCTATTTTATACTGATGAATATCATGCTGGATTTTACCGTAACAAACTTGAGCAGATGTTAACCATTTGCTGATGGACTTTGGCGTAATTGAGAAACCTAATAGCCTTGATCCTCATGCCAAGAATACATTAAAAAGGCTCTACTTCATATCTGGCACCAGATGTCATACTGAATACACATGGAAAGTGAGTAGTCGTGACCATCTGCATAGCATCATTAGTATATACTGATTGCAGGTTCAATGTAATTAAATGCCTCATCTATTAAATCACATCATAATTTTTACCTTGAAAATTTCCATCCATGAAACAATGATAAAAGTGCGAAGATAGGTTCAAATTTCTAATTTGGAATGGGCTTGTATATTGTTTTACCGTTTGGCTTATGAAGGCCTTGTCTGCAAAAAATAACCACCTGAACCAATTTTTTAATCCACAAATAAGTTGAATTAATTTCAAGATTTCCTTTTTTGTTCAATCTGGATCACTGATTCTGCACTGAATATGATTACAGAACAGTATTGTTAAGTATGCAGCATGAAGGCTTCTCACATTTACATGTTGTAGAGGTTCTGTTGTGGTTACATCAATTGTAGAATGATTGATGTTGCATTGCCTATTTTAATATTAGCATCTTTCATGTTTGTATTCATGACAGGTCTTGGAAGATGGAAGGAGATGCAGCAGGTTGGATGTTCAGTCGGACCGTGTTCAAGGGCAAAGGCCACACATTAGATGAACTATGGACGTACACTCTAGTACAACCAGCTACAGAAGGTACATGTGCTTGTAGCTCTGTGGAATATATATGCAAATATCACAGGCCAGGTCCTCCAAATTGTTGTCCCATTTTACATTGGTTCCTCCATTCATGTAGGAATACATTTATATGCAACCTAGCCTTTACCTTTCATTTACCATAATTAACGGTGTATAAACCGCCTCGTGTATTTACCGCACCCCTCTTTTTCGCCCTAATTTTTTTTTGTTTTTTTTTTGTTTTTTTGCTGACTTATTATTATAAACTACATATTGAGATCTATCAGAAAGATTACTTTCAAACCAAGATGACAGACATATTTGAGTGTTGTTCTAGTTTCCAAGTGGTGAGTCAACACACTGATTACTGAGCTTTTTTCTCTCCTTTTTTTTTGTTTTTTTGGTGGTGTACCGTGTATAAGACGCACCCCCGACTTTGAATTTTTTTCGCCGGCAAAAAAGTGTGGTTAATACACCGTTAATTACGGTAATGAAAACTAATATGATAATTTGTTTCACACAGAGGTTATACATAGTGCTGTAAAATTTGAACATTGTGCTTGTACTTGAGAATCCCCCCCCCCCCTTATAGTAAACAATCATTGAAGGTTCTTTTTCAGGTTTCTTGTAGCAAACTCTTGCATGGTTAAATTCCTCATCACCTTTGTTAATCCTTCTTCTCTCTTTATCCTCCCAATATGCTCTTCAGATGCCAACAAGAGCCTGATGCATCATATCACATGCTCCGTGCTATCTAATAAAGACTCTTCACACTGTGAGAAACCAGCATTAAGACTCGCTGCTCTCAAACAGTACTTTGAGCTGAAGCACCTTAAACTTAGCCCACTCTGCCATTCCAGCCTTAAGCATCTCACAAGCCACACCTTGCGATCCAAAGCCTACACCAATGGCACCTCGGACAAATACTCTTCTTTGAGGAAATCTCTTCCTGATGATGTCATGCCTATATACAATGGATTGGATGCCGAAGGCAAGTCGGACAGTCGATTGACGGAGAGACTGGCCATGAGTTGGCCAAGCGATACACGCAAGCCTAGGGCATCCAGTCTCAGTATGTGGCAGGATAACTCTTCCAGCGATGATGCAGGGTTTTATAGTGAGAGGCAGCACAGGAGTCGTAGGCAGAGAGTCAAGAAGACAATGAGTGCTGATGTAACAGCAGGGGAAGGAGGGGGAAAGAAGGATTCTTTGGAGAGAAAGACAGGGTCATTGGATAGAACCACTAGTGAGAAGGGATTAGGAGGCCTAGAGGACAGTGGGGTTGTAGGTCAGTATTGATTATGCAATGTTTATAATTTTGTAAAAAGAATTGTAAAAGTGCAAAGATTGATCATCAATTCATAGGTAATTGTCATCTATTCACGTGTGTCTATTATCAAATCTGATCAAAAAAATTTATAGAACAACATTTCAGAAATAATTGAGAATAGAGTAAGTAAATCATAACATTTTAGTACATGAATTATTCCATAAAATCTGTTGAATCTCACTCTAAAACGTTTGGATGTGTGGCTGTATTTTGGAAAACAAAAAATAAGAGTGATCAAGAAATATGAAGAAAAAAAAGGATTGTTTAATGGAGATTTTGTTCGGTGTCATGCTGTAAAACAAAAGTTTGTTGAACTCTACTAATATTTTCTCTTTTCTAGATAATATGGCAGAGTACCAGTCATTAGCTCATCAAGGAGCACAGCTGGTATTGGAGGAGAGTATTAGAGCAGCTGGTATCAATGTGAATGTTTCTGAAAATGATCAGATGCAACAGACAGGGGGATGGTCGTAAGTAATCAATTTTGTGGTTGTTATTGTGAAATAGGTAACCACTTCCTTACTCACTGCATTGCATCTGTTCAGTAGTAATTTCCTTTCCACCTCCATAGATTTTGCGAGTGGTTACTTTTTTCTTGATGAAGCCCTGTTATGTCAGAAATGCTTTTGTTTAACGACCGCCTGCACTAGTTTGGCCAGGGGGATTAGACCTCCCTGCAAGGTCACTGACAGGTGGTTATCTCATCAAATCGGCTCTTAATTAACATAAGAACAAGAGGATCATGTGGGACCAACTGGCACCGATTAGGCTTGTTTGCTATACAAAGGGTGCAATTAGCTTCTAAGTAGTGAAGTGGGGCTTTAAGGTAATGGAGCTTAAGTTTGTTTCCCTGCAATATACTTGTTTATGTAACACAAATAATTGTTAACTGATATTTTGTATGTTAAATTTTCATTTGATATTCTATCTACTTTATTGTAACAGCTTTCACTGCCTTGAGAAGGATGTGGTGATATTGAAGAAACCAAAGAATGGAAAGTATTACAGGTAAGACATCCACTCCTTCGTATTTGAATCTTCAATGCAGTTGTATTTTAAAGTGTAATCAAATAGACTTTATTGCTGTGAGAAATTAGACTGTGATACTCTCTGTTTTCAACATTAATTCTTGTTTAGTGACCCCAAATCAATGAAACCATTATTCTATCATTGATTATGGATTTAGGACTAGTATCAAATTCATTTTTCTCCATTCTATCCTTGTCCATTTTGTTTCATGTTGAATTTAGTTACCTTGGAAAGGGGATCATCAAAGCATCTCCTGCCACCGTCTTCAAAGCCATTAAAAATCCGCGGACAAGGTTCACTTATGATACAATGTTAAAGGTAGATATAACATTGTATGAATTTATGTATTATATGAGGGAGGGAGGGAGGGAGGGAGGAAAATATGGAAAGAATGGAGAGAGAGAGAGAGAGAGAGAGAGAGAGAGAGAGAGAGAGAGATAAAGAAGAGAAGAGAAGGAAAGAATAGAGGAAAGGGTTTGATAAGAATGTGATGCAGCCCTGCTTTATGTTTATACATACGTGTTACATGCTTCCAGAAAATGTTAGATAACTCAATTATTGATAAGGATGCAAAGTTATTTCAAAGCCAATTAATTTAATTCACTGCTTTCACTTTCAGAAAATGAACATTGTGAAAACCTTCTCAGAAGACTTGTGTGTCTGTAAGTATATTTGATATTTAGATATCTGTAGTTTTAAAGTTTGCTGATGAAACTAATTCTGTGTTTATCTCTTAGTTCATGTGTATGCTTAATGTATCTTATAAGCATTGATTTTTTGTTCTTTCAGGCATCTAAGTCAGTCAACTGTTCGCTTTATAACATTTTAAAAAACTGGGAAATATTTAATGTTTTAGAACTGTAGAGATCTTGAGAGATCAGTCTTTAGTAACTTGATGTGAGAATCCTGTTGATTGCAGACCGACGGTGCATAATAGGAAAATATATAAGTTACTAAAAATTGCTCATATATCTGTACAGACCAATGTGACAAGCTCCAATACTTCCTTTTAATGTTTTTTTACATAAACTTCCTGATACGATTTTCAGAGTTTTTTGTGATGCATTGAAATGAATCAGCTACAAAGATTTCATGTTTTTAGTGTTCTTTACATAAACTTCCTGATATGATTTGAATTTTTTTTTGTGATGCATTGAAATGAATCGGCTACAAAGATTTTATGTTTTTAATGTTCTTTACATAAACTGCCTGTTAACTTCCAGTTAACTGAAAGATCATGTCTGAGTTTCAATATAACCTTGCCAATCCCTGTGTTATAACACTGAACAAATGGACAATTTAATGTATGATTGCATGTAAATCATTCATTAAAGGCACACTGTCCTACTTGTAGCTACTTGCTCCCTCTATATATAAAACTTCCCAAATCGGTGCCTGTTGGTCCCCCATGATCCTCTTTTTCTTATGTTAAATGAGAGCTGAGTTAATGAGATAGCCACCTGTCACAGTGACCTCGTTGGCTCACTGGGTGGTCTAATCCCTTCTAGCTGAAGTAGTAAAGCCTCATGTATTAGGTAAACATTAGGCAAACACTAATCGATGAATCTTTGCATTTAATATTTATTTCTTGTACAAACTGTTATTATGCAAATGTATTAAAGAGATCTTTTGATTGTTACTCTGTGTTTCCTTTACATCGTATAGATCACATGGTCCATGAAGTGCCTCAACTCTTGAAGAAAGAGTCTAGAGATTTCTGTGTGCTACAAGTTTGTAAAGCAGTGGTAAGTCTTGGGATTGTTAGGAAATCTTTAAAATAAATGTATACAGTCTACTCAGTAAAGTAGAATTTCATTATGTCTGTTAAAGTGTTTAGATGTAGCTGCTGCTGGGAATATATTAGTCTTCTCTTTGTTGACACTTTAAAGCTAGTCCTGTGATTTTCTTTTTCTGATTGAAATTTTTTTAATGGTAAATTCTCTATATTCTTTCATACATTGTAAGGACACTAAAGAGCTCTGCTCCAAACTGTAATAATACATAACATCTTTGAACTGAACTCCATTTGTTGCTTGTGTGGCAGAGAAATGGAGAATGGATTTCAAAATTGTACCCTCCTACCCTGTGCAAATCTCTCAATCAGGAACGCCCATTTATGGTTATTGTCAGATTTGTCCCCCTTGATTGTGCCATTCTCACTATTCATCATCCTGAAGATAAGATACCTTATGGATGGATGACCCCAAGGGAGTTATTGACATATTGTTTTGCATACTCTGAAACACACCATAGTGCATTGCTCACTGTAAAATAACAAGATACATGATGATGAATATTATTGTTGCTGTTCTTTGATGATCCAATTGTAGGGTGAGCGTCACATCGTGGCCTGCCGATCCATCGAGTGGAAAGACTGTCCAGAGGAAGGGTCATTGGTCAGAGCTCATATGCTACCTAGTGGATGGGTCATTGAACCTGTAGGAAACCAGTACTCCATGGTCACCTACATTACTCAAGTAAGCAACAGTGGTGTACTGTATCTTTGGTGGGACATTACCCCTCTTCCTGAATTTGTTTCCTATCACTTTTAAAGGTATTGGGTGCTTTGAAAAAACAAGGGAAGACTATTTTTAAAGGAAACAAACACAAAGTTTACATTTCCTTTACAAAACAATTGAAGATGATTAAAACCAGTTTCACATTTTATGATGTGAAGCATACTTTAAAGGTAAAAAAGCAGCTAGATAGTCATCATTTCAATTGAAAAAAAATCCCATTTGTCCTTTCAAACATGCTAAAATGTCATTATGCAGAATTCACACACAGCAGATGAATCTTTTTTTTTACAGTGTGTTAAATTATGGGGGTGTTTGGTTAAAAAAGAATAATATCATGCACTACTCTTTGTAAAGTTGGTATCTTATATGACCGTCTTCAACACTAGATGTGCCAGAGATACTCTAAAATGAGGCTTGATTAGACCTCCATTTAATCACAAAATTTGAATGATTTCTTAATCCAGAAAATTTGTGTTCAGCATGTATTAGTAGACAAGTATTACACTTCTTTTAAGTAAATTTTGTACAGGTTTACTGTTCATCTCTGGATGAGTTGTGTTTTAATATGATTTTGAAATAAGTTTGAACTCTGGATAGTCCTCATATTGTAATGTTTCCTGTGTGTCATCTCTATAATAATTGGATCTCTCTTCTCCATTGTCCACTAGGTTGCCTTGTGTGGTAAAGATGTGCCAGCAGCCTTCAGTCAGTTCCTATCAGTGAGAGTGCCGCTCAGCATCGCTTATCTTCGTCTCTTCATGGAGGCACAGCTGCCTTGAACACTCTGTTATGCCTCTATCCTCACTCCTCCTCATTCCTTCCAACATGGTCATTTCACCACTATCTTCAGAGGTACCATCCTACAAGGGTAGGAAGGGGATACCGGTCGGACTATTGGGGTATCTCCTACCTTCCCTGTACAGTTAATGTATACAATGACATTTTCATGTACAGGAATTTTGCAGATGATAGGGAACAGACATTTGTTGAAGTGTTGTTTTTACGTTAATTTACACAGGCTACTTATGATACATGCTTGCAAATGAATTGCCAGCTAATTTTCGAGTGTGTTCTAAACTTTTGCAAAAAATGAAGGCTTTTACAGAAATCCATCATGTTTTGTAGTACTGTTATGTAAATATTTTATCAGACAACATGGCTGAAAAAATGTTTGTTTATCTTTGAAAATTATCTCTTGAAAAAGTAAAAGAGCAGTTTTTCCCAAAGCAAGGATTAATTGAGGTTGAATTATTATGACAAACTCATTATTTGCCTTATTAAAGCTCACTTTCTTTAAAATTTTGACAATAATTTGGCCCGGAAAGGGCTGATGATGTTATTTAGTCAACTGAAACTCTCTGTAATTACATTCGATATTTAAATCACATATTTCCTAGAAACATGCCCTTTAGAAGATATACACAGGGTCATTAAGTATAATTGGAATTTTGCAGGATATCCCCTGTTCTTCAGTGGAAAGTATGTTCAGCATGTGGAAAGTAAATAGGAAAAAGAGAAAGGACAGCAGAAGACTGAAGAGTATATCCTTCCTGCCTCAAATAGTTGGTTGAGACTCAATTATCAAACATCGGGCAGTTGTTGGAAAAGGCTTGTCTTAGTAGTCTGCTCAACTATCATCTGATACATTCAGGGAAACCTTTTCTCACTCTTTGTTTCTATGTAATACAAACATTTCCTTGTAATATGAAACTAGATACTTCTACATTTCACCTTCAACATTTCAAATGCTCTAGACAATAGAATTTTTGTAATTTTTGTATTTGAAATGTAAAATGGAATTCAAATGTTCTCCATTAGTTGCCCATATGTGGTAGTTTTCTGAGAGATTTGATAAAACATTTTCCAAAGAGAGGTTTTTACCTTTATGTATGACTTTGAACTCTTAATGTGCTCAGTCAGCAATTTGTGTAAAAGTGGAAAGAAAAAAATGACTCTTTCATAGATCAATTAAATTGTGTAGATTACAATACATGTTCCACTTTATACTATGAATTGAGACTGGTGCTATTAACCATTATAGCAAACCAGAAACTTCACTAATATTTCTTGTGAGCTGAACATCTATTTTGTTTACATTTTGAAACCTTGCAACGGGAATTGCTGAAAATATGAATAACACTTAACAATCTATTTAATGCATTTTTGAAAGGTTATACACAATGAACACTTTTATACATTTGATGTGATGCATTTGTTTCAAGTGTTGTGATATAAATGATTTTCATGAGTGCTCTTTTTATAGAAAAATTCCAAATGGTTTTTATTATTTGTTCATACTATTTGATAGTTGGTTTAGTAATAATTTCCACTTTATGCTTTACTCATTGATGGTATATTATACCAGTTATTGTTTGTTTTTTATTTTTTTAAATGCTGTTCGGGAGGCTAATATATTTTTGCTATTATACAGTATGTGAGTGTATTCTGTATATAGATATGAAGTGGACAATTGATTGAACTGAGCACATATCTCCTTACTGAAATAGAAATTTGTACATTATGTTGTGTATAAGCTGAAACAAAAGTCTGTGTATTGTGAGTAAGATATGTTGTTATTTGTTCTGTTACTGAGGCTGCTATTTTTGGAAATAGGTCGATGCGTTTATACATTACTATTCTTTCAATAATTATTGTAATTTTTGCTTTAGTCAGCAAATAAAGTAGATGAGACTATGATATTGAGTTGCATCTGACATCTTCCCCACCAAAATCAAATGAATATAATACAGCTCAGTTGATTTACTTGATTACTTTTTACATATTCATTGTTAATTATAGGACTTTATCTTTATTTGTGTGCATACAGTCATTGTTACACCAAAGCTTATTGTGACATGGGCATTACTACGCAAAGCATACTATCTATGAAATCTAACAGTTTGGTGGGAATTTTCTTCTTTCTTTGTTTTGTTGTTATTTTGGTATTACATTTAATTGACATATTAGTGGGGAAATTATTTAATTATCATAACTTTGGTGCATTTTTGTAAGGAAAACTCATGGAAAATTGGGTTTGTTGACACTTAACTATCTAATATGACAAATGTCAAGCATATACTTCTTGGGAAAGGAGATATAATGTGAACAGTTTATGTACGCACAGATGAGTTGATTTCTTAGACAAAGTCAATTCTTGTTCCCTTTAGGATCTCACAGTATGATTCAAAATGTTGCCAAAATGTGGACATGTTGGATATTCCAAAGAAACTTCTTTATTTATTTTTACCGTTTACAAATGCACACATGAATGATTGAGTTCTGTTATCGTTGATGAGTTATTTTTCTGCATTTACACAATGTATTATCTATATATTTATGCATTTTTAAAGAGCAAATGACTGCATTCTACTATTTTGTATTTTGTATTTTGTTTTTGATAATGTTGCTTATGTTACTTTTATATTGTTTGTATTACATTTTTTTCTTACATTTACATTCAATGAATTTGATATCTATGCATGTCTAGCACATCAAGACTCACTTTTGCCATTGTGTGTGCACATTTTTTATCACCTGTGAGGTAATATTATTTTTATTATTTGAGTCAGGAAGAACGAGATGGAAGGTTTCTTTGTTCTGTTTTGACACAACTTTGTTGTACATATAGAATTCTGAAACATGCAATAAGTGTAATAATTCATGATTTATTTTCTGCTGCTGTACATTGTATTTAAGATTTTACGCTGAAATAGCAACACTTACTTGGCACACTCAACGCCCCCTTTTGCCATGTTTATCCCCCTGTTTTTGCTTTGGAAAATGTCCATGAGTATATTTTGTCTTTGAACGATATTTGAAAGGTGCTCTACCAATATTTTTTGAGAAAAGATACATTTGCTAATCTTTTAAAAATTATAGTCTAGATTAGGACAGATAATAATGGGAAATGTGAGGTAAAAATTAATAGGAAAAGATACAGAAGAAACATGATTTTTGTTTTCATCTGTAATTTTGATATGGTTCTCAATTTAAAAAAAAAAAAACATTTATATTAATTCATTTAGATATATTTAGGTATTTATGATAGTCAATGCCTGTTTGCCAATATAATTTATTAACCCAACACAAATATATATTAAAACTTATCCTAAAATATGAATAATCATTTAATAATGTCCTACAGGGGAACATAACTCACTGTATAATGCTAATTGAGCAACAATTTTAATTGTGATGCTGTTAACCTTCAGGTTATCATTTCATTTGGTCTTTTAAGACAAGTAGGAATTTCCATTTGATGTATTTTGCCTTGGTTTCTTTGGGAACATTTTTGTGTGTTTGAATTTAACAATTTGGAAAAGTTTTTTGCAGTACTACAGTGCAATAAACTTAAAACTTGTTGCATACTAAATTGTTGTACGAAGACAATTTTTCTCTCTTATACATATAATTTTCCTTGTTTTTTTCCCCATGAAAATAGGAGAGGGAATATTTCTCCCAAAGATAGATGTATACGTGTTCATGAACGTGATATTTTGCAAAATAAGAGTGAGGTAAGAAGAGAAGACGGTGTGTGTAAGCGAGAGAAAGTGGCAAGAGATAGACAGAGAGAGAGACATAGTAATGCAGATATGAGAGAGAAAGAGAGAGAAAGAGAAAGATAGACACATTATGAGAGAGAGAGAGAGAGAGAGAGAGAGAGAGAGAGAGAGAGAAGGGGGGGGGGGGGCAAAGAGAATAGTGCTATGTCGTAAGAGATGGTCTTCAACAATAGGTAATCATTTTTTTTTCCTTCAAGGAACACGTAAAAGTCAATACATGATATGGGGCCAATCTGATGAGTGAGATTAGAAAGTTGGAAATAAACGGCTCAATACGAAGATCAATATTACCGTTCAACATTAACAAATCATCACACAATGTTGAGCTCCACTATAATTCGTCCTTGTTTTCACGAAGTGACAGTAGTGAGGAAAATCGTAACGCAAAGTGAATGCAATTTTTTTTCACTACCGTCACTTCGTGAAAACAGCGACGAATTTTTAAGTAAAGTTAATGTTAGAAAATTAAAGGTCATTCGGTAAACATTCGTCTCTCTTTTTAAACCTTACCCATATTTATCAGCTCCAACATTTCTCTGAATTCTGAATCTTTTGCTATATAGCGACCGTGACAAAATATAAATTATTTCTCGGGATGGTTCACAAGTCTGGTAACGTGTGAAAACGGCCGTCTTGGGTGTCAAGAATTTTAATTTCATGGTTCATGACAGAACGGATTCTTCATATCTCATTACCAATAAAGGCACGAATCTAATACCAAAATATGCCAAAGATTCAGAGCACTAGCTGGAATGGACCTCAATTCGCGGTCGGTAATGAAATTTTGCACATTGATGCCCACACTTCACAAAGAAAAGTAATTGATTTCACATTTCAACGTATACTGTAGCCGGTGTATTATACTATTCCATTTTCTTGTTGTTAACTGTTCTTGGTTCTTGCTCGAGATGAGTTTCCGAATTGGATGCACCTCATATTTCATATCTGCAACTTTAAATGATGATGTTGGAGATATACGTCGACATCGTGAGAAACCCTCTCTCTATTCTAGTCGATATCAGCGAGCCCTTCGGCTGAATGAGATGGAAGACGTTCGTTTGGAAGCTAAAATCAGGAGCCTGGAACAACGAAACCGTTTATGTCTTGAGAGGTTGAGGGAAGATAAAAGGGAAGCCCGTCACCATTTGCTAAAGATTAGAACTAAGAAATGCAATACTCAATATACAGAGGAAAGGAACATAACTTCAATGGGTTGCAGTATTGGAATTGATTCATCTAGGGTCAAGGAAGAATCAAAATATGTTGGTACCAGGCGAAATAGAGCGCAGAGAGCACAGGTTGGGTTTAAATCATTACGTCGTGACGCCAATTTGCATCATGCACAGTGTTTAGTAAGCTCTGAAATCAACTCGACTCCTTGTGAAACGTCGTGTGAAAAACAGAGAAGTGAGAAATGTCATCAAAGTACATGTATTAACGCTCACAAGGATTTGACTCAGCAAACTCAAAGCCCCCCGAAGCTTGCAAGAGATTTTGACGGCAAACTTGTCCGGAAAGAAAGAGGATCATCTAACCGATTCCTAGCACACTGTTTGCCACCTCTCCCAGAAACACAGCTAGGTTTTAGCGATCCCGAGGTCGGTTCAATCTCACCTCCTGAATCACCACTACCACTACGAGGTCGACAGGCCAGAAATGCACAAGGGATGACACGCATCCTGATCGCAGAAGCGATGTCGTGGAATCAGCGAAGATGGAAATTCAGAGCTCCTCATCCATAACTGTATCGCGGAATCGATGTAGAGCAGAAATGTAATGCAGCAGGCTTAGACTCAAGAAAGAAGAATGTTTTACATAATTATTATAATACGTTTTGAAGCCTTGGATCATGTCAAAATCTTAGTAGAACCCTCTTCGAAGTAGTTATTTTGAATTACTCTTTTGGAGTTGATTCCACTATTTTGAGCATAACCTGTAACTACCCCCCCCCCCAAAAAAAAGAGGGTAAATAAAACTGTTGTTATGATCCTGCGGCACACGGGTATACTTTCGGGATGGCATGATTCCACCCCGGTAAACCCCGATGGATTCTGCCCCTTCTTGGCAAGCCATTGTATCACAAAAGAAAATGTTTTTTTTGTACCGTTATACGAATAGAAATTATCAAATCTGCTTGATTATAGATTTATATAAACAGGTAGTTTCGATATTTGGGGAGGGGGAAACGGATTCACTCATCTCGAATTATTTTGTGCAAATCGTATGCTATAACTGCTAATGAGCATAGCTAGTTCAACTCTGTTCTGTCTAACTGAGAACGATTACTTCTGTTTTACTTACCTTTATAGAATGGATCCAAACTTATAATAACAAGGACAGTGTTATAGAAATTTAAGCAACAGCGTTATACACTTTAACATTCGAGCGACGTACGGCGAACAATTTTTATAGGCCTATAGATTATACAGATAACGAGTTACGAATAAGTTTGCTCTTTTAAAAATATATTTGAACTGGGTTTAGGCTATATATGACAAGTCGTGTCTGTAAGTATTTTTTAAAACCCAAATTCTCTTAGGGGAAAACATTTTGTTTAACTTGTACCTTTCCCGTATTTTATTTATGTATTGATTTCTTAAATACTTTATTTTTTCCAATTATAGTATAGGCCTATGATTATACCATGCGAGCTCCTCTCAAATGTGCTCTCTAAAGAAACTTTCACAAGCTATCATATAGTTATTTTTGACGGAATATATTTTTTTTCATACAGGGTATATAGATTTTGAAATATCATATATAAGGGGAATGGATGATAGAAAAATTGCAGAAAATGTATATTCTTTAAAAGTTTTTCAGTACAGGGCAAATGGGAGGGGAGATCGCAAGATACGCCATTGAGCTGCCAACTTGTGTTTGATTGATTGCAAATTCATAACTTTCTTGCTCAAACGTTCACTGACCTGTTTTTCTAATTTTTCTGCCGCTATAAATCCAACTTTAATATCAGGGTGGACTTCTCCTTCAAATGCGTTCATTTTGAAACTTTAAATATGAGAAGAAGTAGCTAAACGATGACATGGTCCACTGTACGTAGGCCTATAAAGAAGGATTTTAAGCACATGATTTTCAACGCAAATTTGAAGAGCTATTTAAATATCATTAAGTTCGTTAGGCGATGCAAACTAAAGCTGGGTAAGCGTTGGAGCTACAAAATATCTAGTTTATCACAACGATTGATTAAAGCTTGCTGAAAACCTGTAAATAATGTAAAAGTCCTTAATTGTGCATGTATTGTGAAATCTTTACGTGTATTTTGAAATGACAAACTTCATGATGCGTGAATGAAAATCAGTGCCATAATTATATAGGCTAAATTATGCCTGCACAACCATGCTGTAAAGTGATTGTTATTCAGATTCAGATTCATGCCTGTATTGGCTCATCAGTGGCTGTATGGTCATCAGTCATCCTATATAACCTCTATTTGCTCATAATATGTTTCATCACCTTTATGTGTTTATTCTTTACCATGCAACTTCAATGTCTTTGATAAAACATTTATTTATTTTTTTCACGGGGGGTCAATTAAAATGGATTGTAAAATAGAAAATGATTTGTTATGTTATATTCTTTTTCATATGATGTTAACTCCAATTAATTGAGAAATTTCGAACATGCATGCATGCATAATAAATAAAATAAATCAATCGTCATAATTTCTAACCTAGGGTCTATATCAATATGGCAGGATCACCCTGGATATAAATGACATTCCTTTTTATTGATATGGATAAATCTGAAAGATAACTATCATAAGCTTTTCATTTGTCTGAAGAAAGGACCAATAATGTGATCCCTCTAAAAGAAAAGAAAAAAAAAAGCCAATCACATCCGTCGAGCCGGATTTGAAGGATTACAGCTATTTACCATCTACAGTCCTTCGCTCTACCAACTGAGCTATCAGGGACTTTTAGATTGAGTGGACGAGAACACGACGAACGCCGACTGCCCATGTTGACTACTATTAGAAATCTTTTAGATTGCACTCGACGATATACAGCCATGCAGGAAGTAACACTATGAACATCACGGACAAAGAAAGATGACAAAATATTCAGTTCCTCATTCTACCCTCAACAAAAGAACATCCCTTCACTGCTATTATGTAAAAATGTGTAGAACAGGTGAATATGCATGTGACACCCGTTCTACACATTTTTACATAATAGCAGGGAAGGGATGTTCCTTTGTCTACCTGAGGAACTGTATATTTTATGCGCACGCGGCATACTTGTACCTTGAGCATGACAAAAAGGCGCTATATAAATATCAATATGTATGTATGTATGTACTAGATTTAGGAAAATCAAGGTTGACGCATTCTCGATCGTCGACTGACACGACGTAACGCATGCGCAGTGCCTTAAAATGACGTCACACGTTGCAGTCAAAGCTGTCGACGTGCAAATCTAAAAGTCCCTATCGACGGGGAGTCGACGGTAGAGGGCAAACGTTACGTCGCATCATGTGATATTGTTTTTATCATCTAATTTGCATATTTTGGATTAAGCCTGATGTGATGGCAGTCAGCAGCTAGCAGTACGAATTCAGGGTAATGATATTCTCTGTCACAAAGCATGTATTCTTCAACAATCGTTAAAATGCTTTCGTTTTCAAATGTTAAGCTTTTGTTCGTGTTTTATTCAATAGATTTAAGTTGAGACGAGAGAAATGGTACAGTTCAATTTAGTGACTAGTCCCATTGCTTAAAATTCATGTTAGTTATTACTGTTAGTGTTACTTGTTCATGAGAGTAATTGAGACACATACACGAGTCATGCCACACCAGTTAAAAATCGGTGCCATAAAATGACCTAGTCATAGGCATAGACAGTGAGCAAGCATTATTATCAACAACTACGAGGGTATGGTACAACTACAAACTATCATTAGGGTGTCTGATCGCGCACCTGATGTTGTGTGCTGAAAGTGAAATCCTTCCAATGCCATGGCAATAGAGATTGCATGCATCCCTACCTATGCATTCTATGTGCATTGCGGGACCATGCAAAATTGGTCAATGAGTTTATGAACAAATTGAAATTCAAACCTTTATCGCTCGTGATCCTTGCCGTGATCCTGAAGGTGAAACTCAATAAATGAGGTGTCATCAGAGACGCCAAGTTCAAAGATCAGCAATGCGTGACATTTTCATGATTCGGCACGCGAGCTCGCGTGCGAGGGTATAACACACGTATAAGGTATAGCGTTTTTTCAAAATCTAGCGGGCGCGTCGTGCGTAAGAGCATACTTGGTAGCTCTGTGTCATATGAAAGAGCAGGTTTTTCTCCATATTCCCCAAAGGGGCACGCCCTCAGAATTCTAAAATATCCTGGTCAAAACAGTCATCATTGAAATGTTGTTTGCATCCTAACTAAAAAATTTGCCACTTTCCTGAAGCGCGCCTCCCAGGCTTATTTTTTCGCTAGCCCCAAGGGATCACAAGCGATGACAGTTTGAAAATACTGTTCCTCCCATTTTTTGGATCAGCTAATTAGGGAGGCGTGCGCTCCGCTCAGTCCAAACCATGGTGATAACTTGTAAAATCTGCACATGCATATTCCTTCGGACTGCATACAGTGTACCGTATTTGCCGACGTAAAGGCCGCAGTATTTGTAGAAGAGAAAATATCAAAAAGTCGGGGGTGCGGCCTATGCGGCGAAAGAGTAAAAAAACAAAAAAACTTGCAACTCAAAACCATGAAGCACAGCCCGATTTTGTACATATGGGACAACAATGAAAGGTGATGGACATTTCTAGAATAACTGTCTAGAATAACACATGTCTTACCAACAATTATGTGTTATATTTTTTAAATGAAGGGCAAAGTTTTGCCAATCTCGTAAATAAAATTCATAACTTACTAACCAAACTCTACTGGTACATGTAGTCCAGATTTAAGTTTTTGCCGTAGCTAAAGAAACTTCAATCCTCTCGATCGCGTGAGCAAAGCTATGTCGTAATACACAAAAGAGAGGAGCAATACATGAGAGAAAACTGCAAGTGATATCACCAGTGCGGGATGGCCAAGCGGTCTAAGGTGGTGATTTTAGTCATGTCAACATTTGTAGGGAAGAGTTCATATCCCACCTCCGACAATTTTTTTTTTTTTTTAAATGTCAAAATCGGGGGTGCGACCTATACGGCGCTGCGGCCTTATCGCCAGCAAATACGGTATGTGTATTAGGCGAACAAACCCGGAAGTGAATGCACATTATAGACAATGGAGGTAGAGCTTGCCGATTGCGCTCAAACCTGGAAGTGGACACACGTTGTAGACACATGCTCAAGTTGCGCATTCAGCTAAGCAACATGCGTACACTTGTACGCGTATGCACACGCTTGCATATTGCGTGATGCAGCTGTTTGGCTAAATTTAGCAAAACAACCTAACTCTGCATGTACATTGAATATTGCAGAGTTTTTGAGGGGCTGTATCTTTTGATAGAAACATCGGTGAGTCTTGAAATTTGAAATGTATTATTCTGATTACATTTTTTATTCAAATATTCAACAAAAATGGTGAAAAACGATCCCAAATTGAAAATTGAAAAATCGTTCAGACACCCTAAATTTAGTAAAATGTTGCACTGTATATAATCCTAGGGTTCTTACAAGTCATTGGATCATCATCATTCAAAACTTCAATCTACATTTCCATGGTGTGTGTCCAGAGAAATTCCCAATCTTAGTAAATTGCGTAATAAAAATGCAGGATATAAGAGGTTAAACTTAAAATTGTGTCATGTTACTGTGAGATACCATTGTAAACACTACATTGTATTTCTCATTACAGATATAAAGTCCCAATTCAAACCTTCGCATGATGGCTACTTCCGGCCACCATGTATCTGACTGTTCCAAGGCCTCTAGAGTCCATCCATTTGGACTGGAAGTATCAGTCACACAGGATCAACTCCTCACTGCTTTCTTCAACCATCTCTACCTTGGCCAGTGGGAGTTAGCAAGTGCATGTGCTGCAAGCCTTGAAAGTCTACAGGGATCTGATGATCAAGTAGACATTAGGGTTGTACTGCAAGCTATCATCAGACATCCACATGACATCAGGTATTTAAAATTAGATTCATAGAATTTCTGTTCTTTGGCTAAAATCGAGTTCTGGCCATGAAATTCCATTCCGAGAGAAACTGGATATACCGTAATACATTTGTGAATTTTCCATTATGAAAAGGTTTGTTTAGACCAGCAAAACAGAAATGTTTGGAAACCTGCTTGACCCACATTCACTGACAATAAACAACTCATGTTTGTATTAAGCATATGATCTCAATAACATACTATATCAGTATCGCATTTTACATGTTATATACCCAAACTGTTTGTCAGGCATTATTAATTTGTAGTCTGGAACATTCAGTGTAATTTTCATTTGAATCTTTAACAATATTTTATTCCGTCATTATTAGAACTCAAATTATCTTAGGAGCTAAATCAGTTTAAATTTGAATCAGCATTTCTAGATAAGTGAATGGATAAATGTGAAAGTGGATTAGTTGGCATGAGAGCAATTCTATAAAAAAAAATATAACTTTCTCTACATAGTCTTGGTTTGGATAGCATTTCATCTCCTCATCAGCTTGCTTGGTTAGCATCACTTCATTTGAAGCAGGAGGCCAGGAAGGAAGAGGTGAGAAAGGAGCTAAACAAATTTAATTTGTTCTTTATTGTAACTATGGTTGTGGCAGAAATTCGTACATAAGTCAAGATTTATTCTCAAGTGCAATGGTGTGGACGAGTGGATAAATTTCTTCGGAAATAGCCTTGAGAAAAAATTGTGTAAAGCAGTAAAAAAAAGAATTAAGTAATCATTAATTATTAACACGGTGGACATACATATTTTTATCTGTTTTTCACTTTTGGGGCTATAACTGTCTATTTGATATTCTTCTTACAGGGACTGCTGGTGTGATCAGCTTTCAACAATTATCTATTGATACTTGAAATTCAATTCATAATTGCATAACGGTATACAACAACAACAAAAAGAAAAAGAAGAAGATAGTCTCTTCTTTATTAATTTTTTGTTTTTCGCTTCTCATTATGAATAAAGACAATACCAAACTCCCAGTATTTGAAATGTAGAATTTTTTAAATATTTGCTTGTGTTATCTTGATCGTGGAGAAGTAAGTGACTTGCCTACAAAGAAATTTGTATTAAATATTTTTTTAAATTTTCTACAGGATTTATCTGCTGACGATTACAGAGAGGTCGAACTCAGACTGTTACTATACCTTGCAAATTCTGATGCTGGCTCAGCCGTTTTACAGGTGAGGATTAAGTAATTGCTAAAAAGGACATAACCTTACAGTTTAAATCACTCTAGTTGTTATTTATACATCTGCCGTATTTAGAAATCACACTGTCACTTACATTTGAGTTATTCCACATAGATATTCTTTCACTTATTTTTCCTCTGATTCTTTTGTTACAGGAAGTATATATGTACTTCAAGGCTGTTCAGTTGCAACTTGAGGCTGCTCATCAGATGCTGGTTCAGAAACAGACACTGCTTCCAAACCTTTCAAAAGACTGCCTCAAATTCCTGCTGTCAACTCTTAGCAAAGATGTCACTCTTGGTCACACTATCATACAACGCCTCCTCCTGCCAAAACAACACAGGGTGGAAGAAAACAATCTATCTCTTCATCAGGTCTATATCACTTGTCTTAGGGACTGCATATCATCATTAGAGTCAGTAGGTGACAGAGGCAGTGTGGTAGAAAAGGAACAAATGGTGCAATTGATTCACAGTCTTCTGAACTATTTTGATCCTCCTGTCTCACTGCTACCCAGACTTGATATTGAGGAACTGTTCACAAGTTTGCTTAGGCTTGCCAATCACTACCCAGGATTGTTTAATGAGTCTTCACTCACTGCAATCCTTGTTGGTCGGGACTCGGACACATTGCTCCAAACTTTTCTGAAGGTTCAGTCTACCATGAGCTGGGAGTGTGTAGAGAGAGATGTATGTACCAGGCATCCTCAGCTGAAGTGTATGTGTCCAGAGCTGAGGATTAACTTTGCCCTGTCAATGATGGACGATAGAGAAGCTGCTTGGAGGAACCTCTTGCACTGGGTGTTAGAGAATGATCAACATGTTCTAATCAAGATTGTGGTAAGTCTGGGTTTCTCATGTTATGAAATGAATATAGTGTCATATGTGCAGTTTAGGAATTGATTTGGTTACATTAAATTTAATTTGCACTTGAAAGAATTCTTCGCTCTCCTATCGTGGAGGACTGTAGTTTGAGCTGTTGACCACCTCGGAAGCTACTTTATTTATACTCATGAGATTTGTTTTCAAGATGGGAAAATTTACTGTTCAAGTGAATTTTTTTCTTCATCATTGATTCAAGGAACCATACTTAGCTTCTTATTTCTTAATGACATTGTTCATACTTACTTAGCTACTGTTCTTACACAGTTTGCATAGCATGCATTTCTTTAAAGTGTGATATCTAGTTACAGCTCTTGGTATGCATGCATCACTCTATGTTTCCATCACTGTTCTCTGAATTCTTTGCATTGTTTGTACTTTTCTCTCTCTCTTTCATGTATTATGATCCTCTCTTTCTCTCTCTCTCTCTCTCTCTCTCTCTTGCTCTCTCTCTCTCTCTCTCTCTCTTGCTCTCTCTCTCTCTCTCTCTCTCTCATATCTCTCTCTCATCTCTCATCTCTCTCTCTCTCTCTCTCTCTCTCTCTATCTCTCTCATATCTCTCTCTCATCTCTCATTTCTCTCTCCCTGCACTTGTCCAACAGGAATTGTCATTAACTCTAATTCGAGAGAGAATGTATGAGGAGCTGAGCAACCTTCTCCAGCCTAGTGAGTTTGCACCCATTAGACCTCTTATCTTACTCCTTGGATGGGGTCATGTGGATAGCTGTTCAGCTGCTCGGAATCTCATACAGACACTATGGAAAAAACAAGTATGTACATACCCAAATGTTTTTTTTTTTAAAGGCATTGATTCGACATGGAGAACATGGATGAATAACAAACAATTCAGGCATAAAATATTTCACTGATGTAAAACACATTTATTCAGGTGAGTTAGCCAGGCAAAATATGTTGAAGTCCCTGGACCATATACAAAAAGAATTGTAAGAAGTAAAGAGAGAAAGAATTACATATTTACTATGTGTTATATTTGTTTCAAGTGTTTTAACAGGATTTGTTTTTACTTTTGAGAAATATACTTGTTCAAAAGGTGTGTTTTTCCTACTGAAACCTGTATGTTGAGTTCTTATAATAGTAACTTACCAGCAACCTGTTTTTTTCTTGTAGCCTATCAATGGTGCAGATGATGTGTTGCAGCAGGCCTGCCAGAGACTTCATCAAGATGTACAACTCATCCAATGGTGCTTGGAGCAAGTCAAGTAAGTCCTATCATCTTCCAACATCTTACTACAACTACTGGTAGTTCCAATTGTAGAAGATACATAAACGCACATGCAAATATGGAAACAAGGAACCGTGTTCAGATAAGCGGGTTGTGAGATATATTCATCCTGGAGAAGAAAACATGTTAAAATTGACGCTTGTTCATCAAGTTGTATTGGTGATGTTACTCAGTTGATATTCTAGAAGTGTAAATTGTGCGTATAGAGTGTCTGATGTGGAATAAAAAGCACTTCTGAAAGAGTCATTCATTTTGTAAATGGAACAATGCATTCTTAATAGTTGTCTGTTAGATGAATTCTGACTTCATAATCATATTGGTCATTTCTTAGTAATCTTCTCTCTGTCAATGAAACTTCCTCAGACCTTTGATAGCCAAGTATGATGGTGACCTTTCATTGGAGCAGAAGGCTACAACCATGTTTCAAGGGGCAGACTCTCATTCAGTACTGAGATTACTCTATCACTTCACAAACCTCTCAAACATAGATCCTATGGAAGGATTCCGTCTTCTGAACTCTATACCTCATCTGGGTAAGAAAGGTTTGCCTCTTCTTGTAATTTACTGTCATTGATTGAAAGCTTTAAAAATAGCACCTAAATTAATATTTTTAAAATCAGTATATACAAAAATTGAAGCACAATGTTTACACACTTGGTGATTATAATGTATGCACCTGAATGATCTTCTATGGGTTATATTCATAGCGAATTTTGGAAACAATTATGTTAAGATATGTACAAAATCTGTTTTTAATAATTTATTTGTTTTTGCATTGATTTTCTAGAATTAACACAGAACAAAGGCCATGAAGCAAAGACAGTGAGGTTTGCTGACGACAAGGAGTTAGTTGACCAAAAGCGAGATTGCACAATCTATAGGAGTTTCCTGGCCATAGGGAATGTCATGTCTGCACTGATATACAGTGCTAATCCAACTCCTACTGCCCAGGATGTACATGGTAGTGGAGCTCCTACTCCACCTACAGTATCAGTGGTGCCTCCAGAGGGCCAAGGTGAAATAAGACCCTTAACTCCTGGAACAGTTAGGAATGAGTCTGAGAATGTTGAAGATGAGGATAAGAGCTGGCAGACGTGTGTTGTGGGTAAGCTGAGAGCAGCTAAGGAGCATCTTTCAGAGATTGTTCCTCTCACATACAGGGTTGAAATCCTGGAGAATCTCTTCTCTCTGCTGTTTGCAAGATATGAGGACATCCAAACTCTTGAGAGTGGTGCTGTGATGTCAGACAGTGGAGGAGAGGAGGGCCATGTGGATGAGGAGTGGAACAACATGAGCTTTAATACAAGTCTGGAAAGTGTGGAAAGCCCCTTCAAGGAGGGTTCACTTTTGACAGAGTTCACCTTCCCAACAAGTCTTGCGAAGAGTTCGTCTGTCATTGAGAACCGTTCTGTGATGAACGGCCAGATGAAAGGTAGAACCCAAAGCTCCAGTGACGCTACACTCACCTCTTCCCTGCTTGATAGAACAGATGTGCTTGAAAGTGGTGATGTGCAGCGATTGAAATATGGAAAGAGGACCAGTTCTGAGACTACAAACAGTCTGCAAAGTCATCTGAATCACTTTGGGTCTTCAGTCAACAGGGTTGGTTTTCTCACCAATCGAAGGTTCATGCAGGAGCTGCTAACAATGCTCAAGGAGTGCATCGAGGAAGTGAATACCGCCAAACTTGCCAATATGGTATCCAAGGAACCGTCCCAAGGGTCTTCCGATGAGGTCCTCCAATCACATCTTCTCACATCTGTACCCCAGACCCATTTTGCCCAGCATATTGCCCAGCTCACTAAGAGAATCAATGAAGCTCGTTGGCGCTTTCAACTGGTTTCCAGTCACCAAGCCAATGTTGATGATGAAGACAAGTATGACGAGGTTGCAGAGGAGGAAGTTGTCATCAGGAAATTCTTTGAAGCCTGGAGTGATGAAATAGGAGAAGGAAAGAAGAAAAGGAAAAGAACTTCATCCAAACAAAGTCAAAGTAGAGGCAGAAGTGTATCAGGTTTGAGATTTTATTTCTTAAGTGCATGTTAACATTTCAAGAGTAGAAGAATATTATTATGATTTGTAAATCAAGAAATAGCGCACAAGTTTATGTAAAAGATAGATTTATTTGTAAAATCATCTTTTACTGCTCCAACGCCTGAACCATGGAAATCGATATGGTGGTTTCCATTACAGTGAAATGAAACTGATGAAAATGTTAACAATTGAATTTAATTTTATCTGCTGTATTAATGCATTTTAAAGTTGTAAATTGATATGCTGGTTTTTGTGATGTTCACATATCATAAAAATATGCTATCATAAGTATGCGAGTAAAAGCTTATTATCATAAGTGCATATTTTATTCAATATAAGGGGGCCGTTTCTCGAAACCAACTCCATGACAGTCATATCTTTGTCGGCGACCTACGGAGATGTCATGAAGCGGATAAACCGTTTCACAAAGCCATGACAGACATGATATCGATATATCGCGATACTAGCAGCTCAAGAACATAGTCTTTGTCACGATCCATTTGATTTAGCAAGAATAACCCAAAACAAGTTTTGGGGCTAAAATTGTTCAAAACGAAATATATACATATAAATTCTCCTAAAATAAATAATAAATAGTGTCATTATCATATTTCTGTAAAGATTCTTAAATTGAAGAAAAACTGGTGAGTGTTTTTTTTCGACAGTCAAATAAAAAGTTATTTGAAGGATACCGTAATGTGATAGTTTATTAATACGTACTTTTTTGTTTATTGTGACGAGGAATTTTAGGCAAAATGTCTTTTCTCAGCCAGTTTTTATTCTTGAGTCTCATAAATACTCGTTATATAATTGATTTGATATTTAAAATATAATTTGGAAGAAGTAATTAGAGAGGGAATAATAATGCACATAGGCCCCAAAGGTATGACGGTATCCCAAGAAAAGACTATGGATCAACTATGGACAACGGTGTGTAACATTCTTACCTCTCTTAAGTTATAGTTTAATGATTTGTGATTTAATGTTTATATTCAGCTTTTTAAAGTTTCTGTATAATTTGTATTCTCACTTATGTACATTTGCATTTCGCATCCGAGAGAATTACGTACCGAACTCGTCTATATTTTTCTCAAAATGATAGTGAAACTAGTCGTCCATTTCGCGGCCCATGGAATGGCAACAAACTGACTTGTGATGGCGCTTTACAGCAATTAAAAAGATATGACAGGTTCGGAGCAGTGACAACTCGCTTGTCGCGGAAGTTGTCGCTCATCTTGGCAAAGACGGCTTTGTGAAACACTTAGCTGACAAGTTGCGCGACAGTGGCGAGATGTCGTTGATCTTGTAGTTATGACGGTTTCGAGAAACAGCCCCAAGATGTACATCACATTGTCTATTTATAGATTCATCATTTTACTTCGTGATTTCTGTTTACCAATTAATTATGATTTGCAATCAAATATATACATATGTAGCTGGATTTGTATTGCTGGTTGAATGGAAGTTGATACCAGTTTGATTAAGATTGATTCATTTAGCATATTTTATATACACACATGTATTCCAATTTTCCATCCAAGCAGATGAATATATCTTGCTTGAGTTTCATTGTGTAAATATGCCATTTGTATTGTGTTTGACAAATTTTAAATGTTTTTTTTTTCTTCTCTGAACCTTCATGCTAAGAACTATTGTAACTGCACCCAAACTAACATTACAAATAACAAAGTATGTAACATACATTGTCAATTTGCCATGCACCTCTCTAACTTGCACCCAAATACCCTTAATCACAAGGATAGTCTACAGATCCCTTCCATCTCTACTTTAAAAAAAAAAATCAAATATTTTCGCAACTTTCCTTCAATCAAACAAACAACGATAACACAAGAATGTTATGTCACATTGCATGAACCAACACTTCTAATACATATCACTTGAACCCCAGCCCTGTTTCACAAAACCTTACACAATTACCAACTGTCATCATTTTATGTAGAGAAAATGCTACTGTAATTTGTTATTGATGACAAGTTGTATGAACAGGGCCTTTATTAAAATAGCCTGCACCAGTAAGAGCATCATTATATGAATCCAGCGGTAACACTTTTTAAATGCATGGTTACTAACTTCCCCTGACCTTGCATTCATTTTCGCTATAATAACTGGCACCACAGTCTGTCACCTTCACACCTTCACATGCACTCACATAATCACTTTCACTGGCAAACACATTCCTGTAAATCCACGGCTTCTGCTTGGAGTGTCATTGTATTTGTGTGTCTTCCCTCTGGAGTGTATACTGGAGAAGAATGTTATCACACCTTGTTGTATGTCTCGCCTGTAGGCTGGAGTAGTTCTGATCCGGGAAGCGGTAACCACTCAACGCACTCACAGACACGCCTAAGTGCAGGTCCAATGTCTACAGGTTAGCTATCATTGGTGTGCTGTATTGTACCTTGTTTGGGAAGCTGCTGTGCAGTCATGAATTGATAAAAACTTTCATCTTACTTTGTGAGAACCACAAAGTAGAAAGACTTCTCCCCATGCCATTCCTGCAGCATTTCAATAATGTTTGTACTCATGTTGCCTTGATAGTCCAACCTTTAATAATAGAGTTTCATCGTGTATGTTACCAAAGTTTTGAAAAAGAGTTACCTTTTCTTTTTCAGTTGGTTTTGCAATCTTCATTCGTTCTATTCTGAAAGAAACTGTTGATAGCTGTTCAAATTATTTATTTATATTTTACTTGAAAATATAGCATTCACAGAATATAATATGTGTGCAAAGAAGGAAGATATGCATTAGGTTAACATGAACTTTATATGGCTTGTATTGGTTTTTTTTGCATAGTATTTCAAAATGGCCTTAGGTGTACCTGATGAGCTTGCATTTGGTCTTCACACTAATTATTTACACTTATTTAAAGTAAAATTCCAACCTTAATAGAAATCTTCTTTAAAAGAAAGCAGAAAATTCAGAGAAGCAGACTGGTGGAAGTTTAAAGGAAATCTGAATATTATAATCATATAATCAATTATTGTTATTATTATTAATATTATTATAAATTGACAATTTTTGATTCGCATAGCTTTAGTTTCGCCATTCTGTTTCTCTTATTTTCCTTCTTTCGTACAAATTATCACAAACATTGGATTGCTCTAAAGATATTTTCCACTTAGGTTCACTTTATACATTGCTGTTAGAAATCTTGCAATTTTAAAAAAAATATTGAAGAGCATAAAAACCATTGCAAACATTTGCAAATACTAATTTGTAGATGCAACTTTTGTTTACTCATCCATTAAAGAAATAATGTAGTGAACATTCATGCTGTCAATAAAAATCAACAATACAAATATTTAGGAACTGATTAATCTATTTCATACAAAAAAGGGATACCAACCTGATTCACTAATTTGTTTGCAGCTCCATTGTAAGAGTATCATGGTCAAATTAATATACCACTAGACTAGGGAACGTTTACATGTATGCTTCTTCAACCATGATAGACTCTTGATGCTCTGTTACTGAATTATTATCTTGAATTTGTGTGTTAGGTACCAGCAGTGGCAATGAAAGAAGAAAGAGAAGAAAGCATATGAAGTGTACCTCCCATCGAGGATCTATCAGCCCTAAGCCTCCTCTTCATCAAGACTCTAGCATCGTAGCTCAGATGCTTGCTTCAGAAGATACTCTGCTCAGGATGTGTCTCAGGAGGGGAAACTTTGCACAGGCACAGCAGGTCAGAAGGAGTAACCCAAATACAAGTCCAGTCTTTATTTGTCAGGGTTTGGGTAGGTGGTATGAAACAAGCCATGTTGTTGCAACACTCTCCGGCAATATGTGAGCCTCGATGGAGGCCATCATCTTAGAAGAGCTCTCATCCAGATGTAGAGGATGTGTTTGATAATTTTTTTTTAGAAAAGAACAGTAGAATGACTAGTGCAAGTCTGCCAGAGCAGCAAATATATATTTTAGATTTTTGGCATTTTCTGACACCATAAAAGGAAATATTGGATAATACATTTCAAGTCACCTACATTGTAGATGCATGCGATTGAAGAGAAGTATAACTAAAGTAATGGAAGCATGTATTCTAAAGGTTCAAATTGAGCCTTAAATATGACCTGTTTAGTGTGGGTATGAAGTAATATCAAATATGATCTGTTTGGAATGGGTAGGAAGTCAGGGTGAAGAGCCAGTTGAAACTGCTAGTACTTCAAGACTGGAAGTTTATATTACAGTTTTACTTCACTTTGTGAGATTAGAGTGTTTAATGGAGCAAGTATTTCAGCATCAATCCTAGAAAATATTAGATAACTTATAAATATGTTACTTTTATTGTGTATAGGTCATCAAGATCTTTGACATGAAGGACAAACCAGAGGTATCTGAAGTCCACTTTGCATCACACTGGCAGCAGGCAGTTAGTAAGCTCAGAACTCTGGACAAGTCCAAGAAGGGTTCCTCCTCCACCAACACAGTCACTTCTAGCCAGCAGCCTAAGGCTAGAGGAATACTTGGAAGCATTGCATCAATTGCTGCAGCTGGTATTTCATCACTGTCTTTGGCAGGTGTAGTAGACGACCTACTGAACAATGCTACCTTACCGATGCTACCTCACCTAGATGACCTTCATTGGGGAGTGGTAGCAGATGCTACTGGTTCAAGAGGTGGTAGCAGCATGCTGTGTCAGCAACTCAAAGCCATTAACATTTCTGCTATGGTTGTCTTTGATCTTGCATGCACTGTCAGTCATTCTTGGGAAACCTGTGGTGAGCTTTTGGATGTGGTTATGAGTCGTCTCAAAGTGGCTTCTGTCTCGGAACAGGGAAGTCCTGGACCTGAAGTGAAACTCACCAGTCCATCTCGACCAGTGTCAAGTCCCAAAGTAGACCAGTCACAGTCTTTGCTGGGTATCCCAGCATTCATTGAACAACTATACAACCTGATAAACCCAATCTCATCTAGTTCAACAGCTTTGATTTGTCCTGATGCCCTAGAGTACTTTCAGCTTTGTGCCTCTGAAGCTCTCACGACTGTCTCTGCACCCTTGGACCCATCAACCCTCCGTGCCAATGTCAATTTTGTCCTTGAAATGCGTAGAGGGCTTGAGCTTGTGACTAAGGCCCTTCAAGTATACCAGGCTGATGAAGACTGTGGCCTCGCTGAACTCTCTCTGACCTTTGGAGATAGCCCCAAGCAGAGCAGTAGTCCTAAACGTGGAGCTCCTCACCCTAGCCCGAAGCAGAGTCCTGTCAAGACGAAGCAGACAGTTTCTGAGATTCATCGTTCAGTACAGCAGCTACTCATTGCACTTGATAAGAATGTGATGCCAAGCTTCATGATGGCTTTCCCAAAGAACCGAAGCAGTGATGAGCAGCCTGTCAACCCAGCTAACTATCTCTTGACTCTGTATAACCATCTTGGTGTCCTGGCTTCTCTGGCCCATGATGCTCAAGGTTGGCAACCAGGTAATACCATACTTGCTCATATGATTAGATAATAAAATGTTGATGTCCATGATGTTCATAATCAAGCAAGGCTATAAATTGCCAATACGCTATTTAAAAAACATCTGTGTTTCCTTGGCGAAGCTAATTCTTACCATTATGTAAAATTTCACTTTAAATGTGTCTTAATTTGCTCGGACAAATATTTGGGAAATACATCTGACATAATTCCACATTGTTATGCCACATATTTAAAGTAGTGTGAGATATTAACTTCTACATAGGGTCCTGATTTAAATGTTGTGGAAAATGATAACAAAATCATTTGTTCAGAGATTTTTTTTGGGGTTCGTTTTCATTATGTATATATACTGTCATATTAAGAGTAAAGAAAGAAAGCATTAGACTTTATTGTTTGTTGATTTATTATCTTATGCTTAAATGTATTATATTTTGCTACCAGGGAGTGAGAGGCAGTTGAAAGTGGAACGAGACCTGTGTCAGAACCCATTTAGTATCCTAGCAGAGAGTCCTAGTCTGTTACTCGGTAGACTTATGTTTGCCAATCAGATCCCACCAGTCAGGTATGTCTAGCTCTTAAAACTGTGTCAAGTGTTGAAGTTATTGAGATGTAAAAAGGAGAACTTTAGAGAACCCCCACCAATAGGGTCACAAAGGGTCTGCCAATGGGATAGGAATTATAACTATTATACATCAAGTGAAATTTCTTGTAATATCTACTTATACTTGTGTAACTTCATCCTTACCAGTGTTTATTGGACTTCATAAAAGTGATAAAAAACAGATGGTCAGGAGATTTTGCTTCTATGTCCCTTCATACCCCCCCCCCACACACATACAAAGGAGTAACATATAAAAAACAAAGTGTAGTGTTTATATCCTTTTTTACTTATTATTCTTTACAATGTTTAATTCATGCATATTGAGAATCAGAAGTTTCAAGTTTGTTTTAAAAGAATTAGGTGTTACTTTCTATATATACAGGTTAGAGAGTGTAGCGAGTGAGTTGAAGCTAAACCTGGTACAGATCATCATGCAGAGCTGCTGCCCAGCTATCCCCATGCTACCCCACCACTCTACCATCCATCAAGCACCTACTACGCCCTGTCCAGGAGACTATGTGACTGTACTCAATGAAGGAGGTGTAGCAGGGGAGTGGCCCCATCCAGTCAGGAGACCATGTGTGGTTGTTGAAGAGCTTCTCAAGAAGATTATCTCTCTCATGATGAGTGAGTAATTTAGCTTCATTCCCTTGTTTTTTTATCATCCCATACCAGAATATTTCAACTACATGTATCAATGTGTACAGTTCATGGAAAAGAACAATTTCCAATTGATGATGATGATAAACAAACTCTCTCACTGAGGAATAGGCGATCATCGTTTTGTTTCCCACATCCAAAGTTGTGGGAGGGGAGAGGACATTGGGTCCTTACGTACAAGCATATACTTGCTTTCTTAGCAGTCATATGAAACAGCTCATAAATATTTCAATCAATATCTGGAATAGATTAAAATAAAAGTGACAGTGAGAGGAAAACAGAAGGAAGATATCATATCAATAAGATCTATGTAATCTGGAATGTGTTTCACAGAAATTTTATATAATCCTGGAAAGTAATTTTCGCATGTAATACTTTCAGAGCATCTATCTGGTGATGGATCAGATGCTGCCTTTGAGCTGAGTTCTGCTCCTGCTGCCTGTACTACCCCAGAGTACTGGGACATAGTCATGTCTACAAGAGAACTCATGCATGTAGACATGGACCTGCTACAGAGTAATGAAGACAAACTATGTTTCTTCACCAATCTCTTCAATCTAATGCTTGCTCATAGGGCTTTGCATCATGCTGCTCTACAGACAAACGAGAAGGTATGAAGTTCTTATCATACGCACAGGTTGGGTTCTTGATTGAATGTATTGTGATTCTATTTGCAAAATGAAAAGGCTACATGTATCATTGCAACCTGAGGATGGTAAAGGGGGGGGGGGGGTGATGATTAGAGTGTGTTTACAGTTTAGAATTAGCTGTTTTGAATATTCATTAGTCATACAAATTATCCTGATATTTCTCTTTTTGAAGTATGCCGAAGTTGATCACAAGGTTTCTTACATGTTGGCAATGAGCTTGTGAACAATTTTCCCCAACAAAATATTAATGGTCATAGAGGGATTGTATTGATTCTACAATTTTTATTTCATATTTTTAGGACAAAGTTCAATTTGGTTGTAGAAATAGTAAGTGAAGCAGTGAGAGGATGTGGTTAATATACTGCAATTTGGATTTGTATGCCTTTAAATGATATAGAGTTTACATGTTTATTGTAAAATGTGCCTTAAAGGGGAGAATTGTTTACTGAATATCGAACAATTTAATTTCACTGGGTAGATTAATTCCTTGATTGTTGATAAGATTTCTTCACCCTTGTTATTGAACTCTGTAGAAATGATTTTCAGCAAGAAACCTAGGTATTCTCAATTTCAACTCTCATATATCAGGGCAATAATTTCTTATTGGGCCACACCCGCCACCACTCACTTGGGCGTGGTACTACCAACCCTGCGTCTATCATGCTGACACCCCCTGGTATCAACAGCGGAATGGTCCTTGACCAGCTGGTTTATCTGACCAGTATGGCATACAGAGTTGGTCAGATGGGGATCATCAGGTAAGTGGATCTAGGAATTGCAGATACATATTTCTCAAAGGATGTCAAAGCTTTAAGGTTAGAGGTGTACATAGAGGTGTCAGAGTCAAGTGGTCTACACACACTTGACTTGAGATTGGAAAGTCATGGGTTCAAGCCCTTGCATGGCAATAGTGTCATTTTGCAAACATTGATCTACATTTGTCATTCTCCTCCCAGGTGTTAATTTGGTACTGGTAGGAACGAATTATTACTTAAATGCTGTGAGCACCAAAATTGATGGCCTAGCCAGGGTAGTACTGGAGTGCCTTGAGCACCTTGCTTGGTGGATATCAGCGCTATAAATATATCTAATATCATTTTTATCATAAAGGTCTATAAAGAATATGTCTGTCAAGTATGAAGTGGTAATAAAGAATTTCAGGTTCATCTGTCTGTATGTCTAGTGTAGAGAGCTTCTTTTTGGTTAGGTATGTAAATATTGATGACAATTAGTGTATTGAGTCTGAACCTAACAGTTATTGTGTGCATCTTGCATCCATTAAAATATTTTTCCTTCTTTTATGTGTGTAAATTGAATCGCAATCTTCCATTTTTTTGTTTCTTAAACTCTTTCTGAATGATGTCATCATTGTAAGATTCTCTGTGAAATGGACATTGCCCTGAGTATTCTTCAAGTTATTAATGAAACATGATCATCATTGATTGGTTTGACAAATTTTCATTAACTGTGTATGTCAGGTGCAAGTGAGGAAATAACCCATAGTATTTACATTTGATTTATGAATTAAATGAAAATATTTGAATGTATTGAATGAAAACATTTTAATGTATGTATGCCTGCTAAATTTGATTTCATGAGTAGTTGCACTTGCCTATATGAAAATAAATGTCTTGTGTCTTGCATGGATGATGTAGCTGTCATTGACATCTTTTCAATCTTCTTTTCTCTGTATATCTCACAGTGCATTTGATCTTCATTATGTCATTCTGCGATCCACTTTGCCTGTGCCTTTAGTCTATGGAGATATCTTACAACATAGACTCCATGGTATGTCAAGAACAAATATGATTATCATTTAGATGAAAAATTTCTGTACTGTTCATAGTTTCATGCTTCAGTGGACTTATATATGAAGTAAACGGTTGCCTGTGCAATTTTCCAATCTACACCTTGTACTCTGATAGACATAGAAAATATAATTGTATATAATAAATATCTTTAAAGAACTCCAATGTATAACAGCAGATGCTCTTTGCAAAGATTTCAAAAATGACATTGTTGATTGGAATCATTTTGTATTCATAAATCGTAAGAATACTCTAGATATAATTCTAGATCGATCACAGTAAAATGACGCTGTGAAAATTCCAGATACCATTCTAGTTTTGTTTCACCAGTTTCCACTTTTTTGAAAGGCTGTTCTTACTCCAATATTAGCATCTACTGTATATTATCCAGCTTCTGCAATGATTTTTGTTTTCTAGCCTTAGGAGAGGATGATCCATGGTTGAAATACATTCCTTCACCCGATTCCAGAATCACTTTTGTGTCTTGTAGCGGAGCCGCTTCCTCGCCTCGTCTCAGAGTTAGTACATTTACACCAGAATTTGATAGTATAGTAATAAATTGAGTTTTCAAGGGTTGCCAGAATAGGGCACTCATAACATAGCATGCACTTACACACACAAAATACTGTTTGCAATTAACATTGTACATGTATAAGATCATGATGATGATCATCATGTCCCATAACCACAAAGTCTTAGGGACAACACTGATTCCATAATGATCACTTCCTGCCATCTAATTATCAAACAATATTCCTTTCATTGATTTAGTCTTCCAGTCCTTTCCGCTGTCTCCTTTTCTTATCCTTCCTGGTGCAGTGCCTTGTAAAATGGTTTTGCGATGTCATTCGTCTGGGTAATATGTGCCATCATTGTAGATGATATGAGGCACTAATTATTTCAGAGAGCTTAGGTTAATTAGACAACTCTGAAATGAATAGAATGGTTTCTATTTGATGAGCACATAATATATTTGATTATTGGGATCTAAAGAGAGAGAGAGAGAGAGAGAGAGAGAAATAAAACATCAACCACATGTCTAATCTCTAACTGCTGTTTTCTGATTTGTTTTCTTCTAGGTTTTGACAGGAGATGACCTAGATGAGCAATTAACTCTGGCAATGCAGAACCATCTGGAGGCTGGAGTTAGGGTTGATGAGAAACTGAACCAGGTACAGATTATAATACCACATGCACACCTATATTTATGTAGATTTAAACTTGGGAGATAGCGCTAAATGGGGCTCCATAATCTTCTTTTATATGTACTTCTTTTTTTCTTGTGTAGTTTCATTGAGGTGTAATGTTGTTCATGGCCATTTTTACAGGGCGATATAACATAATGATCCTTAATTTCAAAAGTCAATGATCATTTTTAGTTTACTTCCTAGACATATTCATGATAATTAGCTCTACAAGCTGTCAGACGTGATGGCATACACTTCAAATTAGCTGGTTCCTTGGATTTAACTTAGTCCAACTCCATTATTTTGCAAAAAAACAATCAGTTGTATTATGTTTGTTCACAGATCATGATACCTCAATCGCTGGAATGGTTCCGCAAGGACTTCACCGGTTCCACTCTCCCAGCCAACATAGATCATGGTGATATCTACATGGGTCTACTGAGAGTCATCGGTCCTCATGTATCTCAGTATCTAGGTGATAAGCTTGAGACCTACACCATGAGGTACCTACCGAGGCACATTGAGCTAGAGAGTAAGGCAGAACTTGCCAAGGGTGGTGAAGATGGAACAGGTATGTTTAGTAATAGTTCTGCACCTAGAATTTGAATGTTCAGTGCTCTACAGGTGAGACAAAAACATTCTGGGTACTGTTCAGTCAGAGCATGGCATGGTGAAGAAAGATTTGGAATGATCAGGACCTGCCTCTGTCAATATGTTCCGGGCCTAGAAACGTAGTATTAGGCGCATTATAAATGTGAGCTATTATTATTATTAATAGAAATGTAACGCACGTACTGTCCATATATCGTGACACCACTAGTGTTCATGAACTTTATGTAACACTTTATGTAACACATCGAATTGGAGAATTGAAAATAATTGCCAGCACTTTAAAAACAGTTTTAAGTAAGCACTAGAGCAGCGCAATTGTATGAAACTGAATTTGTTTCATGGATGGTCAGGAAAAATGATAACTTTCAAACATGTGAAAATTATTACCTTTAAATAATTATATTCTAACTTGTGTATTTATTCACTTTATTGAAACTTAGAAATCTACATATATTTACAATCTCTTTCTTTTTTCCTTTATTTCATTGGTCATCCTGCAGACAAGAAACCTCCACTGCTGCGGTCCAACTCCATGAGGTTCAAGGTCATGGTAACACCTTACGACCATACCTTCAAATACAGATTCCACGGCCCAACAGATAACACAACACAATCTCGCTCACAGAAACGCAGACTCTCTGTGCCAGACAACTTTGACTCCAGTGGACTAGGCTGGAGTTTGAAAGACGAGCCTGCTACTGAACCGCCTTTCTCAATGACGGAGCCAACTTTGATGTACCTGCACTCCAAGTCCAAACTGGTGGCATCACTGGCGGGCGTGGTCAGCGCAGGTATCGGTGAAAACACAGATGACTTCGCCAGAGATAAATCCATTGATGAAGATATGCTGCCATCTAGTGTTGGTAGTCCAGGAAGTCTCTGCTTTGAGGATACCTTTGGGAGTGAGAGAACGTACAATCCCAAGCTCTCAACCCTGACGAAAGTCTTTCAGCATCTGGCAGGGTATCCCATCATGCAACATTACATCCAGTCATTCTTCTCAGAAGTGTTGTCCATAGTTGGTAGCTCTCAAGGAAATGAGCACCTTAATGAGATGGAAGTTAGAGCAAGTCTCCTGGCTGATATACGTTGCAAGGTAACTAAGTGACCTTACAATCAGTTTAGCGTATTGGCATTATTTCTAAATGTATGGGCTCCTCCCTCGATTTGTCTATTAACAATTAGATTCCTTTGGCTTTTAAGTAAAAGTAAGGTAGATTGATAAATGCATGATTTTTTTTGGTTAAATCTGTATCCATATATGGAATATGTTTGTGTGAGGCTGTAGACACTATCAAATATGCTGTTTTTTTTTCCATGATATGGCTAGTATGTGTATGATGCTTAACTTTTAATATGCTTACGAATAGTAGATTAGCCTATAATCTAGGCGGAGTGCCGAGCTTTTTTCTTTGCTGCTAGACTAACCCTAAGCAGAACGTCTGATACGGCGAGACTACGAACCGTGAGTCGCAAAGCGGCTCACCGCCTATAATCACTGGTCTAGCTAATCAATATTCATATATATTCAAAATGGCGGATCTATGAATCATTCAACAGCCCTACCACATAAGGTACACCTATGTTACGTTCGAAAATCACAGCACAAGGGGATTGCTTGGTATATTGCACTCTTTCCAAAACCAGTAGGTAATGCAACAAAAATATCCCTGCCGGCTTCAATAACGCTACGAATAGCGGATTCCTGCAGTTCTCTGAATTTTCCATTAGGAATGCCTAGTTTGTTGGCCGCATATGATAAACTTTCTCGCAGAAGATCGTCGTCGCATGAACTACCCGCCATCTTGGATGAAGAAAATGACGTAATGTCACATGATTTATAATATGCATATGCATAGACTCTTCTCCATACGTGTTTCTGATTGGTTGAGTTCATTTCGTATTCATGAGGTTTTTTCGTACGAGAAATTGCCCCGGATTCATGGTCGATAATAAAAAAAATAACGACTAAAGCTAGACCAGTGATTATAGGCGGTGAGCCGCTTCGCGGCTCACGGTTCGTAGTCTCGCCGTATCAGACGTTCTGCTTAAGGTTAGTCTAGCAGCAAAGAAAAAAGCTTGGCACTCCGCCTAGATTATAGGCTAATAGTAGATAGGAGTAAACTTGGACCTGTGAAACATTTGTCCAAAATTTATCAAACAATCCAGAGTGGATTTTTCTTTTACATTGCTCTTTTTGAAACGTGAAATCTTGAAAATTTGACATGCTCATGTCTCTTGATTTTTGATGACCTTATCTGAAGGATATTCAAGACTTACTGAAGGAGGCTGTCGAGATGCTTGTATCCAGCTGTCAGTGGGAGGCAGTCTTGAGGCTTGTGGATACTATCCGATGCGTCACTGGTACCGAGAGCTACGATGCCATCAGAGAATTTGCTGCGTACTGTGCTGGTAACCAAGTCAAGGGAGTTCAGATGACTTCATCCCCTAAACCAACATGGCAATGTCTGCTTTCCATCAGGAACAAGGTAAGATGAATCATCATGGCAGGAGGGACTGGAATGAATGAATGTATCAAGTTGGTCGAAATGTACTTTCCTAGGTTATCAGTGGAGCAGAGATGCAGGCAGGGATTGTAACATTTACATTTATATGTATAATCTTGTGGTTGTTTCAAGATATTTCAAGATATTTGGCTATCTGTTTGCAAAATTATAGTATTTTGTTTAATCTCTGTGACCTGTACATTTACTATCGAGGTAAAAATGGTTACAATCATTAAGTATCCCTTCTCTTATGTTAATAGTTAATTCAGATAAGATTGAGTTTATTGCTGAGAGTCTTACACTCTATACAATAGGTTCTAGAGACTATGTAGATTGTTGCTAACATTGAAATATACTCCATAGTAATTTCTTACTTATGAAAATCTAAGCTGAATACCTTCGATGGTAGTAGTCTTTATATATAACCCTATTTGTTTCTATTCTTAGATGCTGAGAGGCAGGGCAGTGCTAACCTCCTTGGATAGTCTTCCGATTGAAGATGCCCTGGAGCTGCTAGAATGTTGTGTCTTGGAGGACAGGAAGGACTCTGCTCTGAACACCATTTTGCACACCAAGCTTCAACAGCTGAAGATGTACAGAAAGGTAATAGCAACTTCCTCATTCAGACAACTATTTGAACATTTGATGTTTCCTAAATTTCTTTTTGGAACGATGTTTTCCCTCTGATTGAATGAATGTCTGACTGATTGACCGATTGACCGACCGACCGACCGACCGACCGACCGACCGACCGACCGACCGACCGACCGACCGACCGACCGACCGACCGACCGACCGACCGACAGACAGACCGACGAACAAACCTCGTATGGTAGGAAAAAAAAGTGCCTGCGTGGAGGGCATTAGCGGGAAATTCAGTATATCCTAAAGTATATGCAGGTCCTCTATTAACTCTAGGCATGTGACATAAGGCACATGTATTAAGAACAGAATACTAATGTAACAGTTGATTTACAGGTACAGTTCAATGCTGCAAAGTTTTAGCTTTTTGCTTGACAGTTGGCTTATAATTATAACTCTTTATGTCTTTCCATTAGATCACATTCTATGCTATGCAATACACTCCGCCGCGGTCACTTGAGGTGCTTCAGGGAGGAAGTACTCCCTCTGACCCTTCTGAGTTGATTCAACCTCTGTGTACTTGGCAGGATGTTCAGGATGCTTCTAAGACCAACCCTGACAATGTCCTCAAGCTCTTAATGTCTGCTTCAGACTTTGATCTAGCCAAGGACTGGGCAGAGCTCCATGGAGTTATTGATGATTATCAACAGGTATGGAGGCATGGCAATCTAGGAAAATGAGTTTGTATCTTGAGAATGCATGATTTTGTCTGCGATATAGAGCGGCTTAAAGAAACGTCAGTGTTAACATTTGATATTTGTTATGATGAATTTTTATACAGATATTATCATTCCTTGTTTGTTTTGTTTATACCTTCTTGATATCTGTTTAAATAAATATCCAAGTTATTTTATACATAATATGTTACATAAAGTCTTATTCAAACTTCTTGAGCAAACATGGCATTTCTCCTGACTATATGAATTGATATTGGATGCTGAAGGAGCCTCAGCATTGTGATACCTGGTACATGTACCAGAAACCCTTTTCATGTGTTCTTAGGGAAACATAACTATTTAAGATTAAAGGCAGAAGATTTGATCTCACAAATAAGGCTGTGTATTGTATATCTTGCTAGACTAAAATTGAATAACATGTTAATTTTCATCTTCGACTTTGTCTTTTAGACTATCCAAATCAACCAGTTGGAGCATTTATTATGCAGCAGTAGTAACAACCTCCAAGTCTACCAGGTACGTACACATTCCATCAATGAGTAACAGATCAAAGACAAAGACAGTAGAGACATAGAGAATTGATGAAGAAACATATTTTTGAATCACTGGATAATTGAAACCTTCATAAAGTTATTGAAATTAAGAACATAACATTCTTAAAACAATAACCTAAAACTTGAATTAAACCATTAACCATCCTTTTAGATATGGCTTGGTTTTGGTATATTACAAATACAATTTTCTCAGGCTGAGTGTTGAAGAGTTGATATTTTTGTAATAAAATGCTGATAGTTGACTGAGATTGAAATAGATGTTACTTTATATATTATTTAATTCTCAACTAGCTTGGTGATGTTTTTTTGATATTGTTTTCCCAACCTTGAAGATACTTGAGGATGCTTGTAACAATGAAGAGACAGTCTCTATGTGTACTCAGTTGCTGGAGTCTCAGAAGATAGCCCTACCAAGTGTTGTCTTCTTGGTCCAGTACCTCCTTCACAATTGCTTTGATGAACTCTCTTTGGAGAGAGCTGGCAAGCTTCATGACATTGGTATAGGAGCCAAGGTTAGTATACTCATACCGTCTGTATAGAGCCAGAAGGGCGTATACAAGTTAATGCCTTCTGGCTCTCGGCAGATAAGCAACACCACAATTTACTAGTCATTCAATGTTTATGTTGGTAAATGTCTTGCGGCAACAGAAAAAGATTTAAAACTTACTGAATATGGTTCAACATTACTAATTGTCATCTGCCAAGACAATTTTGCCATGGTACATTTTGATTTTAGTGTTTTTTTAGTTGAAACATGACAATGACAAAGTATTACGTATAAGTGCTTGTGAACTTTAACCTACATTAGTTCTAGCAATCGCAGCAACAGCAGATGATGACTTGTTAATGACATCAGTCTTGCAATTCATTCATTAACATTCTTTGTAGGTAAAACAAATAAACAAATACGTTTTAAAAAGTGGGGGGGGGGGGGGTAGGGGAAACCACTTGGCTTATTTGACTTACCAAGAAATGTGTTTGATCGTGAGATTATAACTATTGATAATAATCGTTTATTTTGATGTTGATGTAGGTGCTGCTGTGTTTACCTGAGAGAGTACGAGCAGAGTATAAGCATCTTATGTCTAGACCAGACCTACTCCTGGAACAACTACTCATGAATCTTAAGGTTTGTATCTATCTCCAGAGTTTTAAACGACAGTGCAACCAATGACTACCGAGAGTAAGGAGAGAGTGTCGTGGTCTCCTGTCTAGATTCTGCGTTATCTTGGAACTGTTCATCATGAATTGTCAAGTATCTGTTTGTGCAGTTGTATTCTAAATAAATTACAAACCAACTGAAGTCTTGAATCACTAACTGAAAGGTTGTGTGTTTTCTTTTCATGGTTCATGTGTTCCTTTTCAATCTCTTTTTGTTTTCTGTTGATGAGCCTGTGATGTTTGTTAAAGCACCCATTATACAGATATAAAGAAACTGATTGTATCTTGGAATAATGTAAAGATTTTTTGCTTTAGATGAACCTTGCGTCAGATGTGCAGGCAACGCTACAAGAACAGCTCCAGGCTTCTCAGTTCCCTTCTGCAAGTCTCTCAGAGAAATCCATCAATACCCTTATCTCCAAGTATGCCCGAGAAGCAATCACGATCCCAGTAGCTCTCCTCAATACATCTATGTCTGGTGAGTGATGCTGATCAATCTCATTGCTTATACAGGTTCTCAGGAGATAGTTGTTTACCCTTCTTTGTAGCATCCCAAGAATAATATATGGTGTACTAGTGAAGGTGGAATGGCTCCATGTTAGAGCAGTGGTCTTGTAACCATATTTATCACCCTTCTATATATATTTGTCAGGTATGATTTTAGCCTTGGTATTTCCATTCTGAAAGCCCTCAAGGTTGATTTGATGACAATGTGTGTCATGTTTGTAGATCCTTTTTACCATGCTACCCATTGTCTTGGTTTATTAATAAAGATTTCAGATTACTTTCTCATGTTTCATAGTCAGCCATGAGTCAAATCCCCAAAGACTAAATTATAAAAAACAGTTATTTAATATTTTGAATTCAAATGCTCTTTTGATGTGCATGATTAATCATCTGTCACTTTGTGAAGAGTTTCCACAGAATGCTTTTTGAATCCCCAATAGCTTGGATTCCTTGAATATATTGTTTTCATGCTAATCTTGGTTTGTTGTGTTTCTGGCCTGATAACATATATGCATGTTAATTCATGATTTAAAAGAGATACCGGTACATTTTACAGTTTATACTTGTACAAATTCTTCTAAGCAAATTTATTCTGCAAAAATTGTTGATCGTCGTGTATTTAATGCTTGTTCATTGAAAAAACATGCTAAAAATTCACATTGAAAATTGACTTGGTAGTAATCTATATTATATTATTATCTATCATCATTCAAAGCAGGCAGTTTCTCAGACTTCGTTATAGTAAATGACCCAGGTAGTGAGATGAGTGATCTTCCAGAGGTTCATTCCAAAGGTATTCATATTTCATGAAGCTAAGCAAGGAAGCGAAAGGAATATCAATGGCACATACATGTAAAGAGAATTGCAAAATGAAAATTTTGTTGAAAGGAAGGGGAGCATGAGGGTAGCTAAATCTTCTATACTTATATATGAATGCGATTCCTCATTGTATTAATTTGTTCATCTCTAAAATTCTCTCTATGCATGCACTCATATGATTACCTCGCCCCAACACACCTCCTTTCATGACACAAAAAATCCCATCTGTTCCGCCCGCCCATCCGCAATGCACGTAGACACCGACTCCGCCCTGAACCAAAGTTTCGCCCTTGCCTCGTACGCCTCTACCCAATCACCCCTTGGCCTGGTCTCTGCTTTGAAGGGACGTCAGTTCTTGGCATCTATGAGGAGTCGTGCCCCATCCCCATCCCCCTCCTCTGTCTCCTCCTCCTCCTCCTCTATTCCAGTCCCTGAGAGGAGAAGGCTAAACAACAGGGGTGAGTTGGTTCAATGCCCTAGATATTTATGTTGTACAGGTTCTGTGGTGTGTGTGGTCAATCTTGTTTTGTTAATGCTTATACGTTCTGATAGCTGAGCTTTTATTTTTCTAGCACCCGTCTTTCAAATGAGCGATGAATCCTGGGCCCTCTCTTATAAAGAGTTGCGATTGATCACAAGTCCTTCAATAATCTGCAATCTTTGAAACTCCTCTGACTCTTGAACAGAGTGGTCAGGTTGTAATCAATTTAAATCAATTGCAACTGTTTATACGTTGAAGCCATGGAATAAATGGTTAACTCTTCAGTATAACATAAACAAGGAATATAGTGCAGCACTAAAAAGCTTTCAACATTATCGTAAAATGCTAAAGTTAGAACTTCCAACTTAGAAATTAGATAAGTTTAGAAAAGGCTTCAATATTACAATCACTTTCTGGTTGTTGTTTCAGCACTAATCACTTTTCATTATGCTTTTCATTCAAACTGCCCTATGGATCCTGCACAAATGATTGGCTGAGATCTAATCAATTTTTACTATCAACTGCATCTTGCATATAAAATGGCTTTGGTCGATAATATGCAAGTGTGAATAAATGTCTTGTTTTACAGTCAAGGGTATCTTCCTAAGACATGTACTATGAATCAGCAATTAGTGCAAATTTATCACCTGATTAAAGACATGGTTGATACATTTTCCGTATTTCTTAATTTCCTGGATAATTTTTGTGAAATTTCTAACCCATACATGTTAATACATAAAAGGATTTAACACTCATTGTCTCATAACCTTTGAACCTAATCCGGTTTGAACAGGAACTGGGTCGTGCAGCATCTATTGACAGATTGTAGATTACACAGTGAAATTTACACAGGCTGGTTGGCATGGTATAATATACACTTGTGGAATGAAGAAATGTACATGAAATCAATGAAGAGTAATTTCTTGGCCAGAAAAGGTTAAACAAGGAGGGATGTGAAATTTGCAATATAGTAGCAGATCTACAATGCTACTCGGATAAGAGATTATGCTGAAGCTCAGATTATTTCAACTTAAGATTGCATTTAGTTCATTTTCTGAAATGATGTGCCCTAAAAGATGGTACTTTTGTCACAAGCTGTACATGACATGGTTTCTGTCTCACTATCATGCTTTTTATTTATTGTGTACCCTGTTGGGGCATTAGTTTCACAATATGAAGTAATATGTCACTATTGGGAGATGAATACATTTTAAAAAGTCTTTTCATGTTGGTCAAACATCCTTGAGGTTGCATTAAAATCATAGGTTATCATTCTCATTGAAAATATGAAGACATCTAATGCATGAATTTCAACTAATTGTGTTTATGCATGACCAGACTCAGCTGCATACTAATATTTTGTTTCTATCATAATTCCACACTGTTTCTTTATGTTTGCAATTTTTTCCAGCCTGCTGATAATAAAAGTGTTTGAATGGTCAATATACTTTTGAAACACCAGGGGAAAACTGAATGATTCCTATATTTGGAAAAAACTGTAGATGAAGACTTTCCTATTAGATATGCAGATTTTTTTTCTTCTTTAATAATGTAAATAATAAATCAAATCACTCCTAGCCAAACAACTAATGTTAAAGATCATTCCAAAGTGGCCTTGTTTGATAATTTCTTCCAATACACCAAGGAAGGTGAACTTTTTCTACACCAGTATGTCTTTGTTTAGGGTTCAATATATATGCACTGAAACGCATGCACTAAAATATCTAATTGTAGCATGGCTTATAATTACTGTTTCTAAAATTTGACATGTGAAAAGTTGAAAGAGGCTGATCGTTATTTGTGATTTAACAAATACTTAACCTTCTATTCTATGCATTTATTTTATTTGTGTTATGTTATCTCAATCCTCATAATAATTCTTTTTGCATGTTTTAATTTAGTGTTTAATTCATCATTTTTTGTTTGTAACATCTGTATATAAAATTTGTTCACACTTCCAGATTTGTGACTGAGAGTATTACAAGCACATAATGATCGTGTATTGTATTAGTAGTATAGTATTGTATCACAGTTGGGTCTAAAAGCCCATGGAATCTCATACCATGTCTACATGTAGATCAGGGCATGACATATGTATTTGGAACTGCTATACAAGTCATAATAAAACATAAGTTATAACATAATCACAAAATTGTGATTTAAAACTTGCTATTTATGAGTGATTTATCAAAATTATGATGGTATCTTGTGTTTGACAACCTTCCTTACGTACATTAAGGTCCAAGCCCAGGTCTAACAAGTCCTGGCCCAACCAGCCCATCATCCCGTCCTGATCATTTGGTATCACCTAGCAGCAGACACCCTACTCCCCTCCCAGAGGTACCAGAGAACCCCCAGGGTGTGCCCCTAGAGGGGGGTGAACTGCCGGCTGTACCCCCTACCAGGGATCAGTGGGTACCTGATGATAAGGTCTCTAACTGCATGGTGTGTCAGGATAGGTTTAGTATGGTGAGTCAATGCAGTGATGGAGGGATACATGTATGTACAAAGATAAGGCATTCACAATGGAATCATAGATAGATAATATAAGATCCAGTAATACACAGATTAATTGATGGTTGCAAAAAGCCATCTCCTACAAATAAAAATCATTGTGTTGACAAAAAGAAATGAAAGAATAATATATATGTGTACATGTATGTGTGAAGAATAAACAGTTTTACAAAAGAAGATGCCAAAAAGAATATAAATTAATAGACTTCAATATGATTGTTTAATGTAGGAGATAGAACCAGAGAACTATTTTTATGTGTAAGTGTTTGTAATTTGATTCCAGTAAATGCATGTAACAAGCTATATGTTTATGAATCTTTAGTAAATCATATCCATCCATACCTTGCACAGTTTAATAGAAGACATCACTGTCGACGCTGTGGACGTGTAGTGTGCTGGAAGTGTTCTCAGCTACGTGCGATGGTTGATGGATACGGAGATACACCGGTCAGAATCTGTGATCAGTGCTACGAACGATTCATTGCTCCAAGGTAGGTCTCCCAATCATTAGTACACTTGTGTAGTTTGTAAGAAAGCATAAAGATGAATACACATTCAGATAAATTTGTTGTTTCACAAAACCTAGTGATAAAAAGTGCCTGAAATATATAGGAATCAATTATAGCTACTGTTTATATACAGGCTATTTACAGAATGTTTCTTTCAGATGGCTGTCAATTTCCTGTGAATGGCCTATTAAAGTAATATCATATTTTAAGGATTCAGTGCTGTATATTTTATGATTGATTATTGAAGTCATTTGATTAATTATTGAGAAACAATCTGATATTGTACCTAAACATTTTATTGTTTTGCAATATGGTTTTGTACATCTTTTTAAAGTAAAAGTGGATCTTAAATTTGTTGTGTAATCCTCAGATCATATGGAACTCCACAGTCACTGGAACAAAGAATGAAGGGCAAAATGTCTGGTGAGGTTTCTTGCTCCTATTTTTTTTCTGTATGCATGCTAATAAAAGTGTACAATGTAATGATATTTTGCATTGATGTTGTATAGCAGGATTTAAGAATCCATTAAAAAGACTTCCATTAAAACTCCATGTTTCATTTTTTGAGAACGGTCTTCTGCTGTCAGTTAAAGAACTGCGAATCGGGTCATTTTGTTTGTTTGTTTTTCTTCAAAATGTCAACATTTAATCTGGAGTTTCCTTCCTAGAGGTATATATGAGATTGATCTGTGAAAAATATGGAACCACTATACACGCCATTATACACACCATCTATGAAAATGTGTACATGTATGTGTTAATTACACAAAAGGACTCTTTGTGTGTGTCTTCTCATTTCTTGTTATCCTATATGTAATGATTGTATTTTGTTTCCACAGGAAGGAGAGGATCAGGAGGAGGTTCAGGGAGTATGCCTGCAGCATCGCGATCCTTCACTCCATCCCAGACCCCCGAGCTAGGTATGGGAGGAGAAGGACTGACTGAGTATGGCCCGGTCACTGAATGGAGATTATCTCTCGATGAAGAGTACTGCAGTATGGTCAGAGAGGATTTCTACTATGAGCAGGTAAAGAGAAAATACATGTATCAAGATAGATACTTGTTTGTGACATTCTTATAATAATGCTTCACTAAACTCGATGCTTTAAGCTTTTTGAAAAATATTTGCTATAGAAATGGATAGAGATGAATAGCTTTTAGGGTCTATGTGATGTTTAAATGAGTAAGCAGTGGAAAGGTTACAATTTATTTTGATGAAGAATAGTGGATCTATTTCTCATTTACTCAAGAGAGGAGAAGAAAACAAATTAAAAAGAAAAAAAGAATGGTTCTTCCCTCTGAACATTTCATTGCACTCGTACTGATGGAACTAGAGGTTAGCTGACATTCAAATTACATGGTTAAGGTAAATGTTTGTTTCTGTTGTTCTATCCAGGCTCCAAGTACATCCCTATGTCTGTCCATCCTGGAGCTACACTCTAACCCAGGAGTCTGTGGTCACCTGATTCTTCAACTATGTCAAAGGTTATCCGAGTATCTCCGACCTATCAGACCAGGGGAACCCAACACAGAGGTTGACTACAGTCTCATTCTCAGGTAACATGGTTTATATACTCTAGCTCATGGAGGTCGTTTGGGGTTTGCAGGGAAATGAAATATGTTTTGTCATTGATAATTGAAGAAAATCCAAATGATTATAGGTACAATTGTAATACAGGGGATAACAGACAAGTCAGTAAGAGAGCTATGCAAAGTTGCACAAGACTTGTCAAAGACAACATGACAGTACCTAACAACAATTATAGCACTAACCAAGAAATGGATTTTGGGAGCAATGGCATTAGTAGAGTGATTTTGAAAAATGATTGTTGGGCCAAAAAGGTTAGAAACCATGACGCAAGTCTGAAGTTTTACTTTCACTCAAATGTTTGTATTTCATCAAAGAAACAGATTAGTATTTTAATTACCGATAGGATTTGGGTTAGGTGCTGGGTTAAGGTTAGGGGGTAAAGTGTAGTGTTAATTGGGTCCAGGGTGAGGAATTTGACCAGCACTAGAAGTTTACCCCTGAGCAATTATTTCCATGAACATGTGTTTCTGCAGTGTACCTGGTGCTTCAGTTCAAATGAAAAAACACCATAGAGGTAAAGACTAAACCTATTGATGTCTGCTTGACTGTGTATTGCATTCCTACTCCAGCATGATGCGTACCTTACTGCTGAACAGCAAGCTCAAGTTCTTAGGTTCAGGAGACAGTGCTAGTCTAGAGATGTGTGATACATACCTGGGTCACGTAGATCTTCTCAATATGTTTGTGTCAAGTAACTGCACTGATATACCAAGCATTCAACAACTCACCAAGATAGACACTGCAAGGTAGGAACATCAACATATATTTTTCTTGCTCTATATTCATATTTTATAGGTGATATTCATTATGAATCTGAATTTAGTACATGACTTACATAGGAAATGTCTTATAAAATTATCTTTTAATTTTTTAATCAGATTTTAAATTGTAATTCTGATAAGGATTTCCAATGTAGCAGGTAAAAAAGACATGATTTTGTACTCTGGACTTTTGACATGTTTTTGGAATGTCAACTAACCAAAATTGAATTGAATTTACTTTAAAAAAAATATTTATACTATCACTATGAACAGCTGCTGCTGCTGCTGAAAACAAAATCATTTCTTTTTTACCTGCTACATTGGAAATCCACAATTTGAAATTCAAACCTGCCTTTGTTCATCATCAAACAAGTACCGGTGTACATCATTTGCATTAAGTGCACTGTTCAGAGCTATTTGACTCTTAGTGCGATAGTGCCTCTCATCATGTAATAACTCTGCCATTGTTCACTGGTTTCTACCCGGCAAACAGACGTATCCGAGACAAGCTTGTCCTGTCAGAGCGATTGTCTCTAGCCATGGAGGTCTCCACCAAGTGCGGACTGGATCCTGGAGCTGTGTGGGCAGCCTGGGGACTCAGCTGCCTCCAGGCTGGAGACTATGATGGGGCCAGGGAGAAACTCAGTAAAATATTAAAGGTAAAATCAGTGGAGTTTCTCTCATTCTTTACTTTGCTACGGGATATACTGACAGAGCTTTATATCATGTTTTAGCCAATAGAAGAGCAGTAGAGTAAAAGAAATGAAAGTGTGATGTACAAGGTGTTAAGCTAATTGACCAGTACTGTTCTTGTATACTTGCATACTATCTTGTATAATAAGGGTGGGGTCAAATTAACTTTATAAAAAAGTTAATGGCATTTAGTAAAGGTGGGATATTCAGTTAAATTACAATAATATACACTATGTATATGAACTGTTTATAGTATTGTTTTAGTATATTAAATGAATACAACAAACTTTGAAAGATTTGAAACGTTTTATCACTTAATAATGAGTCTGATTGAATGCATAGGTTATGGGTCTCTCAAGAATTGTTTATTTATGATTTACCTTGCCCTTCTAGTCATTTTATGCTACATTTTCAGGCATTGTACAAGTGTTCTTATGTTTATTTTCTGTGTGTATGTGTGTGTTGGTAGACCCCAACAGATAAGAACCAAACCCAGGGCCCTAATAAACTACTACAGGAAATCATCAAGATATTGGAGTCCTCAGCTGCTCAAACGATCAAGGTAATTTTAGGCACTGTTTTAGAGAATGTTTAATTGTTATCCAGCTGTAGATTTTAGATTGACCTCAAATCAAGTTTACATCAGCCCACTCCCTTCCGGATCAAAGAAGTCTGTGTAAAAATATCTCTTCTATTTTGAATTTAATTTGCCTTTTACTGGTTCGTTTCTGTACAGTATGTATCATGTAATTATATGTGAAATTATGGGGTTCTGCCTCGAAGGCTCTTGACCTATGTGGTCTCCCTCCATTTTTTCATCACATCTCTTTTTATTTTAAAGAACATACTGCGTTGTAATGTACTTTATATGCAATTGCATATTATTCATAATTTTTCTAATGGAATGTGCAAATAAAACATGAACTTGAACTTTGTCTGTATTTGAATCTTACCACACAGCAGTCCTGATTTTAACAAGTGATAGGAATATACATTGTATATTAGCCAGGGTGACATATCGCATGATGAACTGCGATGACTTTACAAGTACAACAAAACAAAAATGAAGGGATAAGCAGCTTCTTCTATCTTCCCTGAATGTGATTCAACCCTCTAAGAAATATCACTAAATTTGAAATACATCCATCATTCTTTTCTTTATCTCACTCTGTTCTTGAATCTCAGTGAATAATGTAAAACTAATTTGTTGTTGTAGGTTCAAGATATCCTGACGTTGTCTGCTAGTTCTATCAAGGACTTCATTTCACAGCCATACAAGGTAATACATTACACTGACCTATACAAGGAATAGAGAGCATATCAGTGATGTGGTCAGTGCCTGTCTTGGTCACTTTTCTGTTTTGACCCTAACACCTCAGTCACCACACCAAACTCCAAACCAGACTGACTAACCGACCGATTCTTGGTCATTCGTGCTATAGCATGTTTTTGTTTGATGTGTTGTTGGTCTGGCGTCAGTCTCATCGGTGTGACTGCAGCTTTAGGCCTAATGCTCTTTGAATAGAACCGACATCTGTACTCCAGGGCCCTGTTTGATTAATGTATAAGTTGATATAAGCTACTGAAACCAATGAATTTGATTAGCTGTGAGTATATTTCTTTAGTTTTGAATTCTAGCATTTGGTATCTCATGGCAAGTAACATGAAAGAGGACCCTTGTCTTTGTTTCTTTACACAAGGTCTCTACTAGACAACTGATACATCTATTAATTATTTGATGTAGCATTAGATGTGACAACTGAACATTGTGGTATGCTAACTAGGATATTCAACCCAATCTTTCTTGATGGATTTCTCATGGACAATTGTGAACAAATTTTGATTTTGTTCTCTATGTTTTTGTTTTTATCAGAGTGTACCTGAGTCAGGGAAAGTGACCGAGAATCCAGCGCTGAAAGAATGTGTACTTTACATTGAGACTTACAGCTCATATCTTACGGCTGTTCAGTTCTATATGAGACATGGAATGTTCCAGAGGGCTGTCACTTATATACTCCAACAGGTAAAACAGTTGGTCGAAACACAGCGAAAGCTGATGTTTTCTAATATCTTAAAATTATCATAGTTTAAGTTGTACTGCTTTTTTTTTTATTAAGTATTTGGCATCACCTTTGTAGGGAAAGAGCAAAGCTAACTTCATTGTTGTTACCGCAGTTCTGTTCTCCTGATTAAAAATAATTGAAATGCGGAGATGGACTTGTACATCAGGGCTTCCTTCTACTCCGTTATGAATACTGCAGCGATTTCTCAAAATGCATATGGAGACAGGACAAGCAAGTATTTGGTTTCTTAGATTTGCTTACACAATCAACCGGATTGAAACATAACTTCAAATTTTAGATTTTCTATCATTGTATGGAAGTGGTAGGCATTTGTATGGACTTTAATTTTCTTACATTAAGAATTATAATTTGTTCAAGCTGTTCAAAAATGTTTTTACTTGACTATGATTGTTGAATTATTCATAAATGTATACGTTGAACTCCTTTACTCATGTCATTTTTTTGCAGCAATGTTCCAGTGAGGTGTTCTTAGAAGGTCTGTTGGTGCCTTGTATAAAGGAGGGACAGTTGAGTAAGCTACAGGAACACATGCTAAGAGTAGACCCATCATTGGTTAAATGGCACCCTTGCCTGACTGCATCCTGTCGTCATGTCAATCGCCTAGGGTGGAGTCACATCCTCTATCAGATGCAGCTCTTCATGAAGGCAAGTATCAGTATGTCTTATATTGCCATGATAGAAAGGCATTAGTGAAGGCAGATCCTTAAACATCTGCTAATATACAAGTATTAGAAATTCCCCCGATCTTGCCCTTTGACAGGTAAAGGATTGGATTGATGTGTATTGCACGATTTAGATGTGTATTGCATGATTTTGTATCGGTGAGGTGGATACTAGGATTATGTGATCTGGCTTACATGTAAGTGTGATTTTTTAATGAAGCTGAATGACTAAGGTGTTTGATAAATGTTGTTAAAAAATACATTAACCTCTAGTCTCCCTGTGCCCCATTGTATTTATCATGGGATAGATACACCAAATGCTTCAAGATTATTCAAATGTTTCAAGTGCAAGATTAATCTTTACCATTATTAAAAGGGATGGCAGGGAGCTAATTAAGACCATAATTTTTAATTTTGCAAAGCCATTGTGTTAAACAAAGCAATCCTGTGTCAATTGGTGCCTATTGTTTTATGCAAAATTGCATTTGTGGCAAAAGAGCGATCGCGCATAGAGGAGAAGAAAGCAACTAAAGTGATTAAAGAACTTTTGTGCCCGTTATTGAACCTCACCCTCAGGACTTTGTACGAGCAGCCATGACGTGTATCAAGTTCTTCCAGGCCAGTGCTACATCATACTCGGACCTCTTTGAGCGTCTGCATCATGTGACCAGGGCTAAAGATCACATGACTGCTGTGATGGATGATAAACAATGGGGAAGTGTGCCACGCCCTTCACCTGGTAGCCCCTCCTCAAGAGGGTGGGGTGGAGGCAGTGGAGAGACTAATATTAGACTCACCCTCACTCCTTCAGAACTTACCAAGTAAGTATTCATATCAAGAAAGGCAGTGTAGATGCCTTTTTTTTATACCACATTATCCCTGTTGAGGTCAGTCTCAAAAACATCTTTCAGCCGCATTCGAGATTTTTCTATGCATCATCCAATGCTAAGAAATAGATACACTATACAAGAGAATCTAAGTAAGTTCATTCACAAACATTGAGCTCTGGTCCAGCAAAAAAAATTGCTGAAAAATAATTACTAGAAAGCACCTCAACACATTATTTCATCATTTTTGATTGCCCATTTCATAAATGTTTTAGTTTGTGACTAATGTTTGTCATTTTGAAGGGACAGTTTCAGTGTGGATCTGTGGCATTCCCAGTACTCAACATTGCCACAATTTTGTATACTGTGTATTACCTTTATTTCCTATAATTTGTATGTTTACATATTATAATTGATTGTTAACATTTTTCTTCAATTTATTTGCCCAGGCATCTAAATACAATATCCCTGCAGATAGAAGTGACCACATTCCTTCATCGTCATCTTGGCAAGAACAGTCTGGTGCCACCCACGTCCACCACCACCCAGGCCACCTCACCTCAACCAGCAGGGCTGACTAGGAAGCAGTCAGTGGTTGGGGGCGGGGGCGGGGCTCAGCCAGCAGGGCTACCCACCCTCTTTGGCAACAGCATGGAGAAAGCAGATGTCGTTCACAAGGTATGTTGGTATCAGTGACAAAATACATGGTAATTGAAAGTAACTTTATTTCTCTGGACATCTTTCGGTATGAGAAATATATATAAAAAAGCTCTCATGAAGAAAAAAAAGTAGCAACAATGGTTGATAGTCTTGATTTGTTCATGTGAACTGTGATTTTTCATTCTTTAGTTCTTTGTTACAAATTTTATCCAGGCATTTCCCATTTACAGTCTCTTCTTTTGTCTGTTCATGTGAGTAAACCCATGATTGTTTTTTCTGTTTTCAGGTTCTACTAGCTGGAACAACTATACAAGAAGGGTTTCAACTAGCATTCAAAATCATCCAGGTACTGTCCTCATTATCATGTAGATTTATGCTCATTATCAGACATTATTTAAATTCTAGAATGTAGCCTGTAAAACTTACATGTTTTAAGTGTATAGAGTGTAGGATGATTTTGTTGTGTACTTCAAACCACATTCTGTATATTACGTACAATTAAAACAATTAATATCAGACTTGGTGTGTTCCTCGTTTCCAATGTAGACTGTATTTGAATAATTACTTTTAATTACTTGGTGATGGTATACATACCGACTCCCCTGAAAGGTCTTACCAAAGCATATGCAACATCCAACTCTCTTTCATGAGAAGTCTGTCTAAATGATGTTTGTCTCACTTTGTGTAACAGGACTTTCGTCTTGCTGAGGCCAAGATCTACAGCCGAGCAGGACGTCGTCTATGTCTCCTCAAGAAGTTCAACGAGATCAAATTGCTTCTCAAATGCCACAAGGATACTGGATTGGCTAGCAAGGAGTCATGTGATGAGATCCTGGATGCCTGTGTGAGGGCGCTAGTTGGAGACAAGACGCAGGTCAAAGGTGCAGAGGAGTTGATTAAGCTAATGCAAGGTGATACAAGCAAGGTGAGCAGCAATACCAACATTACATTTGAGTTCATTTTAGGATCAAAGTGAGAATCCATCATGGACGATTTGTGTCCTTCTTTTTTCTAGAGCTTCTTTTGATCTTACCCAAGGTAATCAACTAAATAATTGATTGGTAATTCACTCTGGCTCTTGAATATTACCCATAAACTGGGACTATAAGCAGAGTTCACTGTAAGCATTTTAAACAAGTGAGTTTGAAAAGTACAGAAATGTACTTGGAGAGAGAATCATTGGGGTTAGTTTTAGGATGTTAATTACCAGGGTGTGTTAACCCTACGTTAACTGGGGGGGGGGGGGGGGTCAATTTGACCCCCCCCTGTAGAAATTTCGCGACTACTCCGAAACCGCGGCAGATATAAAATTTTCCTTCCATGACTTTTTTCTTTCAAGTCTTACGCATCTTTTAAAACAATTTTTTCGAAAAACGTATAGTTACGGAGTCACGTGACATTTTTATGCCTCCGTTACGAAGTAGCCGGAGGCATTATGTTTTCGGGTTGTCCGTCCGTACGTACGTACGTACGTCTGTACGTCTGTACGTACTTACGTCCCATTCTTGTGATCGCGTTATCTGAAGAACCGATCGATGGAGTCCTGCCAAACTTTGGTCATGTATGTATCTGGCATAGCCGATGAACTGATTAGATTTTGGGGTCACGAGGTCAAAGGTCAAAGGTCACAGGGCTCATTAGGTATGCAAAAACAGCTCGTGATCGCGTTATCTGAAGAACCGATTGATGGATTCCTGCCAAACTTTGGTCATGTATGTATCTTGCAGAGCCAATGAACTGATTAGATTTTAGGGTCATGAGGTTAAAGGTCAAAGGTCACAGGGCTCATTATGTATGCATAAACAGCTTGTGATCGCGTTATCTCAAGAACCGATTGATGGATTGCTGCCAAACTTTGGTCATGTATGTATCTTGCAGAGCCGATGAACTGATTAGATTTTGGGGTCACGAGGTCAGAGGTCAAAGGTCACAGGGCTCATTAGGTATGCAAAAACAGCTCGTGATCGCGTTATCTGAAGAACCGATTGATGGATTCCTGCCAAACTTTGGTCATGTATGTATCTTGCAGAGCCAATGAACTGATTAGATTTTGGGGTCATGAGGTTAAAGGTCAAAGGTCACAGGGCTCATTATGTATGCATAAACAGCTTGTGATCGTGTTATCTGAAGAACCGATTGATGGATTGCTGCCAAACTTAGGTCATGTATGTTACTTGCAGAGCCGATGAACTGATTAGATTTAGTGGTCATGAGGTCAAAGGTCAAAGGCCACAGCACACATTATGTTTGCAATAACAGCTTGTGATCGCGTTATCTCAAGAACCGATTGATGGATTCCTGCCAAAATTAGGTCATGTATGTTACTTGCAGAGCCAATGAACTGAGTAGATTCTTGGTTCATAAGGTCAAAGGTCAAAGATCATGGGCTCATTATGTATGCAAAAATAGCTTGTGAACGCTTTCTCATTAGAACTGACAGATGGATTACTATTTAACTCAGGACATCTTGCAGAGCCAATGAACTGAGTAGATTTTAGGGTCATGAGGTCAAAGATCAAAGGGTCATATATATGTATATGAGAAATTGCTTGTAATCACGATATTCTGAGAACCTGTCAATGGATTACAATTGAACTTGACTCCGAAAAATTTCTTCTGTTTTGGTTTGTAAAATTGCTCTATGACGGAGGCATCATTTTCGACTGCGCGCAGTCGAATTCCATCTAGTTTTGTTGCATGTCAGCCCGAAAATCGCTAATTTTTGTGATTTGTGTACAAAACATATGGAAATGTCATTTTTCCTAAAAAGAGATAAAACATTGCTTATTTAGTCTTGTTTAAAGTTTGGGTGTTTGTTTTGGGGTCAAAATAGTTGAATTGTAGTTATAAATGAAATAAAACAACAAAAACAATAAAATACATAAGTTGAAAAAACAATGAAATACATAAAAAATATCAAAACAAGAGATAACATAAGGAATAACCTGGCTTTTCTAATTTTTTATGTTGTATTATTATTCCAAACGGTCTAACAAATATATGTAGTGAAAAAGAATGCTCAAATAGCAATAATGTATGATTTATGGGCAAAAATGTGAATTTTATGACCTTATTTGCATAAATTACCATAAATATGTAAATGAGTGAATTTTTCTAAAAATTGAAATTACCATAGTATTCTATACACTTCACTTGACATGTATGCAAATTTTCGCGGCGATCGGCCGTCAAACGGCCGAGATCTTAAGGGGGGGTCAAATTGACCCCCCCCCCCCCCCCCCAGTAAAAACCTGGACTGAAATAGCCCAGTTAAAATAGGGTTAATCAATCTTTAGTTGGTGAGAAAAGCAAAATACAGTAACAAAAAAATTACAGTAAAAATGCAATAGATAAAGACCACTCTAGGGAGACAAGAAACATGGGCTTTATAGGCACATGTGCTTTATGTACAGGTTCCTTTGGTACAGGTTTCAATGATAAACCATTTTCAAGAGAAACAATAATGTGGTCTTTATAGACGGGTGGTCTTTCTATACAGGTGGTCGCTACAGCAAGTTCCACTGTATATGGATACAGGTTAACTGAAGGATGCAAATTACTCCTAAGAAACAAGAAACAAATAGTAATAATGCAAAACAATATGGAATGGATGTGTTTGAGAAAATTGTTCATTTTATCTTCAGATCCAATATTTTTCAACTTTCTTTGTGACAGATCAATGCGTACATTCTGATTGGACGGCTGAGACAAGCCTACTTACTAGCAGTGAAGGGAGAGAGGGAGGATGATGTGAGACGTATCGCCATGGCAGCAGAACAAGCCGAGGCATCAGGGGTCAAACTGAAAGCTATCTGTGACCAGTGGCTGAGGGATTATGAGGCTAAGAGGAGGAATGCTGAACAAACCAAAGAGGTGCTAGCTAGGAGTAAGGCTCCCAGGTATTGAGTTAGAAGGCCAGAACTCTCCCAAACCTTACTTGCTAAAATGTTTTAATTGTAAAGCTTTTTTTTCTTTAATGGGATCCATATTAAAAGGCAAATATTATCTCAGTACTCACCATGTTGAACAATTTTGACAGAAGGATTTTGAATATGTAAATAGGTGATGCATTATCTCTTTTTTTTCTTCAGGATGTTAAATAACTCTACCTGTATACAAAATTGTCTACATCCAAATGGTAACAAGACCATATAAACCATATAATCCAATGGCTGGGGTAATAGTATATTTGTAAAGCGCTTAGAGACATTGTATTAAGCGCTGTATAAAAGCTAAATACTATCATTATTATTCAAGTATTACCTGTGGATCATATTATATTACCTTATTTTTCTCTTTTATTTAAAGTTGAAGTTATTTACCGGTAATGGTTTATTACTGGTTGTTTTTTATCTTGGTATATCAATATACTGGTATTTCAATTTTAATATGCACATTGAGTACTTAATGCAGTGCCAGCCACTTATGTGCACATGTATTCCTGCTTTTCCCTGTTCATTTTACGTCAGAATGGAAAGAAATTCATTTGTAAATTTTCTTCAAAACTGCCAACGTAATATTGAAACAAACGCCAAAGAATAAGACAAGTGTGTTGCATACCATTCACAATCATATAGTAGATCAGTTGTGCGTGTGGAATAGCCTGTAGTAGGGCTGTGCTTTAAGACACATCTACATTATTATTGCGAACTTTTGTGGTTGCCACATGTGAGCTAGTGAACCTGAACTTAGCAGTTTATGTGTTAAAGGGAGTATTGATATCATTTCTTATTATATAACATTATTTGACATATTAAACGTATACAGTATTTAACATTTCTTCTACAAATTCAAGTCAAATTGTATACATTCCATAATATATGAGACATTTACATGTAGGATCTTGTGCCTTATTTTTTGATTTTTCTGATTTTGAAGTAGTTGTTATACATGTACCTAGCCCACAGCAAATAAATGCAAGGATGTATGCACTGGATCACTTTTTGTGTCAATCAAAATGCAATATTTGAATTATGCAATATTAGGAAAATTTAGGTCTAGTGTATACAAACTAATATGATGAAAATGGCTTTATATGATTGTTGAATCAGCAGGTGATATGAAATGTACATTTGATGTCAAGTTCATTTCCAATAACACTTGACAGGAACAATGACAGTCTTGGACTGTATAAAACAAGTTTCATGCAAACTGATGTGTATCATACCAAAGTACACATACTTTTTGTTTTTGACAATGCTTTTTCCCTTTTGGGCATAAGCATTGTCACTATGTGCTCTGACTAAACATTAAGCACTTTCCTGCTCTAAAATATTCTCATTAAAGGATATCATTTTAATAATATTGATATTGTATCACTACTGAATGTTTGTTTTTGAATGTGGAATAACTGTGGCTACCACATGACTTTCTTTTCTAAAATTGAAAACAGATTTCAATATTTTGATTAATGCAATGTAAACAGATAGCAGATGAGGTTGATTTGATTAGATTTTGCTGTAAATAATTGTAAGCAATGATTTTGAAGAAGTGGAAAAATATTATTCTTGCCCCTAAATAGTATTATGGACATTCTTGCTATTCCCAGAATTGTTTTATGTGTGTATCTTATTGTATTTTCATAAGCAAATGAGCTCAAAATAATCATGAAATATTTCCCCACTTTGTGCATATCTATTTTAGGTCATGATGATATGAAAAGTGGATTGAAAAAGATTGTATTATAATCATTTTATTATATATTTACTACTTTGCTGTAGATGTATTGAAGAAATAAGAGCAGTATATTTTGTCCCTTTCTAAGTCTGTATAGAGATACCACAGTTACTACAGTAATTCAATTCCTATTTAGATTTGCAAGAAACTAGAATATTATACAGTGCATATAAAAAAAATACCAAATTTGATAGCTTGCGATAAAAAAGTCACAATCAATGTGACCTGGAAATCTATTTCATTGTAAAGAGTAACTTGTTTGCTGTCTAATGATACCCCATTCATAATATTGCTGCCTTGGATGACTGAGCACCAGGGTTTTCAAAAGGTGCCGTCAAATATGCTTGTACCAAGTTTCGGCAGATTCACCAAATGTTGGATGGTTTACTTAGGTTTTAAATATGCTTCTAATCATGCTCCAGTGCTTCATTGTATTAAAGTGGTCCAATATATCTAAGCTTCCACAGGTCCTTGTTTCAATACACAAATTGAATTAAATTGAATTGAATTGAATTGAATTGAATTGAATTGAATTGAATGGAATTGAATTGAATTGAATTCAAGATCTCTCTGCTCACTTGTCCATTGCATATTTCATATGCAAGATGTGTGTAAGGTACATAAGGTAAATCCATGCAAAAATTAGTCAGTAATTTTTTCCAGACTGAAAATGACGATGTGTAAGGCTTTTTCCTGAACATTTGTTGCTCCAGCACCAACCTGGTACGAGAGGATTTTGACAATATTTTTTGAAAAGTGTTGCTCAGTCATCTGTGGCAGCAGAGTTATGAGTAGGGTGTCATTAGAAAAAACATTATTTGCTCTTTACAAATTAAAAAAAAAAAAAAAATCAAGGTCACACAGGTTATAACTTGTAAATGGGAATCTACCAATTTTTTGTTATGCGCATAATGCACCCTTTAGTGAATCTGAAATCCTATTAAAGATATTAAGCCTTTGCATTAATATATTATGTGAAAATAAAAATCAAGATATACATGTACCGATATCTAACAGGCTCTATATAAAACATTATAGTGTAGTATATTATAATAGTAATAGTCTGGATGATTTTACAGTTGAATACTTGCCTATCATAACGAAAAAACTATCATTCGTATATTGATTATTGAATGCACTAATCAAAATGTATCTATTGGGAGAAAGGAGAAGAATAGTATATTGATTTGCACATGAACTATGCATGTACCTAAAGTTAAAGGACAAGTCCAACCCGCTTACATGTTGAATTGAATGGAGAAAAATTAAATGAACAAAATGCTGAAAAATTTCATCGAAAATCCAAGTTGTGGAATTGTTCAGTTTCGCATAATTTCATAAAACAGTGATGTCTCACATAGGCTGTATGCAAATTAGTGACTTGATGTTATCTCCTCACTATACTCCATATATTTGTTTATACATTTTCTTTAATGAGACACCTGTATAATTTTGTCTTTAAATCACAACAAAATACAGTGATGGTGATTTTGCATATTTTCCATTATCAGAAAGTGATTTTTAGGGTTAAATTTGTGTACAAAGTGAAGAGAGCGAGGGCTGACATCAACTCGATGAAACTTTCATCATTTTGTTTTTTTCTCTTTATTCAATTCAACTTGCAAATGGGCCAGACTTGCCCTTTAAATGCACTGAACATTACCAATTAGTCATGTATTGTGACGAGTTAAAGAATCATTTAACAACCATGTAGGAGTGTGATAGAAGACCCTTTTGTGCAAATGGGTCCAGTTGGTAATTAGGAACAAATACTTATTTGAATCAGTATATAAATGTCTCCCTCAGATATTATGTTGAATGTTTTCATTCTTACTTTGATTTCTTTTGAATGGTGTCTGGAACATGTCTTTCTTTTTATTTTCAAATATGATTTGTGCATACTTTTGAACCATATATTTTTATATCATGACATTTTATATATGAGAAAATAATAGATAGATAAAAGTATTATACAATTAAATGTTATATACATCTCAGAATCAATCTTTAGTCTTTACTGTAATTCTTTTTGATGAAAATTTTTCTATCTGCTATTTGCTGTAGGAGGCAAGGAAAGTCAAAAATTAAATGAAAACAAAAAAATCACCAAAGTGTATTTGATATGAATTTATTGAAACAATAAAGAAAAGTTATATGTTTAATTAAAATAGCATATATCTATAACTATATATCTATAACTATATTTTTAAAAATATTGAAAAAAATAACAAATCTTGAGTTTCTAGATTCATATGAAACCTTAAGTAATGTACTATCAATACGTAATCATGTCTGTAACTTAAATCAATGACTAAATATTCACAAAAATAGATTGTCTACTGGGATTGAGAAGGACGTTGAACTCATTTAACATCCTTCTGGCTTTCATCTGATTCATTTTTACTTCTTTCAATCATAGGCAAGATAAATCAACATTGCAATAATCAACAAAATTGGGGAAAACGATAACCTTTAATATAACATCCCATTTTTGAAGTGTGCCAATAACCTGTGAAAATAATTATCTACGGCGAGAGAGTATATATTAAGTGATTTGTATGTGCTTTATGAAAATGCTCTGTTATATTGTATTATTATTATTTTTGAAGTGTGCCAATAACCTGTGAAAATAATTATCTACGGCGAGAGAGTATATATTAAGTGATTTGTATGTGCTTTATGAAAATGCTCTGTTATATTGTATTATTATTATTACTACATGTATTTAAAATCGACCAATATTTTTTACCAGGCATTCTATGGGCCAAAGGTAAAGGAGTATGAACAAAATAAAGGACAAAGAACCCTGACGTGTAAGCTGAGTCAGACTTGGGGTTCTGTGCGGGTGTTATTCTCTGCGAGCGTGTACGTGCATTGAATAGTCTACTCACGAGTATTATGTGAAGTAGGGTTCATTCATACTTGCAATATCTCTTTAAAGAACAAACATTTGAAACTCTAGTTTTGAATATAAAAATGGCGACATGGGTCCCTAAACATTCAGAGCAAAATATTTGTTGGTAATTGGTACACTTCAGTTATACCATACATGAACTTGTCAACATTCATATGTGATTTGAGATGTATAAAATGGGAGGTTCGTAATGGAGTTCGATTGTTAACACCTTGAATTTTTCACTATCTATGTAATACACATAATACATAATTTGCCTGATTACTGTAACATACTATAAAATGTCAGCAAATTAAAAGAATCACTAAACTAATAACAAATGAAATGAAGATCACAGATGTAAAAAGTATACATTTTCTTTATTATTGTTTGATTAAAGATAGTACTTCATACAAAATACCTTCTACTGTCAAGGCACCAATGCTGGCTGTACGAATAAATCTGATATACATGATCCATGGCTATATAAATCTTTTACTTGAAAAAGCCTTTCCTCAGTTTAGTACTGGTTTGTCTATTTTCTTCTTTTCAACTACATTAATACAAATAAATGTTGTTGGTAGTTATTCATAACCATCAACAAAACCATCTCAAATGGTGCATCCTTTGCAGAAACATTTTCTCAACTACTTTCACACTAATTGCTCTAGGGTGGGAAATTCCCTGATTTTTGTAGAACTTTTGTGATTTACTGGAAGCGGATCTGGTGGATGTCGACAGCACCATCAATGACCAGGGTGTTGACGTTCTGCAATGGAAGACGATGAGCGTACTCCAGGAAGTGCTGGCCATTGACTGCAATCTTGAAGGAGTTCATCTCACACAAGATGATCAGCTGAAAAAGGTGGTGAAAGATGTATATTTAAAATTCATGCAAAGTTAGAGAGCCTCATGAGGATTTATAATGATCCTTTTTCACTTCTCATTTGTTTTTTTTTACTCCACTTATGGAGAAAAAGCTATGTTCCAGCAACAGGTACTAGGCAGCAACTATATTCAAAATCCCAACTTGAATTCTAGACCAATTACTCATCCTCGACCTCGCCCTTCCCCTAACCATAACCCTACGCTTAAACCTAACCTTAAAGTGAAGCATGACCCAAGTCCTTATCCTTCATGTATGTCTTTGACTTAAATAAACCCCAGAGCTATGTTGCAGGAGCAAATGTTGTATCACCAGAAACGCTTTACAGAAGCTTACATGTAGAATGTTTTGTATCTTGCTCTTCTATACTAAAAAAAAATCTAAAGACAAGTTTGGGAAGTTTACAAAAACTACACATGAGCTTTATTATTCAAATTAAGATTCACAGCAAGATCATATAGGAGAGAGAGAGAGAGAGAGAGAGAGAGAAGGTTGGGGGGGGGGGGGGGGGAGTGGGAAGAAAGTAAAATAGGGGGAAGAGGTGGAAAAAGAGTGAGATATGATGGACAGCAAGAGAGAGAGTAAAATGGGAGGAGGTGAAGAGAGAGAGAGAGAGAGAGAGGGGAGAGAAAGAGAAAGAGGGAGAAAGAGACGGAAAGAAAAAGAGATATATACCTCAAAGAATCCATTAGGAGCGAATGGGAAATAGGAGGCATTCCTCTCTTCACTTCCCCAAGACTGGTTCTGCAGTGTGTTGCGTACCACCGTCTGAGCTTGGAAACGAGGGTTAAAGTGGAGCGCAATGTCTGGGCGAGGCTTGACACCAGCACCGCACTGGAGGTTCACATGAAACCTGTCACATAAACAAATACAATAAAATCCTTTCAACTAACAAAAGAAATATAATATCTGAATAATAAGAGGCCTTATTCATTTCACATAATTCAGTGTTTTTGCATAGTTAATGAGCTATGACCTTTCACCTTTGACCTACATACTCGAAAATCGAACTTAGGCTGATTTTGATACCATGTACCTTCATATTACATTTCATTAAAATTCGTCAAACATTACTCAAGTTCAGTGGCGGATCCAAGGGGGAGCCGAAAGCCGCGGCCACCCCAATTGACAGCGCCAACTAAAAAAGAGAAGGAAAAAAAAGAGGAAAAGAAGAGAAAAAAGAAAGGAGAAGATAAAAGAATAGAGAAGAAAAATGATAGAAAAGAACAGAAAGAGAGAGAGAAAGAGAAAGAGAAAAGAGAAAGAAGAGAGAAGTTGGGTGAGAAAGGAAGAAAGACAAGGAAATGACACTTAGTGACAATAACGACGAAAACGGGAAAAACTTGGGGGGGGGGGGGGGTATGTGCGTCTGAAATGCGCGCGCATGGAGGCAGGGGGGGGGGTGGGCTGACCATATTCTAATTTTTAGGTTGTGCACAACTGAGTCGGAACTCAGCTTATTTTCAAAAAATTATAAGCATGCTTGTTTATTTTAAGCAGTAGTGCCTAAAAAGGTTCGTATAAAAATACTTCTGAAAAGGCCGCACCCGGCCCCTCCAAAGAGCAGCAGTATGGTAATCAGAACATTTTGGGTTATTCCAAAAGTCTTGGGAGCCTTTATTGAAGAGGGGGCCGGCCATATATGTAAAATGGCAGTGACGGCAATGATGGATGAGGGAATAAGGAGGAAGGGGTGCACATAATTGAGAACTGCAAGCGTACTGGGGATGACCATCTTATCATTTTAGGTTGTGCAATCTGGATCGGAATCCAGCATAATATATTTATTAAAAAAGGGTTCATGTAAAAAAGCACTCATGATATATCTTTTGTATTCATTGGAAAACAAATTTCAAAATTAAATTGACAGTGACGTGGCATGAGCCCAGAAGCGGATCTAGAGGGGGGGTTGGGGGGGTTGCAACCCCCCCAAAAAAAATCCGGGGACCATTTTTTTAAATCTTATCTTTTTTTTTAACTTGTAATTTTATTTTATTCTATTTCTATGTATTTATTTCATTTATTATTATTATTATTATTATTATTATTATTATTATTATTATTATTTCTTTTTGGGGGGAGGGGGGGGGGGTTGGGCGAACAAATGTCACAGAGTCCCTTGCCCCCCCCCCCCATCAGCTTTTTGAGGACACGGGCCACCGCCGAAGTGACAAGCTAGGCCAGCGTTGCCGATTCTCATCCCCAAAATCCCCACATTAAAAAAAAAAGGAAAAAAAAAAGAAAAAAAAAAAAAGAAAAAAAGAAAGAAAAAAGAACGCACGCTGGAGAGAAACCCTTTCAAGTGCAAATATTGTGAGAAGATATTCAACTCATCTGGTAACTTAACCAAACACATGATAACTCTGGATATAACTGTGTATTTAACTGTTACTTGATTTAAAAAGACGTTATCATGCACTGCTTTTTATGGTCTCCATTGTATTAATAGATGCCAGGAAAACATCACTTACTGGGTTCAAATAAACACCCCCAAAAAAAATCGGCTCGCCGCTTTGCGGCTCGTGGACGATGCTCCGCATCGTCATTATTGGTCAACCCCCCCCTGAGCAAAAAGCTAGATCCGCCCCTGGAGCCTGCCCCCTTTCCAAAGCCTGTGCCTGCTGGTAGTTACCGGTACGATGCTTCTATGACCTTGTCAGTATTGGGATCTTGAATTAATCAAATAACGGTCTGTGCGATTTTCAAATTTCCGCCCCCCCATCCCCCTCTATTGGAAAAGCCTTGATACGCGCCTGGATAAATGGTTTCCTGTGCTATAATATGTCAACTACCATTACATTAAAAACAAATTATAAGCATCATTAACAAGTTCGTATTTGGAAAATTTACCCTCGAAAAACCCTTAAATGGCCTACGCACACGGTGAAGAAACGCACATGTACTGCATAGGGTACTTTCCTGAGAGATAATAGCAGCGGCCCTATACGATTCTGAAGGTGGGGGGGGGGGGAGGGGGCTCTCGCTGGTAATCTTGGATCTATTGCGTGTGATGTACATGTATGCATGCCTAGGCCTACAGTGTGGATTTTTTTGTTAATACAACAATATTTGTATAAAAGAGAACGCTCCATCTGTTGGTTATCGCAAGAGACACATGCATACGTCAATAATTTGACGAGAAATTCATTGATCAGGATTTGTTTTTCCCCTGAACAATAGGGTACACCACTTTCCCACGCTACGGAAGTGTCAAGTTTGTTTATAATGATGCATTTTTTCCACTATAAAGTTTCTATCCAACCTACTCTAAGAGAGTATATTGTTGCTGATTAAAACAATTGAAATACAAATCCTTGAAATTAACTTTTTTACTACGTCCTTGGTTTCATAAAATAAGATGGTTCTGAATTTTGCAGGAATTTAAGGTTGAAAAATTATTTTGAAAGTAAGTAAGAAAATCGAAGACAAAAAAGAAATCAACGCCATGGAAATACATTGATTTCCTAGATACTTTTAGTTGCTGTCATCCCTTTTCGGAATTGATTGCGAATATGGAAAAAATGACTCCGCCGGGAATCGAACAAGGGTCACGGGCTATTAGAACGACAATGTCTTGACCACTGGACCAAGGAAATGGGCCAGAATCTAACAGGAATAAATACATTTACATTCCTATTTCAAAATTATAAATGCGAGATATAATTACGGCAACACTTGTACAGTAAAATGAACTCTTAACGATTGAAGAAATCAAATTAACACTTTACCGGCACAATCGTATGAATATCATGATACAAAGGAGATATGATCGACATGATTGATAATTTGATATTACATAACATAATATGATCATGATCTAAATATGATATCTTTATGTTATTGCATTCATGTGATATCACCTGACTTAACATTGCACAAAATGATAACTAAATATTTATTATAAGATACGATATCATATGATGCAAGAATATAATGTTTTTTATGAAAAGATATTATATGAATATGATATAATAATTGTTATGATAGGTTTTTTGACAAACCAGGAGTTAGCTGAATTATTTTCCTTTTAATTCAGAAGACACCGTAGCTTAATTTACGTCTACCATAACGCGTATGGAATTTATGCTAATTCTAGTTCAGAGCGAATTTATGCTAATTCTAGTTCAGAGCGACGTGTTCGCAGATGCCATGTTTCTTTTGTTAGGAAAGGATCCACGGGAGACGAAAGTCTTACTATGTTGATTTTAGTTAGCCAGGAAATGTCGCCATAGAAGTAAGTTTATCTTTAAAATATCATGCTTTTGATATGTGGTGATTTAAAGTAGATATTCATTGATTTTAAATCTAGCTTTATTTTCATTATTGAACAGTTGAAACTTTGATTCAACAAGGAAACATTTGAAGTAATGATTATTATAAATTACAAAACGCTTAAATACAGCCCCGGCATAGCACCTGAATAGCTCTCCGAACGCTGCTGAGATGTGTGAGATCACAGCAGGGACATGATTTGCACAAGCAGACGATGTCCCATGACATCTCACACATTTTCAGTGCCTGTGTTTTCATCTTCTCTTGAGTTCTTTCTCTTACTTCACTACCGTCAGGCTAAATGTATAATCTATTGCCTCACTCTAGACCCCGCGCATGGTTTTATTTTGATGACAAATGCCGCGATACAAAAATAAAGGAATCTGTCGCTTGTAAACAAAATAAGACGCCATTGTATATTCAGCTGCAGACACCGCGGTATGTTCGGCGTTTTAAGAGGGAACAAATGCCGTCCTTAACATCAATCCGGGGCTTTTCAATTTGAAAGTCTGGTTTCTTTGATTGTTAATTAACCCCTATCCTGTGTATTTACAAGCAAAAGATTTTAGTTATCAGAATCGGGTCATGTCCCCGTTTGATCGGTTTGACGTGTCAGTACATTTATATACACTAAACTCATCATAATTTGACAAATAATAGCTTTGCAATTATGTTCATTCTTTATGGGATGTCGTCTGCTTGGGCAGTATTAGTCCCTGTTGTGACGTCATTAAAACATCGTTTTTTTTCTGGCGAATCTCTCGTATATCCCAGCTGCTATGGAGGTGGTTGTATTTTTATTTTTATAAATCACCCGATATGTAGCTGACCTCAAACTTGTACGATGGCCATCTGTTAGCTTACCAGTTTCTAGTAATACATTAGTTGACATATTTGTGATTTTCTTTGAATTTCACCTTTAAGATTGTGTTTTGGTCAGGTTGTTGAGGGAAAATGATATTACATAATCAATGTGTACCGAGTACGGTTTATAAATCGCTATGCACAAAATTGTATAGTGATAGGGTCTACGTTGTATGAGTTACATTGGAGGTCTTATTGTTTTTAGAAATGACAATGCATAACATACAGACGCGATGTTAAATACCGCTTCATCTATGTAGATATGTTTAATACAATGTATTCAGGTGGTTTAATACGTTATTTAAGCTGGGGCTTATTGTTGGCCATTTAGAGTGATAGTTTAAGTGAGAAAGTTGAGTTAGTAAAGACATGAATGAACAAAACAGAGTAAGCTTATAAACTGGAATGTTTGCTCAAAAATGGAAGTTTGTGAGTTATGATGTAAACAAAGGACTAGGGGTTTAATCTTACATTTGATTAACGAGACGTTGTTTCGGTGATGTTTAGATTAGTCTTTGATTTAGCGGGGAAGTTTCCTTAGTCTTAGTGAGTTTGTTATAATGAGGTTACACTACACATTTCAAGGAGTTAAAGTAGTGATTTGACTTGATTTCAGTTTCAGAACAGCTCATAGAAACCGCACTGTCAGAAACTTCTAGATTTGTTTATCTGTTGATTCAATGATAGTATATGTCAAGCTTGAAGTTGATACAGTTAATTTGATGTAGGCATTTAGCTTTCATTAGCTTAGTTGATGTTTGGATATATCAGTCTTCATTTATATGTGCAAAGATTGTACATGTATTTATGATCCTTTTGTGTCTCTTTTGCATTCACAGATTGAATAAAATTGCAGCTTGATTTTCAAGCTCTACCTATGCAATTCAAAGCGTCATTCCTGGTTTATTCCTTAACTTCAGTGATCCAATGATATTATATCATGAAAAGAAAAGATGTGATATAGTATTGATGTGACAAGGTATGATTATGATAAAACCAATATGTTATTACTATGAGAATATATGATATGGGTAAATTATGATATGATGTAGTATATAGATTAGATATATAAGATAAGAAATAACATGATATAGATTGTTAATCAAGTTAGCTCAATCAGTAACATTTTAGTTTTAAAAATGTAATAAGGTCAAATTCTAAATTTTAAATATCAATTTTATGATATCCGGTTATGTTCGTTATTTAATTTTGTGGTATGCGTATATCAGCTTGGGGAAAAAGAAGAAAAAAAGAAAATTTTAAAGGGGGGGAGGGGAGATGATGTTGATGATAATGGTGATGGTAGTTACGCTAATGATAATTTACACCGTTTACATGGCGACATATTTCTAATTAAAGAACGTTTAAAGGCACAGACCCCTCCATTGAAGAGAGTATTTTTCACACTTGCCAAAATAGGTATGTTTTGAGGCATTATTTGACATGTTCTAGATTGTAGTCTCACGAAGACAGAAAGGGATTGAGTCCCACAAAGGCTGAGGAATGGATGAAAAGACACAGTCCCCATATCATCCCTTCATGCCTGGTGTGGGTACATGGGGAGTGAGCCTATAATGAGCGCAACCTAGGGCGAAGGCCATTAAAAAAAAAATTAGTCCCTTGCGTTTGCCATACTTCATTGTTATTAATATTTTTATTGCGAGTTGTCTGTGACGGATGGGAAGAATTCAATTTGTATAACCTTCGGGTTTATCGTCACGGAGTGATCGAGATGTCATGTGCAAACCCTGTATCGAAGGTTTCAACCACCACCATCCCTGATCCCACCCCTAATCTCTTATGAAGAGTACAGTGGGTTTTTTGCTTACCATAAGTTTTCATTATAACGTTTATAGGTTGGGAACTCTTCTACACATTAGGCCTCCATTGGTATCCTATTCCAGGGATGAAGACTTTTCCACCATGACCTGGCCTGTGTTTATAGAACATGACAAGGGAGGGCCGCACTGGCATACTGATGGGTTTGGGGGGGGGGGGGGGGGGGCTTTGGGGCGTGCCCCCAAATAAAATTCAAACATGGTTCATTTCTAATTCGATACCAATGACTTTCAAATTTTGCTGAAATTACATGATTTTCCGTGATATTTTGATACTGTTTTGTAAATTATACTTTTTTATCCGTTTGCTGGAAAATGACAAATTCCCAAGTTTTCAGTCAGGTCAAAATTTTCTAATTTAGTAGCCTACATGTCAGGACCCGAGGAACGGCGGGGTTGGGGGGCTTGAGCCACCACCTCACTAAAAAAAAGTATGTGTAAGATATTAAAATAGAAAGAAAGGAAGAAAGAAAAATTGTGACCTGCCAGTGCCACAAAATTAATGAGGTATCAAAATATGCCCATCTGACCGCAATTAAATAGCTAAAACCCCTGAGCTTGCGAGGGCTCCACCCTCTCAACCCCACCAGAGGCCCTAAGTCGGTCCCCTGGATGCTCATCTGACCATTATTAAATACCTGAAACCCCTGAGCTTCATGTGGCTTAGTCCCCTGGACCCCACGCTAATTAATGACCTGCTAATGTGACAAATAAGGTATCAAAATATGCTCATCTGACCGTGATTAAATTCCTAAAACTCCTGAGCTTCCGAGGGGTCCACCCTTGACCCCCCGCTGGGGTTTTCCCCTGGACCCCACGCCAATTTACGCCTCATTCGCTTTGCTCGCTACACTCTACCTGATTGTACTTTGAAAAACTGCGGGGCCTGCAAGGCTGCATGTAACAGTGGTGGTGATGCGGATTTGTTAAAAATATTTATATTGTATTCATATGAATATGGAGTAATATGAGCACGTTAGTATTTGTAAGCGAACGAGAGTGATAAAGTAATATAAATCTGTAAAGATATAAAGAAGCATAAAGAAATGGTTTAATATTTTATGACGGTCATGAAACACATACAGAGCAACACAAGTTAATTGTTCTGGATTTCCAAATAAAAGGAAGTTCACTTTGCAATAATGGTGGTATCAAACAACTCAGCACAACAGTATTTTTAAGCGAACCGTTAGTGATGAAGTCATTCATGAATATGAATATGTAAAGATATAAAGAAAGTGTTAAATATATTCTGACAGTCATGAAACACATATAGCACCACAAGTAATTATTTTGAATTTCAAAATAAATGGAAGTTTTCATTGTAATCATAGTTATTATAGCAGATAACTTAGCATGTAGGTATTTTATAAGCGAACAAGAGTGATAAAGTAATTCATGAATATAAATAAGTAAAGATATAAAGAAAGTGTTATATATAGTTTGACAGTCTCAAATTGTAATCATGGTTGTAGCTAGAGCTGTTTCTTTATGTACTTCACAGGCATTCAAATTTCATTTCTTGCAGTTAATGCGGGGTACAGCCTCTCTTTTCCCGCAATTTTACAAATTACGAGCTGACCGAATATGCATTTTTCATGTCTTATCTCGCGTATTTTGGGGATAAATAAAACTTTTACAACATACATATGCTCAATTTTTCACTCGCTTGCTTCGGTCGCTCGCTAAATTGTGAACCCAGAAAATTAATATTTTAGCAAGTGGATTTAGCCCCCCCCCCCCCCCCCCCCCCCCCCGATGAAAATGTCAAAAATTTTGCTCGCGCATAACTTAAACTCCGGGAATGTTGATATCGAACAAGAGACGTGACTTGAGCCTGCCCCCTTTTAAAAAGTGTGCTTGCTTATATGTACCGGTACGGTGCTTTTATTATGACCTTGTCAGTATTGGGAAGTTGAGTTGAAATAATGGTCTGCGCGATTTTCAAATTTCCGGCCCCCCCTATTGGAAAATCCTGGATCCGCGCCTGAAGTTATCAAATGAAAACCAGATTCGCATATTTTCGCATATTTAATGAGCTATGACCTTCGACCTACTTACTCCAAAATCAAACTTAGCCTGTATTTTGATATCATGTACCTTCATATCAAATTTCATTAAAATCCGCCAAACATTACTGAAGTTATTGATCGGAAACCAAAGTTGTTACGGACGGACGGACGCACGGAAGGGAGGACGGACGGCAGCTCCCCTCCGACTTTGTCGGCGAGGGGATAATAATCTTGAGGAGACAAAACGAGAGATCTTACGATTGCATGAGAAGAATCTTTATTTATGAACTTCCTTATTCTACTGAGGATACGTAAGTGGAAATTAACAGATTTTGATAAATTTGAAACATGATCTGACATATAGATAACACCTGATATTTGAACAGATGGCGCAGGTAAAATGATGGCAGACCTGCCAACCTCTGGAGTTCAAAAACTGTATTCTTTAATCCCAAAAGTTGTATTTTACTGACAAAAGTTGTATTCTTAAAAATAAACACGGACTGTTACGCTGATCAATGCCTCTTACAGTTCCTACATACAGGAAGAATTTTTTTTATGGATCATTGGTTGAATATGCATAATTTTGTCACAACTGGTGTGTTTGATGAACCAATGAACATCCCCAAATTGCTGATGTGAGATGCTTGTAGGATACTTTACAGGACAGAATGGGCATTTTGCCATTTAAAATGGCACACATACACATAAAATAAAGTTTTGTTTTGTTTTGTTTCGTTTTGTTTTTTTGTTTGTTTGTTTTGAAAATCGTATTTTATTGAGAAAAATCGTACGTCGTATTTGCTTCAAAAAATCGTACTAAATACGACTAAATCGTACTGGTTGGCAGGTCTGTGATGGTATGATCATCAACCTTAAGATGGACATGCTGTACAATATAAAACATATGCATAAACTAGGTTTTTCAAATAAATCAACTTGAAAGGAAATGCTCTAAAACAATGTAAAAAAAAATATGATTGTGCAAGTATTAATTCAACATATTCTTCTTTTTCTCACCCTACCATGTGTGATTTCAAAATGATTGACTATATTTCTTTCTTCCATTTTCTCCATTGCCCTTTTCTTACCTATCTGGGTTGGCTCGTACTTTCCCACTGAGGAAGATAAGTCTGCCCGGAGTCATTCCACCCACCACTGGTCCGGTATGTGGCATAGACTGTCAATCAAAATATACCAGATGTACATATATGTGAATGCAGTCTACATCATGAGCAACATGCACTTCTCTCAATATATGAATAGAACACAGAGAGCACAAGATTTCAAATAATGTAAATTGCCTCCTCTTTCCTCTCGACTACTTATTTCAATTATTCTCCTGATTATTGTCCCCAGATGGATAACAGTTGTTAGTGCATGGAGCATACATGATAAAATAAAAACGATAAGATAACTAACTCGGCAGACAAAAAAGTGCCATTTCATTTATGATAGTCTGAAGAGAACTACTACTACTTACAAGAAATCTATCAAATTTGTTATCTTACCACTTCAGGCATTTTATTGATTTTATCAATTATATTCACAATATGAACTGGAAATAAATATTCAGGATTAAAGGTGTACCAATCACACACACAATATATATATATATTTTGGTCTGAATGTCAGGGGGTCAATGTCACTATACTGAAATATGAACTTCATATATTACTTCTGTAAAGAGATATCTTTTGAGTCGATTTTACACATTCATGTAGATATTATTTTTAATTTGGCAGTGATTGGTACACTTTAACAAAAATTGAGATTCTAATAAATACTTTTGCACCTTTGATAAGAATTGACAGGCCCACTTTTCGCTTGCCTTTGTATAGTCTATAATATCTTTTGCAAACCACATGTAAATCAAAATGAACACGACCTTATTTTAAAAACATCATATCCTCTTTGGTTAACCATCTTTGCACCACAGGCCAACCAAAATTATGTTATTTCTGAGAAAGGCATCAACAGCTCATACCTCAAGCCTCCAATAAATAAACAAACAGGACTTAATGTCCATTTTCATGTAAGCGATCTACATGTATTTCCTATCAGCAAACATCCAAGAATGACAAACACTTTTTCCTTCCTGACATACATTGTGCCTTGATCAACCTCAGAGGCACAGCAGGATATCCTATCCGGCTCAAGACACTAAGAACATGTAGGATTCTTCCTCTTGTAGTCCTACATAATTCCCAGATGCACAGTTGCACACGTACACAGAAAGTATGGATAGTAATTGAAAAAGGTGTGAAGACCATATTTGAGACTAAGACATTTTAGATTCCTTTAATAAAAGGAGAGGAGCATTCACAAGAAAGTTGCCACACCTATTATTGCTGGAACTTTTTAGATGGGGAAGGGGGAAAGTGTGGTATCAAAAAAAGCAAATGTGCTGGCATTTTTGAAATCTTTAATGGGTGAATATCTCTGTTCATATGGGAAGTATCACCAGCTGCCCACGTAAAGACAGTAAGAACTGTAGAGTATTAATTGTCTATAGCAGTAAAGCCCTTCTTGGGAGCAGCTAATGATGGTGCTCAAATTTTGAAGTCCCCCTTTACTGACACCCTTGCATGACTACATTATTATGATTAACTTACTGGGTTAAGGATGCTGCCAGATCCATGGATGTACTGTAGAATGAAATTCAAGAGACAAAGAAAAAGCTTAATGAAGGTGGAAACCCCAAACAACAATATTCGTGATTACATCATTAAACCTGTCTATATAAAAGACATGATGAAGAGTTGCTTTTTTGTTATTACAAATTCAGCAGATGATTACAATAACTTATTTTAAACCCTGTCAAAAGAGTATGTGGTGTAACTTCAAACCTTGCTCAAATCTATGATCACCATGGAAGCTTTTAAAGATTAATTTACAATAACATTAGTCCCTAAACATGTACATGTTCACTAAATGTGTTTAGAGCTCAACCATAACAGATTAGTGTCTCCATTTTGGGATTATCTTTTGATCTAGATCGCTAGGAATAATTATGCATAAAATGAGAAGAAACAACAAAAATCTGAGAAAATTTTGAGTCTATTTCTAATTCAGTACATAATGTCCTGTCCATAAAAAAGAAAAATGTAATTGTCAATAATCGTTAAAACGGTCTAAATCTGTAACATGAAATCCCACCCCCCCCCACTCAGTGTTATTTTGGGTACGCATATGCATGTTCCCTCCTTTTGAAAATACCCCCTAAGTCCGGTGCGTAAAACAGGCTTTTGTGTACTACGAGCCGGACTTTGGTGCATGAAAAGTACCCCTTTACACCAGACATTTTGGTAACACGCATGGTATACCTCCGATCACAGGGTGGGGGGGGGGGGGGGGCCGGCATGACATTCAGTTCATAATCACCATTTTTTTGTGTACAAATTGGTGTTCTCTTTGTTGAATTTCCATTTATATTGGTTCATTGAATATACAGTTGTACTTTTTAAAAGAAACTGTAGGAGGAAAATAAGAATAATTGGTGGCAGTATAAAAAGCTAGCTGGGTTTTTTTTAGACCTTCCGGCCTTAAGAAATATTATGGCTTAAACAAGCTAGCATGAACTTACCCCAGCAGACTGTCCTTGGAACCTAATAGAGTGAATCTGTACCTTGCCATCAATGGCAATGGTATCAATACGGTTCAGGTTCTTGACGCGATGGTTGTACTCAATGAAGTGCTGTCCATTCACAGCAACCTACAGGAGAAACAATGAGGAATGCATGTTCTTTAATAGTCTCTTCCTCCTTTTTACTACTACCAATGCTGTTATCTATCAACTTAATTATATTTATTTATTTATTTGGTATTCAAAAGGGTTGCCTGCATAACGTAAACATTACATACATGTAACATACATGAACATATAAGTTAAATAGTGAAATAAGTTCTTTTTGGAAAAATAAAATTCTTTCATTGAAATACCTCCAGTAAATCTTGATGCAATATTCATTAATATTTATCTAAATTCATTAAACAGTGTTTTGTGTGGTTCTGTGAGACTATTCAATTATTCTTAGTATGTCAAGCAAACATTGTGCTAAAGATTATGTAACAAATATACCAATGGGTATCATTGCATTTAAAAATTGATGCACAATCGGGCCAACATAACATTTTGGTTCAACTTACTTTTATTTTTTGGTTGATCCAGTTTGAAATCAATATCTTCACATAAGTTGTGGAAAGGATAGTATTGTTCAACAGGCCAATATACAGCTCCATGTAATATTATGCTCTAAATTTTTAAACAGAATATGTAATTTTTGCAGCTTATTTAGCCCTAACCATAATCTAGGGAGTGGACTAAGATTAGAATACTATACTCTAGGAACTTGAAAGTTTTACAATACCTTGAACTGGTTTGCTTCACAGAGTATAATAATCTCAAAGTTCTGGTTGAAATTGAAAGGGAAATGAGACTGGCCCCTCTCTTCAGCACCCCACTTCTGATTCTTAAGGGTGTTTCGCACACACGTCTTGGCCCCGAATCTGGGATTGAAGTGCAGGGCTACGTCTGATCTTGGATTTGTGCTGGTGCCACACTGCAAGTTAATGTGGAACCTATTCAGAAAGGGAAAAACCAGTAACTTCAGATTAGTCCATGCAGCTAAATGGCTCAAACCAACATACACACAAACAAAAAACATATTTTTGGGGTACATCTAATTTCATGATTTCTCTCGTAGTTTTTAATGATTTTTTTTTCTCGTTACGATTACGTCTTTTTTTATAATGGTTTATTTATTCAAAAAAATCACATTGCAGCCCAAAGGCTGAATTGCACGATTTTTTACAAATCTTTGACATAAAAACAGATTATAATGAACATTGTAAAAAGCATTACACAAAATAATAACTGCATACAAAATTAGTAACGAAATAATATTCAACTAATATTCAACTAATATTCTTTTTACATTTTAAACCGAAATAGCTAGGATTATCAGATGGTCTTTGTTTGGGTTTGTTCTGGCACGCATTACAGCTAACGAGGAGCACTGCGCATTTTTCCGAGACTAGTCTGAACTTGCCTTGCAACAGCTATCCGTATCGAAATTTCTTGTGATTACCGAGTAATTTTTAGCTTTTAAAAGAAGCATGCGGTGTTCAAAATCAAAGAAAAAATATCTATTTTGTATTTTAAAAATTATTCGATCGGTATGTTGTAAAGAAGTACTTTTTAGAAAGCCGTTTTATTATTCAAACATTAATGTTTCTTTCAACCTGATTTATTAATCCTGCCGAGAGACCCGGCCAGTACAGTAGCTAGCTAGCAGCTGGCAACAACAACCCCATGGGGCGAACTGCCTTGCAACCCATATATTTATATCAGCGGTTCGGATTGATTCAGGATGAGCTAAAATATGATTGGTAACAATTAAATACTTAAGTTTTAAGGTGGATTGGTTTTAGTGGTGTGCAAAACTGCAATTTCTTACATATTTCGTTATTTTTTTTCGGAGCGTCGGTTCTCAAAAAACGAAACCGGGACCCGACGGCAACGGTCGGGTCCCGGTGTGATCGACCGTACCGACTCAAGCCTAGTTTAATCACATCTATTTTTAGTTTTGACACCCTGTGTAAGTCTTGATTACTTTATTCTTACTTTGAATACTATGGAACGATTTTGAAAGGGATTTCAAACAAAATATGTGAAAATGTAAATCACATTTTGTATACAACAACTACAATTTTTTTCTTATTTTAAATGCACCTTTTACAGGCATATTTTCCTGTAAAAAAAAGGGAAACAAATGATTTGCAGATTATGTGAGTAAAAACTAGACTGAAACTGCTACATAACTGCTACATGTAGAATTGAAATATATGTACATCTAGCTCTAGTTCACAGATACTTATCCAAAGCTAAGAACTATTTCCGAGAGCCTCTTCCCATAAACCCCATGTGTGTTAAACTCATTGTACTATGTACACTAACACACCCCTCTATTAAAGACATCATGCATTTGACAAATATCTATTTAAAACCACTAGCAGACGTACTATTGAACTTTAGACTAGAAAAGCACACTAAAAAAAAGAAACAAACACTAGTTACTACAGCAGAGAATACACTTATACTCTTTTCACACTGTATTTGCTTAACCCCATACTTTGCTTAGCCCCGTACTATCCTTAACCCGGACTAGCTTTTTTTGCTTTTCACACACGCTGTTTTTAGTCCCGTACTCGGCTAGCGCCTATTCCGGAATAAGAAAATTCACGCTGTTCTCACTGCAATTTGTTAGCCCCGGACTAGTGATTGGACGGTGGGCTTCTTACTGCGCATCTGGCCAACTGCGATACGCTCCATTGCGTATTACCGGACAATTTTTTGTTTCTGTTCTCATTCATTTGCTTGGCACCGCAATTGTGGTGTTAGCAGGAGTTAGCACCACAATTGCGGGGTTAGCCCTGTCAATTTGCAGGGCTAGCTAACCCCGTACTATAGGTGGGGCTAGCGCACTTTGGTAATTACGAGTCTGAACAGAAAGTGGAATAAGCTCAACCCCGGACTATAAGGTGGGGCTAAGACCCCTCCTTAACCCCACCTACATGTATAGTACGGGGTTAAGCAAAATTTTGCCAGTGTGAAAACAGAAACAGTTCCCTTTTCATTACTGTTTTATTACATGCCTGGTACTATATGCAAACACACGTCTCCTCTCTGTCTATATACTAATCATGCACAGGCTTAACAATCCTGACGCCTGAGCTGCACAGAAAGAAAACGAAAGTGCCTTAAGGCCCATCCAACACGTTTTTATCATGATAACAATAAGAGCTCAAGACTTTAGACCTCGTAAAGTATTGCTTGAATCATCACATTTGCAATCTGCACATTCCATTCAAACATTACACAATGCCAGTGCCATGTAAAAATACAGCATCGGTATTTGAGAATGCCAAAAAATACCTAGACATGCTATTGAAGAGGTTTCATTCTTGGTAACTGTGCAAATGTGATGAAGTCTAGACATGAAGGTTAATAATTTATATCTCATCTTATCAAAAATGTATTGTAAAGTAAATGAAACTGGTCTTTATCCTGATATTTCTGATTCTTTTTCTTTCTCTGTGAACGAGGCATTACTGGTGAAAAAAAAAACGATACTAAAAATTTACAGTTTTTGATACGATATGGTTCTAAATCTAAGGTTTTGCAGACTCTGATAAATTGTGAGACATCAAAGTGCTGTAGGCCATTTTTTTGCATTTTCACTTATATTAATGTATTGTTATTAATGTATGTATTTCAAAGATCTATTATCATGTTAAAAGAATCTCCGATTTGGCCATCTGTCTGCCAATGATTTTGTAATTACAAACCATTTAAAATGAATAAATATAAATCACACAGGAAAGCAAACATCTTCAACAAATCCATGACCATTAATAACAACAAAAAAAGAAGTGAATCTCCTTTCACAACTGATTTGTCATGCTCTACTTATCATGAATCAACACGCAAATACCACTAATGTGAAGCATATAAATTAACATTACAGGTAGAATGTTTTAAAGGAGCATAGTCTATGGATTTAAAGTATCAGTGATTGATGTTTGCTATGAAAGCATTTAAACCAGGCTTTACATTATCAAAGATACAGGCTTATTCTTAGATACGAAAACCATTGGGTTTCAGAAAAGGTTTGGGTTATCTAGAGCAAGATTAAATGTTTGGAATTTAGTTGGTGTTACAAATTGACCGCAGAGCGATCATCACCATCTATATGTCTTGTACAAGGCACTGGTTTTTTTAACATATACCAAATGTGTCCACAATAGGGTCTGAAATGAAATCATGTTTACTCACTTCAAACATGTATTTTTAGGATCAGGACTATTCATATTTTTGAGAAATGCAAATTTTGGACCTTAATCTATCTTCTTATTTATTCACCAGATATGAATACTTTGAGTCTTTACAATTTTATTGTGAACTATAGCATATCTAATAACTGTGATATAAAACTCATTTGCTATTAACTTCACCAACAAATATGTTGGTCTTTAAGAATATGTTTCAGAGATTATTCATGCAAATTTTTGAGTTTCTATCTTGAAAAATACAGATTTTGTGTCCCTTGAAAGTGAAAAATAGCTCCAAATTAGGGTTTTGACAATAACAAGTTTTTTTTCAATAGGTAAAATGCTTTTTTCTTAGGTCAAACTTATTTTATTATAACAACTGATGATATAAGTTAAATACATCCCAAAAAATTGGGGAACCAGTGCATTGCCTAATAATTTTCATATGTCACACCACTGGTGTTTCGGACGTTACACACTGTTAACATCATAACTTTATTCAAGTTAATTGCTTTTCTTTAGGTATTATTGACCTAAGTTACATTAATTGTTTGCAGAAAAATATTTCTTTAACATTTATTGAAAAACTTGTGCAGTTTTAATTAGTTTGGCACATATACCTAGTTTGTCTTCATCGACTACTCAATTTATGTAAGGTATACTGTTCATTTCAGGAACGTGTAGTTAAAAATGCTTATGTGATCTAACAATTAAAGTGAAATATGGAGCTAATAGCAATTGTAGTCATCACAACTCCTAGAAATTTCACTTTATACAAACATACTCTCTTTTGCAGGTTATGAACAACAGTGTACAATATATGCTATAGTTTGTTTCGGATGTTACAAGATGTGAACATTTCAATCAGATCATCAATTTCTTCAAACTTTACAACATAGATGTTTCATCGGCTTGCTTTGTACTTTGCCTTAAACTAGATTCATGTAGTGTGTCATTCAATAATATCACTATCACATACATGTACATCTACAGTATGTACAGTGTAAGCAAAACATTACAAAAATACTTTTAACAAATAAAAGTAAATAAAAGTATCCCCAGCCATTTACATGTAAGTAATAAGAAATATGGGAATCCTAATTCATTGTACATCCCGATATTTTTGCATAAATTTGAGGAAGTTACTATATCTTTAGGATCATGAAATGATCATTAACATGGACATTTTGTTATGAGGGTCAAGCATTTGAAAAGTATTTGTACATAAGGCTAGTACATTTGAGGGTAATTCATCCAAAGAAAGGAAAAAATTATGAATTAATTAATTTTGGAGAGGCTACACCTTATTTTCATGTTCATGCTTTAATTACCCCCACAAATTGGTAATCCATTTTCTTGTCATTTGGAAATTTGGCAGATCTACATCTATGTCAACATTATGTTGTACAAGTTTCTATAATAGGTATTGGATACTGATTACTGATTATTGTTTTATAATGGAAGCCTTTGTGCTCATCAATTGTACATGTATGCAATCAATGAGTGTGTCATGTAGTGTGCAAGCCGATTTCATAAATCTGCTTGATAAATTGTTATCATTATTAAGCGTAAATGCCAATTCCAGTTTTGGATAATGGCAGTAGCAATTCTTTCTACATAGATTAGTTACATGTACTGAGTGCCCTTTTAAAAATGTATTTTCAGATGAAAATACATATTTCTCATAAATTTTTAGAAAAACATTTTAATTTGCTTGATTTTATCAACTTCATATACCTGTATCATATCCATGTCATGACCATGCACACTGGGTATTGCTTAAGTGGGTGATTTTTATTTTTGTAACCTACCAGATAGTGTAAATTGACCATACAATCTTTGGTTATATGACATCATTTTGAACAACCTCTATAAAAATGAAAACCTCATGATTTGCAAACACACACCAATGTAAATAGCAAAAGGAGAGGTTGAACAAATGAAATGTGCTATTCTCACATCTATCATTGCCCCTCATTTGAACTAGTTAAAGTATGAAAATGTCTGTTAACAGTTTAATGTAACGTCCGAAACGTGCTAACAGCATACCAGAAAGTGCTGTTAAAGTGGCTGAATATTTGTTATGAGTCACTTTTGTTGAGATTTTTTCTGATAAATTACAATTAAGGATATACTGAAGCAGCCAACCATGCCTTGCATCACAAAGTGTGGCTTCAATATTTTATGTTTTATAAGTCAATTTTGCAGAAAATTTAGATATTTTACGGATTATTTGATTTTTAGCATCATATTTCTACACATTTTTATATTTAAATCTGAATAAAATCATCAAAATAGTGTTTTTAACAGGAGTGTCCATTGTGAAATGGTAACTTGCAGATATGATCGAAAATTAGGTGAAATTTGTCGTCTTTTGTGTTAACAATATAATTGTGTAACGTCCGAAACACCATTCTTGTGATTACAACTAATTAATGGATTTGAAAGACCTGATTTGTGTTTTGACTTGTGTTAAGACTTATAATAACTTATTTTATAATGATTTATTCACTCTAGATACCTTAAAATATGGATTATTATCATTTTATTGGTATTTTTTGTTTTGGACGTTACATTTGTTTCGGACGTTACAACTGTTAACGGAAAATTGGTTTTAACTATAAAATAGTATTGTAGTAATGTATTGCAAATTTCTTTGTTTTGGTGGGTAGCTGCCATGAGATGTTAACAAAATGTTATGATAGATATATCCTGCTGTTCATATATTTTCTGCTACTTCAACTTGAAAATTGTTTCGGACGTTACAAAACTGTTTACGGAAAATGAGACAACTTTTTCAAACTTTGAGTATATTTCTAATATAAGCACTACTATAATTAAATTATATTTTCTTTTAATATAATCACTTGGAGCAACTAATAAACTCACTCAAACCATATACAATCTCATTAATTTGTTGTTCTAGTGGGTTAAATGAGGGTCTACATTGTTTACGGACAATGTAACGTCCGAAACACCATTTTCAATTGCACTTTTCCATTAAAATAGGGGAGTTGATTCAGAATACTGTTAAGTTTCTTTAAGATCCACTCATGCTCATTAATCATCAATAGAAAAAAAACATATTGTTTGTGGCTATATATTTTTTTCAGCTCCGACCAAAATGGCATGTCAATTTTGTTACAAAACTCCGTAAACAATTTGCTGTTCAGGGATATCTCATGCGCATAAAGCAACTATGACAATTTTTCGTTAAGCTATGGGAGGTTAACCTAGGTCCATGCTACAAGAAAAAGTTGTTACTGATTTCTAATTCTTTATCTTTGGAAAGTTTCAGGCTCTCAAAGGGCCATTTAGGTATTTGGTCATAGTTAAAAAAACCAGTGCCACAATCAAGCTATAGGTGCTCAGGCTGGCATTGACATCAGTATTGATGAGCATATAGAGTGGTGAAGTGTGACGTCATCAAAATTCTATTTTTAGAATTTCTGAATTTTTTTCTTCATTTTCCGAAAGAGCATCAAAAATAATGTCCAAATGTTGAAAACCAATTTAATATGTTCAGTATTGGCTGAGATATAACCATCTGAATAGATATATGTCCAATGGGAACTCAGTGTTGTATGCTCTGGCTCCTAATGGTTAGGAGCTAGAGCAAATAACACTGAGTTCCTATGGGAAATCTATTTATTCAGATGGTCATATCTCAGCCAATACTTAACATATTAACTTGGTTTTCAACATTTGGACATTAATTTTGATGCTCTTTTGGAAAATGAAGAAAAAATTGAGAAATTCTAAAAATTGATTTTTATGATGTCACAACTTGGGTACTCTATAGAGGTCTGTGAAAGTGGACTAAGAATTAAAGGACCTACCTGTCAGCTCCTGCTGGTACAAATCCCTGGATGAAGATCATCCTCCCTGGAGCCATGGATCCTCCATAGATGGCGCTCATGTACGGGAAAGGCTAGAGAGAGAGAGAGAGAGAGAGAGAAAGAGAGAGAGAGAAAGAGAGGGGAAGAAGTAAGAATTTACCTGAAGAATACAACATTTGATTACATTTACAAGCTGTAAGATTTACTTTGGAAGAGAACCAATGGGCTTTATTCTAAAAAATCTTCTCTTATTTTGTTGTTGCTCCTTTTGGGGGCATTGTGATTTTATGCAAATATTTTGCATCACAAACCTCACTCGACAGATTGCTATCAGATACATGAATGTATAAAACAAGATGAGGTAGCCATGTATGAAGTGTACGTTATGTGTGTGTGTGTATGTGTATGTGTGTTTGTGTATGTGTTATAATTGGGGGTGGGGGGGGGGGGGGTTATACTCATCTGCATAATTTGTTATGTTGTTACATTGTTACATACACATGAGTTATACTCATTGTAAATATGTTACTCCTTGCCATTATATGCCATTATATACCTACTGTATAGTCTACTGTGTAAAGGGGGCCCCGTTTACAAGCTGTGCTTCACTGGGGTCCCAAACCTATCATTCTTGTGTTCCTTGCTGTTATATATCTTGTACCATTGTTTATGTTTGATTTGGTTTGAATAAACCTGAAACTTGAAACTTGATGTCTGCTTCCGTAAAAGTCTGTGGTTTTCTTGCTTGTTTACTAAGGGAATGGCAAGATGGAATGACAAAAGTAGCTGCACCAATAATCCTAAGCATTCTCTCTGATCTGTGTGCTTTAATTTACAAAAAATGTCAAGTGCAGTACTTAAGTGCACCCACTTGTGAACAGGCTTACCTCGAAAGGATGCAGTGCGGCTTGGTGTATGTGGAGCGTTCAACGCACCCTTTCAAGAAAAGCCCCTCCCCCCCCCTCCCAAAAGGGTGCGTTAAGGCGGTCCTCAATTCTCAACGCACCCTTTCAAGATAAGCAGGGGGGGGGGGGGGGCTTTTCTCGAAAGGGTCCGTTTAAAGCACCACACTGCGCGGCACCACACCGCACCCTTCCAAGGTAAGCCATGTGAACAAGCCTTACAAGCACTATTCAATATATGGATTGTGGGGAATTCATGCGGAGTGGGTGGTGTTATGAATGCCACAGGTCAATAGGTGGATAGATAGTGGGGAATTTCCAAGGTTTAATGTCCACATTGCAAGCTTGGCTGGATGTACATGCAACTCCTTTTATGTCAGATTACAGAGTTGAAACATCTATAGATCTTTCTAAATGTTATTCCAGGTTTATTAGAATGACTACATGTACATGTAATTTAATTTCAATTGAAAAAAATGGGCAGGGGCAGGGGCAGTGGTGCATGCAATCTTTATATCAAGACTAAAATATCACATAGTTGTTAAAGAAAAATTACCGGTACCTAGAGTCTCAACTATAGTCTTATTGTTATTTTATGAGGTGAGAACTTTCAGACTATGGCTTGTAAAAGTACAACCATTTATAAGGGAATTGGGAACGTTTTTTTAGTCTATAAATGCTATAGCTCTAGAAAACAAATTTATGAGGAAATCCTACTTCCTTATCAGAGAGAGAAAGAGAGAGAGAGAGAGAGGGGGGGGGGGGGGTGAGAAATGTACATGGTTCTTTGTACTGGTACATGTACTTTCAAAGCATAATATTTTAACTTGGAAAAAATGTGATACAGGATTTGGGGACTAGGGCTCAGACTCGGTCAATAACAATATCATAGAGCGTGGCATGGTGCTAAAATGATTTACAAATTAGAAGTAGATTAGTATGGATAATTTGAAATGAATATATCCTTTTTTTTTTATTGTATTGTTACCTTATTGTATTTGGTTTAATGTTCTGTATAATTTTCTTGCAACATAGTGGACTCCCTTCTTATCTCAAGCCACTAGATTTTTAGGGTTACTGTTAGATCCTTCACATTTCTTAATCTATATATCTACTTAGGTGACTGGTACAAATCTAAATACAAACATCCCTATCGGAAAATTGAAAAAGTGAAAACGATTTGTGTTTCATCTCAATTTTTTTCATTATTTTTATTATTTCCAATTACTGTAGAAAAAAAGAATGATATGTCATTTTTTGATATTCAATTTTGTTGAACTCAAATTCAATGGCACAGGCATGTATGGTCATGTATTAAGGCTCATCACCTAAAGGTCATCTCAAAGCTAATAGATACAAATTTATGTAACAGATATCAAACACGTACACTACTGTCTGGCTGATAGCGTCCACCCTAGCTGCCTGTCCAGTTATGTATACATTGACCTCTCATTCTGCCCGTCTTCCTAATCTGGCCATCACATATTACCATCTACAACCTTGCTACCCATCTCTAGATCAAGCTAGCTAGCATTCCACCCTTGCCAGCTACCAGCTGTCAGTGACCCTTCAGACTCTGACTGATGAGCTCTCATTATTAAGGTTGTCTGCCATGAAAAGGTCATACTTAATTACAACATAAGCAGTAATGAGACCCCATGAATTAACTTACTATATATGTTCTCTTGGAACTGCCTTAGAGCATAGTAAATAAATCTATCTTTCTAAATGTGCTCAATATCTCATGTTCTTGGCAGAGATACAGAAAAAGAAATAAAAAGAAGCACAACAAAATAATAGGACATCGATGGGGACAGGCTCCATATAAAAGCCTTTATTAAGCTCACACCTCATCTGTACAAGGAAGTAGAAGCTTGTATTCAGTTTAAGTGAGGTGTAGCATTGTCATAGCTAGGCCAACACTCAAGTTTATTTCCTGATCAATCTTGTGTTGGCCTTAGGGCACTAGACAATAATGGCACAGAGCTACATACCTATATGACAACGATAATGTGTAATGTAAACTTGATGTAAACAGCATCTGATGATACCATTAACAAATACAGAGTGCATAGCCAGGACTATATCTTAGAAATTCAAGAAGGCCTACTCTTTTTCATTTTGCGATGATTGAGAAATCTGTCATCTCCCACACGTTGCACTTCCTTAACCCTGTGAATGCATGACTGGTGGCAAAGAGCTTCATCATATCTGTCATTCATCTCAACATCCTTCTTAAAGTTTATAACAAAATATTGTACTTTCACCAGGTCACTGGTAAGTTTGGTCTTAATGGGGGGATGCTCGAGACTAGACGAAGTGTCCTCATGGTGTGAAAGTTAATAACCCCTCGTAATAGGGAAAATGATGACTTTAATAAATGATGATGATTGTGATTGATTTAAGTGCCACATTGCTTTCTACTCAGGTCAGGTCCATCATGGCCTTGCATGGAAACAGTTTATAACATTTCAAGGCACACTGTTTGTCCATTCTGTTCAATCTAGTCTTGGGAGATTGTTCAGAATTCAGAAGTTAAACTTAATGGGTAGGATCATCCCATTATACTAACTATATTACCAGTACACATGTTGGAAAACAAAATAAAACTCATATTTCTTAACAATATTGAGAGGTATACCTCTTCTATCAATGCCCTGTCTAAGCCCTATCATAAAACTGAATATAATATATAGAACACAAATGTAAAAGAGGAGGTTGGGTCTTGGGAAGCAAGATTGTATTCCTACTGACAACAACTATAAATCGTATCAGGCCAATTGCCCCTAGACAATCAACCCCCCCCCCTGAAAATTCCCCCTAGGTCAAATACCTCCTTAGATAATTGTCAACAGACAAGATATCATGTTAGACCCCCCCCCCCCCCCGTACACACAGGGGATGATTATTCTAGAGTGCAATTTTTCGAGGTGGGGGGGGGGGGGGTGATTGTTCTTGAGGGGGTGGTTGTCCTATGGGGAATTTTTCAGAGGGTAATTGTCTAACCCCCTGTCCACACACAACATTTTCCGTGACTAATCATGATTAGCTATACCGTTTCGCGATAGTGATACCGTTTCGCGATAGTTTTACGACCAAAATTGTAGGTGTGGACGCTCACTAACGATACGTCGTATAACGAAACTAGTCTAACGAAACGCAGGTTTGGGCATCGTTTCGAACTGAAACTCGATAAAGAATCACGCCTAATCACGGAAAATGTTGTGTGTGGACAGGGGGAGTGTAACTAGTGTAACTAACTGGGCGGGGCTTAACGTGACCTCGAGCGAAATGAGACCAGACCTCTTATCACTATCGCGAAACTCTATAAAGAATCACGGAAAATGTTGTGTGTGGACAGGGGGCATTTTATACGATGATTCTTTAGTGACGACGTTTCTTGTGTGTGGACATCCTGGAATTTATACGATGATTCTTTATACGACGTATCGTTATAGAGTTTCGGGATAAATTGTTTTGTGTGTGGACACGCTGTTAGAACCATTATAAATATGAGGATATCAGAGATTCTAATCTTATCCTAAAGGGAATTTTGAATATAATGAATTCATTGAAAAGGCAATCCATTGACACTAGACATGATTATATCCTGCATCAAAAATTGATTGGTTTTTGATTGGTTGAGAGCTCATCACATGACCAGAAATATTTCAACTATTTTAAGGTTGCTCTGAAAAACTACTATATATGAGAGTACTATTTGGGAGTTGACAAAATTGATCAGAAAAGGTTGATCATCTAGCATATAAGTATTGGTGTGTACTGCAAGATTCTGGAATCATCAAAATGATAAAAATTTGGCCCAGTCTTCGTAAAGTTACAAGCACTGCACACAGAAAGATGTATATGGGACTATGCACAAGTGCGCGACACATGCGTTTATCTCTCACAGTCCAATAGATAAACTAATTTATCAAATATATCAATTAGCAGGCGATTTCCCAGCAAAATTTTTATCATCATGTATTAGTCTAAAACATATTCTTTCACATGATTGGTAATAAAGAGCTTCCATTTCATTTTTTGAAATTGGGGCGTTTCCAATACTGGTCTTTACCTTTAATCTATCGATGTCTTTAAACGTATGTACAAGGACAAATTTTCTAAACCTGTCTGATACATTGCCTATTTATAAACTGATCTTGACATGACTTATTCCTCTCTCTCTCTTTCTCTCTCTTTCCTTCTCTACTTTCCACCAATTTCCTTATATCTTTTCTCGTCTTCTAATCTGTTTGGTGATATCATAATGCCTTCTAAGTGATTTTATGTTTTTCCACTGTTAATTTGAATTATTATAGTGTTACTCTTTTTGCTTTAAACTACTTCTAATGCATATTATCTTTATACCGGTATATTAGATTTATATTGTTTTTACCTTAGCTTGTGAGCTTTGGTGATTTTCATTATTTATATTTCCAGGACCAGGATGTTAAACAGATTTTGTATCTACAATGTATTTCTGATTCCTGTTGCCCTGATTAAATATATTTCAATACAAAAATAGACCTTTAAATAGAATGTGTTATTTTTCATGAAAATACATGTATGCATTCTAACATTTATAAGCAATACAATGAAATCATTCAGTTTTAACGAAACTCATGAAGTTGGCTCAAGAGGGGGAAAAAAAAATTGAAGAAAGGATAGAATACATGCATAAGAAGAGCTTCAAATATGTAAATAAATTTGTTAGATTTAAGAAAATGTTGTACTTTAATTGAATACTTTCTGCATTTGAGCTTCCTCCTCCCAGAAAATTAAAACTTTTCTGCACTATAGCTTCTCTTTCTATTTCGTTCAGGACAAGTGTCTGACATTTAGATTTGCATGTCTGGCTATTGAGCAAAATTTACACTAACACAAGCAAACAGTTTCTATATAATCTGTTGTTTACTTTTCTAGTGCAAACTTACTCAAGAATAGGTCAAATACATGAAGTTTATGCCTATATACCTTTGGTATCACATGTTATTTGGTAATAACCCATGTGATTATGACAAGAAGATACCCAAGATTTGTATGCCTGCCTATGTAGGCATGACTGGAAAATGAAGGAATTAAAAAACATCCAATCCAATTCTCAAATGATTGAATGTAGGCAATCCATTTGAAGAAAGACTGGAAAATTACTGAATAAACTGCCCAAAATAGCCTTAAAAATTGAGGAAACAACTTGTAAATGTGTAAAAAGTTAAGATAATCTCTTTAATTTTATTGAAGATACTTACTGGATTCAGCACAAATGGAAGCTGTCCCCCAGCTTGTTGTGGGTATGGGTATGCCATCTTGTCGGTTCTTTATTGGAGTTTGGCAGAGAAAGATGAGACTGCAGAACATAAAGAAAATAACAAATTCCTGTAGAAATAAACTTAATCATACTGAATTAATCTGTTAATTATCTGGCGAGTAATACAGAAAAAGAATCAATTTGTGGTATGATTTATAAACTTGAATTACAAACCCATAAAAATACACAGAGGGGGTAGAGCATCTCCGTCCGGGGGTAGAGCATCTCCGTCAGGGGGTAGAGCATCTCTGTCTAGGGGTAGCTGTAGTCCCTCAGGATGGTGATTCATCTGGCCTCCAAAGGCGTGACGAAAGGATGAGAGGTCTTAACGTTATCTTGTTGAGTGAAGGTAGGATGCTTATTTGACAGATATGGGTATTTGATGTGAGGAAGATCATATGATGTGGATGTTTGCTGGTTCCACTCAGATCGATATGGTTTGATGCGGTTCTTGTGCACTACCATCTCTTTCCTGTCGTCGGCAACCAAACTCTGAATCTTGACTGTGAGCTGAGATGGTGCTGAAGAAAGAACTCTGTAGGGCCCTTTCCAGTTAGGGGCCAACTTGCTTCTGCTTATTGCTGGATTGTTGACCCAGATAGGATCTCCTGGTTGGTACTGTACATCTTGTTCTTTCTTGTCGTAAGTTGCTTTCTGTTTGGCTCGAGCCTTATCGTTACATGAGGTAGCATGCTGGAAGGCTCGATGTAACCGGGAACGTAGGTCTTGTACATACTGGTAAGGAGTGTTAGCTGATCTCAAGTCATGGTGAGGTAGAGAGTGAGGCAGACGTGCTTCTCTTCCATATAGCATGAAGAAGGGAGTAAACCCAGTTGACGAGTGTACGGTTATATTGTATGCCAACTCGACCTGTTTGAGATGTTGATCCAGTCACCTCCTCTTTCCACCATGTATAGCAAGCTGGTCTTTGATGACACGATTGGTCCTCTCCACTATACCAGCACCTTGGGGGTGATATGGAGATGAGCGAGTTTTCTTGATACCAAGCTGTTTGCAAAGTTGGTGAACAAGAGTAGACTCAAATTGACGGCCCTGATCGGTATGCAGCACGTCTGGTAGTTCATGTTCTCTGACATAGTCTTCAAACAGGTGTTTTGACACAGTTGCAGCTGTCTGATCCTTCATGGCATACATATTGATGAATTTTGTAAAGTGGTCTACAACCACAAGGATGTAGCGAAAGCCACTAGAAGAAGGAGGGAGCATTGCAATGTCAGCAAACACCATCTGGAATGGGTAAGAGGTGGAGAAGCTTTTCAGCTAAGTGTTTCACGAAGCCGTCTTTGCCAAGATGAGCGACAACTTCCGCGACAATGAGTAGTCACTGCTCCGAACCCGTCATATCTTTTTAATTGCTGTAAAGCGCCATCACAAGTCAGTTTGTTGCTATTCCATGGGCCGCGAAATGTACGATTAGTTTCACTATCATTCTGAGAAAAATATAGACGAGTTCGGTAGGTAATATTCTGGGATGCAAAATGCAAATTTGAAGAAGTGATAATACAAATTATACAGATATTTTAAAAAGCTGAATATAAACATTAAATCACAAATCGTTAAACTATAACATATAAATAAAAGAGATAAGAATGTTACACAACGTTGTCCATAGTCGATCCATAGTCTTTTTTTAGGATACCATCATACTGCAACCTCCTACAATGAGCTATGCGCATGCTGTTTCTTCGCCTCGCTACACAGGATGTTTTTACTGTGGAGAAACAAATCACAAGCACCTACACTGCCGTTTTGGAGAAAAGATTAGGTGCTACCTCTGCAATGAAACTGGACACAAACGTAAATTCTGCAAAAATACATATACCTGCTAAAAAGCAGGCCAGGAAGACTGTGCCGATAATGATGCACTAAAGAAACTCTCAACTCGTACTTATCTCTCTCCCGAGTTACCGATATCACATGAATCTCATATGAGAAACGTTGCTAGTTTAAATTCTGCTCTTCCTTTATTTAGTACTTGTTATCTTTTTGCAACTCTAATGATTTTGAACTGAATCATAATCTTTTCATCTCCGAAAATCATGATGAAGAAGACACTTTTTGTTGTCCTTATAACAATGATGAGGATGAAGTTTCTTCTATTCCCAACGAGAGCAATGTAATCATCACTTCTCATATTAGTAATGATGAGATTAGTACCACTAACCAGGGTGATTCGAGAAAGAGTGGTTATTTTTGTGGTAAAACTCATAGTAGAATAAAGAGAAATTGTGGATTGCGATTTGCTCATCTAAATATACGATCACTTTGCTCTAATTTTGATGATTTACAGGTGATTATATCTGAAAATAATTTTGATGTTATTGCATTGAATGAAACTCGTTTATGTGAATTTATATCAGATGATAATATACGCATTGATGACTATGCCGTGTACAGAAAGGACCGTAATAGACAAGGTGGGGGAGTGCTTGTATATATCAATGATAACCGACTTAACCATAAAATCAGGTCTGATCTCATGACCGAGGATATTGAAATGGTATCAGTCGAAATAAGTCTTCCTAAATGTTCACCCATAATATTAATTGCCTGGTATAGACCGCCGGGATCTGTTATTAATTTGTTTGACAAGTTCGAATCTATATTAACGAAATTGGACAATGAGAACAAAGATATTATTGTTCTAGGAGATTTGAACTGTGACCTGCTTGCATGCCCAGCAAGTTGCTATACGATGCGATTAACTGAGATTTGTGATACATTTTCATTGGTTCAAGTAAGTAATAAACCAACTAGGATTGTACAGAATTCAAAGTCACTTATTGACTTAATCTATGTTTCAAATTTTTCAAAGGTAGCCGAAAGCGGAGTTATCCATACCGGAATAAGTGATCATTCCTTGGTATATATCATATGGGGGAAAAATCAAAGCGAAAAAACACAACATGTATATAGCACCTATAGAAGCTACAAACAATTCGATAATGATTCATTTTGTGCTGAATTCAGGAATGAAAACTGGAATATCGTTCTTAATGCATGTGATCCTAATGAATCTTTAAATGAGTTTAACCGTTTGGTATTGAGGATCTGTGATAAACACGCACCTGTCCGAAAAAGAAGAGTAAAACTTGATAGACCTCCATGGATCAATGCAGACATATTGAACATGATGCGTGAAAGAGACGCAATGAAACAGAAAGCTATTGACAGAACTCTGAAAGAAAACGAAGAGAAAGAAAGTGCTGAAAATGAAAAAAATGTTAGAGAAGGCAAGGATAAGGAACATCATGTCAATGAAATCAAAGCTACTGAAGAGTGGATAAATTATAAAAAGATGAAAAACTATGTATCTTCAAAAATTAAGCAAAGTAAAAAAGAAACTTTTCATTATCAGATTGAAAACTCATGTCATGACGTGAAAGGAACATGGGCAGCGTTGGATAAATTATTACTACGTAAAAGGTCAGGTAATAGCATAACATGTATAAAAAATGAAGAAGGAGATATACTCGACTCAAAAACTATTGCTCAAAAACTAAATGAGTACTTTGTCAGCGTTGGACCATCTCTCGCCAAAAACATTCCTTCTGCAAATAATTGTGTTAACGAGACTTTAGTAACACCGGCACACCATTCTTTTCAGTTTAGACAAGTGGATTCAAACGCCGTTTTAAAGGTACTAAATAGCCTATCGTTGAAAAAGGCAATGGGGTGTGACATGATCCCAGTTAAGCTGATTAGAATGGTCACCCCGTACATTGTGCAGCCTCTGACGTCTATAATTAACTCGTCTTTGTACACAGGAATTGTACCTAATGTGTGGAAAAAAGCCCGAATTGTTGCGATTCACAAAGGAGGGTCTAAGGAACTGTGTAACTATAGACCTATTTCGATTTTACCCATACTATCAAAAGTTTTAGAGAGAATGGTCTTCAATCAAATCTATGACTACTTAAATGCCAATACATTGTTGAGCATTTACCAGTCAGGATTTCGACCCAATCACTCTACAGCTACTGCTCTACTAAATGTAACAGATGACTGGTTAACAAGCATAGATGAAGGTCAAATTGTATGTGCGGTAATGCTAGATCTAAAAAAGGCTTTTGATACCATTGACTATGTGTTACTATTGAGAAAATTATGTATGTACGGGTTGGACGAACCATCACAGCTATGGTTTTCGAACTATTTACATGGTCGAGTACAATCTACATCTGTTAACGGTATAATGTCCGATTTTTTGCCAGTTGAATGTGGAATTCCCCAAGGATCCATTTTAGGACCCCTGCTCTTCATATTACATGTTAATGATTTGCCGCGTGGCCTCACCCACTGTAAAGTAAAGTAAATAAAGTAAGCATGTATGCTGATGATACGGTAATATATTGTTCGGCAAATGATACCATAGAATTGAGTGAGAAGATTAATGAAGACCTAGAATATGTTAAAAAGTGGTTGATACAAAACAAACTAAATTTGAATATAAAGAAAACTGAATACATTGTATTCGGTACGAAGCAACGTCTGGATAAAGTTAAAGATAATGATTTAAACATTACTATAGACAATACTGTGTTAACTCGAGTTAGTAAGTGTAGACACCTTGGGCTAATTTTAGATGAAAGGTTATCATGGCAAGAACATATTAATACTATTCATAAAAAAGCAAGTAACGGATTATATATGCTGAAATCTATAAGAAATATAGTAAATGAATATGAAATGAAATTGGTTTATAATTCACTAGTATTGTCTCACTTAAATTATTGTGATGTAGTATGGGGTGGATGTGGAAGTACACAGAAAAACAAATTACAAAAAATCCAGAATAGAGCAGCTCGAATAATTAATAGGTCCTCTTGGTATTCCTCATCAGATGAAAATTTAACAAGACTAAATTGGAATACACTTGACAATAATAGAACAAAGAATGTAGCAATTATGATGTATAAGATTGTCTCAAAACAAGCTCCTGAGTATTTAGTAGAAAGGTTTATATTTGCTGACCATACATACAATACACGTTCAAGTCTGTATAATGTGAAAACAAT